TGACACAAACACGAAAGAGTTGATATCCATTACTGAATTCTTTTGCTAATATAACACAGTTGGGTATTATGGTTGTGCATCACTTTTATTTGAAGACTTCATTCAAGATGTTACATTGCTGTCTGAAATCATTGATGAAAGCATTCTTCAACAGTCCAGACTTCTGTAAGCATCCGATGTTTCACCATTGAATCACACAATACTCATTTCAAGTTATGAATGTAATAACAATTTGGCCAGAGCTGGAACTTGTTTGAACCTCAGAGGTGTCACTGCCATAGTGCAAGAAAGTCTATTTAGTAGTAACAATGCATCCCTAGTTGGAGGAGCTATTTATTTTGAAAATCTGGGTTCCAATAATATGTACTTGCAAAACAATTAGTTTGTTAACAATTAGGGTTAAATTGGAGGGGCCATCTATTTGTTAAATTATCAATTAAGTAATACTGATAAGTTGGGTTTGAGTTTTGATAAAAACACAGCAGATGATGGGGGAACTGATATTCAAGAACTCACGATATCACAAACATTGCAATTAATCAACATTCCTTTTGCATCAGACACTTATATGGATTACGATGGAGATGAAACTGATGATGGAGCCATTGATAATACTAGTATTGTAATCAAGGACAATGTTACTTTGGAAAATCATAAGACTGGTAATTATCCACAAGTTACCGATCTCTTGATTTTACCATCAGGTCAGAGAATCTCAAAGTACATGTATTTTTATGAGGTTACACAAGAACAAGTCCCTTTTGAATGGGTGTTTAGAATTATCAATCTTAACAGATTTGGAGATGTTGTAAGGAACAGTAAACCGGATGAGAGTTGTGTGATAGATGGCAGGATATAGAATCAGTAATCTTATAATGATCTTTTGGCATTTAGCAACAATTTCACTATTCCAACCAAAGTGAACTACAATCCAGATAAAGGAGGATATGATATGGATGATTTGATTCTCATTTTCGATCCCTAGGCTTCACCTGATTTGTATTTGGAACTTCGATTTACATGCAATTCTGTTAAACTGCCCATCTACAATACAAAACCACCTTATCAAATTCTTGGATTCAATAAGAATTATGAATTGTATGCTAGAATACGTACATTCCCATGTTAAATTGGTGAAGCCTACGATTCGTAGCAATGTAAAGCATGTCAAAAATCAGATCTTGCCTATTCTGTTGAGATAGACTCTGTATAATGCAAATAAATGAACAGACTAACCATGAGAACAGTCTCACCAACTGGTATCAATTTATTCCAAGGATATTGGAGACCCATCTTTTCAAATGATCAGGTCGAGTATTGCGTAAATCTACCCAATAATTGCAATGGAGGTTGGATTCCTGGCAACCCATCCTGTTATACTGGCCATAATGGAGCATTGTGCGAATCCTGTGATATTTACATGATTCAAAATGAAGAGAGATGGGCTCCCTCTGATCCTTACAAATGTGGATTGTGTAAGGAATCAGAGAAGTACAATCTGATCATCATCATTGCTATCTCTGTTTTGACCATGGTCTCAACCATCATGTCAGTCAAGGGTACTTTCGAAGCTCTCCAACTGCAAATTGTGGAGGATGTAATCAAAATGTTCGGCAGAAGACTTAAATCAGATTCTTCCAACTTAGCCACCATGGTTCAAACACTCACCAACTATTTCCAAATTGTCTAAATCGTAATGACCTTCCAATTACAAATACCAAATGGTGTTGACACTGCTACCAAAACTGCTGGTAATCCTACTGGTTCCATGGCCTATTCACTTGATTGTCTACTAATCAAAATATCAGACATTGAATTACTCTATTTCAAGATGGTCTGGGCTTTGGTTATGCCTTTGTGTTATTTGGGTGCTATCATTTTAGGATACCTTATCATATGTATCATCGGAATCACCAAATTCTCATAGTCCATACTATACACTGCCTTAATTTACATGTTCTTATACATGCATCCTACTCTTGTACAAGGCTTCATCTCTTAGGCTTCCATCAGAACTATCAGTGGTCTACCATGGGTCAAAGCAGATGTTGGATATAGGTATGATAGTGAGCTCCACAATTACTGGATGGCTCGCTTTATTGGACCCATGCTCATCATTTGGGTCATTGCATTGCCTGCCTTATTCATGTTTTTGGTTTGGCTTAAAAGACACAAACTTGAAATGAAGCAAACCAAAATGACCCTTGGTTACTTCTATAGAGAATACTCTAAGGATAGTTATCTTTGGGAATTTGTTAAGATCTTTTAAAAAGAATTCTTTGTCATCATATTGGTCTACTATGAAGAATATGTTATCATAAAAGGATTACTCATTGTTTTAGTGCTTTTTATTTATGGATGGTACCAAGTCTCTGTAAGTCCCTACGGTAGTAAAAAATTAAATGAGATTGATCGTTACTCCACCATGGTGTGTGCAGCTACACTTTGTTTGGGTGTCTTAATGTACGGAGCTCAACTTAAAGATTATTACTATCTTTAGGTCATCATCCTAATCATCTTAGCATTACTCAACCTCTGGTTTATTATCATGTGCATTCTATAAATATTCTAGGGCTACCTGATTCAATTCCAAGTAATTTATAGTATTACTCATAGGACTAATTGGATATGATTAGAGAAAAGCTTCTCAAATCCAAGCCAGAATTAAAAGAGAAAAGAGGATTTATAGGGAAGCTGCTCATCCATAGAGGAAATATGAATAAGAGAGTTAAATTTCTGTGGGAATTACTCAAATCGAGAACTACAGCAGCTGTTAAGATCACAAAATTATCCCAAGAAATCTAATTTGAAGATGCTTTTGAATATGTGATTTAAAATTAGATTGAGGCATATCAAATTTGCAAAGTTTCATCAAAAAAACAATTTGAATAACTAAATAGTCACGAAAATTATTGAATTATTTTTGAAAGATATTTATATCAATTAAATTATTGAACTATTTCTTAAAGATATTTATATCAATAGAATTATTATGTTTATTACAGCTAGTATTATATCCATTAATTTAGAGAATGTTATTGCCTCTGAAAATAATAGGAATTTTCTCTGCTTTAAAAAATCCATCAATAATTGTTCGTCCATATTGGTATAATAAATAAAAACTAGAAAATCATATATATTAATTTAAATCTTTATCCATTTCTATAATCATCAATAACGGATTGGACTCGTTCTCTTTTTAGAAGATCTTTATCCTTCTTTAGCATTACCTTCTGGCCCATCTATGATTGTTTCGATTGCCAATTTGGATCACTGAGCTTCTATTTGTGCCATATTGAAATTTGATTAAAAAAACACAAATTTTACAATTATCCTTTGATTATTTTTAATTAAACAGTATATTTGCCACAATATTAAAATGTATAATAGTATATAAGTTTTAGGAAGTTCTTGAGTGACAAAGAAAAGTAAATATTGGTTCGATATGTAGCGGAAAAAAGAAGACAAAGAAAAATCAGAACTAAAAGATGGAGTAGGAGGGGAATCGAGAAGAAATTATTTATCATGTATTTATTTGATTTTTACATTAGAATCTCTATTTTCCATATAACAAAGTGCATTGTGACAACTGCGAAAAAGATATCACAAAATAAGCACGAATTCTGTGCAACGACTGTCCAAATGCGATAGACATTTGCATGAATTGCTTTTTAAACCTCTAAGAATTCGGTATGGTTACTTCTTATATTGCAGAATCTCACTTAATTAGTCATTCCTACTCTATAATAAATAAATTAAATTTTCCCATTTTTGTAGAGGATTGGACAGCTGAAGAAGAATTGTTGTTGCTGGAAGGATTGGAGAAGAAGGGATTTGGTAATTGGCAAGACATAGCTGAGATGCTTGGTGGAGAAAAAGCACAGGAAGAAATTGCACAACATTATGATGATATAATTTTAAGTGGGAAATTTAGAAATGTTTGTTTTTATATAATTTATATATTTTTAGATGCCACTATTATCCAAAAGAAATTAAGATACTCTTGAACTGATCAAGCCAAAAAGAGCATAAACAGCTCCCAAAAGAATAAAGGACGAGCAAAATATCACCAAAACTGGTCGATTGACACCCAACATGTCTTCTTAGAGTGGGTAGGAAATAGTAGGATTTATGCCCAAAAGAGGAGACTTTGATATTGAATTCGATAATGATGCAGAACTCTTGTTGGCAGAAATGGAATTCAATGATGATGACAAACCATATGAAATTGAAATGAAGCTAAAAGTCCTCGATATTTACAACATAAGATTGGACGAGAGAATCAAAAGAAAGAAGTTCGTTATAGAGAGAGACTTGCTCAATCTAAAGAAATAGAATATCTAGGATAAATCTAGATCAAAAGAGGAGAAGGAATTGCATAACTTAATGAAACCATTTGCAAGATTCAATAAACCAGAAGATCACGAAAGATTAGTTTAGAATCTGATCAAGGAAAAGTAACTTAGAGCTAAGATCGAGGAGTTGAGGTACTATAGGAAGTTAGGGATGAAGACTTTTGAAGAGGTGGAGGAGTATTTGGCTGATAAGAGAAAGAGGGATGAACAATATCAAAGGAGATAAAAACAAAATGATTCATTTGTTTATGACTCATAAAAATAAAGGTTTATGCAAAGAAGAACCAGGTTCATTCCTTTGATGGAGGGAAGGGATAAGCATAAGTCGGGTCCATCATTTTGTGAAGAGGAATATTAATTATGTCAAAAATTAGGATTAACTGAATAAGAATATTTGATACTCAAAGAGGTACTTGTGAGGGAATCAGTCAAAAATGGAATCATCAAGAAAGATTAGGCACTACAAAACTTCAAGTTAGACAAAGAACGTGTCACAGGAGTTTTTGATTACTTGGTTGTTAAGGGTTTAATACATGAGAAAGAATGAATTATAAATTAAATCAATAATATCGCAATTCAAAAAAAAGTTATGGATTAATTATTAAGTGTTTTGTAAGTAAAAATTATAAATATTATATTCAATTTATGCATAGTCTTAATAGCGTACATCTAGATAATATCAACACAGTCGGCTAATAAGATACTTCTATCTGCAAAAATCTCCCAGTAAACAATGAATGCGACTCGTCATCAATTATCTTACTTAAGAAAATAGAAGCTCCCAGTCCTGATATTCCTGGTTTCAATTAAGCTGTTTTCAAACCCTTTCAAAAGTTAATCATATACTATCACATCGGATTGTTTGTTCGAAAACTATTGAAGTACATTAAACCAGATCAATCATTTAAACCCAAACATTACTACCTCATTAATGACAAAAGTTCGGGCAACATCAAGGATTTTATCACTTATTCTGGCAAAGCCAAATAGACAGTTATGCAATATCCAAGTCTTGATGAGGTCAATTTCTTTGTAAGGTTGCGATATCAATACAGACAAGGCCTGGTAAATTGTTAATAAAAAATATTGTACTTATTTGAATAGATACCCTTGATAGATCCATCATTTAAAATCAAAATCATTTGGGATCTCCTCCTAAATGTCTTCAGGATCTACCTTATGTATATTATTCCCATCATCATTACATTCGAATTACTGATAGAAGATTATGATTACATCATTATCATATCCTAGATTGTGTTTGCAATTGATTTATTACTACGAAACATCACTATCTATTATGATTAGGGTCTACCTGTCGTTGATCGCTATTAAATAGTAAAAAACCAATATCATGTTACCAACCTAATTGAATTGATGGAAATTTGCTTGCTTTTTGCTATGGCCTATTTCAACTTCGATTTTAATCACTAATTCATATTGTTTGGGGGTTGGCCTAAGTTATGGATGCTCTCATATTTTATTTAGTTAAAAAATCTATTAAATTTTATAGGATCATGGCAGCAATCCTTCTTAATGGGTTAATTAGCATCATCATTAATAGAGTTATTTAAATTGATAGGCTTGTTGCTTATAATATAGCATATTTTTAGTTGCATATGGTTGATCATTGGAAAGTATCAACTTCTTATGGGAAATTCAAATTGGATTACCTTTTTCAACTTGGAACACATCTCATGGACAGATTTATACATAGAATCAATGTATTACACTAGTGTAACTATGTACACTGTGGGATATGGTGATATCCATCCAATAAGTAAATATTTACAATGTATTTTAGATATATCTGAAAAAATGTTTGCCTTTTTATTTGTATTTGTTTGTACATTTTAACTGTCATTTAGTTTAAATACAATTGGTGAAATTTTGACTAGAATGAAAAACAATAACGACATCATTAATAAAAAGTTAATCTTCATTAATTAATACATGCATAATAAAAAGATTAGTCATCAATTACAGTTTTAAGTAAGAGAGTATCTAAATTATTATTGGTATCAAGAGTAAACATAATAAACCAAGGAATAAACAGAAATTTTAAGTTAATTATCAGATGATCTAAGAAAACAAATAGCAGTTGAATCAAACAGTATTGTGCTAAAGAATTGTGACTTCTTTTATAAGAACTTTTCTACTGAATTTTTGAATGAGCTCCTAAAAAACCTTTAATTTTAGGCCTATCAACCTTCATCCACAATTAATATATTTAATGAGGATGATCATTTCATTCATATAATTGAATCTGGATAGGTTGATATTTACGATAAATCTTTTGAAAAGAAAGTACTAATTGGATGTTTTAAATCAAATGAACTTTTTGGATTAACAGAATTCTTAAATAATTAAAAAAACTATAAATATGAATATAAAAGTTCTGGATTTGTCAGCACTTTAGTAATACCTAAATCAAAATTTCATATGATATTACAAAAATATAAATAGGATTTTGAGACCTTTTGGAATCTCAAAACCAATAATTATTAAGAATTAAAGTGTGCAGTTTGCGAATCCAAAAGACATCCTCCTGATTTTTGTAAGCAAGTTCACTATATTCCCGATAGAGAGAAGGTCATTAAATAATTTAATTTCTATTAAAATTAGGATAGATAAAAATTTAGAAGAAATTCAATCAGAATTAAGCAATTATACCATGCATCTACTGATTAAGAAATTATCAAGGAGGCCGCTCAAATGGTCAAAGTGAAAAACGACAGCATTTTCTTTTAGAAATATCAAATTATTGAAGATGAAACAACCTAATATGAAAGCTAAGGTAATCTATTGCATTTAAACTTAGAATATATAAACAAAAAGGACATAGATTCAGTGGGGATTTTAATAAAAGATCTGGAAAGCCGATCTTATCTCGATTTCTGTCAAAAGTCTCAATAAAAATCTGAAAAAGATATTTTGGACATTAGAATACACTTTTCATTGGAACTGCAAACTTTAAAGTCTTTGAAGGATAAATTGCATCATAAGGACTTATATTCTGAAAAGGACATCTAATAAATTGAATATCTGATCAAAATTTTAGAACTTAAACTCAATTTAGAAGATAAAATAGAACTTGATTAATAGCAGGAATATCAGACCTTTAATTAAAAGGCAAATATCAATTTAGTAATTAAGAAGTTGATTCATCCAGTCAGATACATCATTACGTAAACCTCAAAAAGTTTAGATTATTTCTAGTTGATTAGCGGGAATGGGTTGTTAAAATATTTGTTCTATCCTTATGATTTCATAAATCAATATAGGTTCAATGTTAATAGATTAGGTTTGCCGAGAAAGTCTATGGTAGTCCGACAATAAGAACGCCGGTTGTCTTCTGCTTTAATGAGAAAAAAATAATAAAATATACGATCCATGAAAAGATCAATTTAAGTTCATCCAATTAAATGAATAAATATAATAGTCATAAAAATACTAAAAATAATTAGGTTATTCAACATTAACCGCTGTATAAAATATTACTTTATTAAATCATTATCTATGAGAACCTGCAATTCAATTTTTAGAACTTCCGAATTTCTAAAAAACATTAACAAAAATTTATATTAAGGATTGTAGTTTTGATATTAAATTTCATTAAACTTAAATCACTATGAGTAAAGATTATCTCTCATACTTAAAACCAAATTAAGGCGATTAGGAATAATTTATTTTTGATATTAAAAAAGTATATCGAAGAATAATAGAAAATCTAGAATTTATTTTATATATATAATAATATTTCTTTCTATTTCTATGGTTTAATCAAATTAAAAATACCTTATTTATTATTATCCAAAGGAATTTTATTCCTCATAAATTTTATAATTCAATTGTTGATAAAAATTATATAATTTAATTTTGATTATTAGTAGTTTCTTTTCAGAATTCAAGAAGGTTTTGATTTCTCAAATAAATATGTTAAACTTTAAGGATAATCAAACCCATCGAAAATTAATCAATAATTTTCCATTTTATCATTTGAAAAAAATTCTTTAAACTGATTACAATCTCCCCTACATTTATTTAAAATTTAAGAAAAAAAGAAGAAATTTCAACAAAAACTATTTAAAAAGTAAAATATAATAAAGCTAAATGGTAGATATATTTCCTATATTGTAAGAGATATCCTAAGTTTTTAAAGAGCTTAAAGAAGCGTCAGATAAACAAAGTTGCAGCGATTTACATTTATTCCTCAACTTCAAACTTAAATGGTAATGTAAAATCAAAAAGGATTCTTTGATGATAAATTTTATTATTATTAAGATGTTTAAAATTAGCTTGAATTTGATATGCTTTCTATGCTTATATAGATTTTGATAACTCTGTAGATATTAATAACAACAAATAAATCTGTTAAGGTATATTAATTATTCATAAGGATTTATTCATAATTAGAATTCTATTTGATAATGATATTTATTTATGTAAACAATTATTATTCATATACTTTGATCATAATATAAGCATTCTAATCCATCACAATCTCCTATTTAAAATACAAATTACTAATTTTTTAACAAATTCATTTTTAATTAATCAAAATTTCAACATTTAATATTACATTCACTTTAACTTCACTAAAAAATTTAGAACTTTTAATATATATATACATTTCATAAATAAATTATTTCACTATAGGAATGTGATTATAATCATGGAAATAAATAATGAAAACTTTAAAAAAAAGAAAGTGAAAGTTAATTACAGAAGAACAAAATAAGAGAAGTCAGAATTTAGTAGTTGATATTTGATCAATAATTTCATAGCAAATTATTACTTATATTAAATTAAGTTAATTTCGAGCATCTAATCCGTAATTCTTGAAGCTTCGCATTTTTAAGCAACCATTTAATTTATTTATTTTTGGCCATTTTTGAGTAATTTAGATACTCAAGGTCATTTGGACATTATATGGAGAGAAAAAGCTAAATTAATATAGAATGTTTACCTTTACAATATCTTACTGATTTGACTGAATTGCATGTGATAGAGCAGACTCTCCATTCAAATCTTTGCTCAAAACGTTGGCACCATATGACAGCAATATTTTGATCATTATGTATGATTATTTCTTGGTTGCTGTGTGTAATGCAGTCATGTTTTTTTCATCAAAATCATGTACATACAAAGGATTTACTCCCAGCATCTCTTCTACTTTGTCAGTTACTCCTTTTTTTACATAAAATAAAAATGCAAATGATCCTTATTGCTAATAAGGCTTATTTTAAGTTATTTTATTATCAATAAGATCTTGCAAAGAAATTTGCAATTCTTTGGACTTTTTTAATAAAAACTAAATGATTTCCCTTAGTCTTCTCTATCTTGCACATCTAGAATATCTGTTATCAAAATCCATGAGTTCTTTTTAATCATTTCTATAAGTCATTTAATTCAAGGCTTTATTATAAATTTAAACTTAGGAATCATAGTTTTGTTTTTATTCTATACCTGTAAAAATGAATAAATACGTGATTTGTATATTGATCTTTTTGAAGACATGTAACTATTAAGATTTGGTTAATATTGACTTGAAGTTCTTTAAGAATAAATCCCAGGACTATATCCATCTTGAATGCTTATATTATCGTGCTTAAACTAGCTATGTGTTTAATTTTTAATGATTCTTAGGCTTGGAACTTCAGGTTTTGGTATATGTTTTTTAATTAGAAATTTTGATGGAGTTTGCCTGGAAGTTAATATGTAATTAGATTGACTGATTCCATGAGAATGCACGGATGAAATAGATCTTGTTTCTTTGTTTGATATTCCTTGTTGTGATTATTATTGTTTTTAATAAATAATTTTTCTCATAATAATAAAAATTAGTAGTTATCTTTTGTATAATCTAATATATTTAGTAATTTTAGATTAACTTTGATCTATAATTAGCAAAATTAGAAGCCAAAGTGTAGAAATAATAATATTATTTTAATAATGTTTAAAATTAATCAGGACTGGCTGATTAAAAACAAATATAAAGCAATATCAATGGCTGCAGGTGTTGGTTTATTGATGTTGGCTTTTAGAAAGAAAGGCTAAAACCCGTTTGAATCAACATACAGAAGAGTAGCGTAAGAGATTCAATAAAAAGTTCTAAAAGCTAGATATGTTATATCGACAGAGTTAAAGCTATCTAATGAAGACAAAACCCTTATTTTAAATAGTTCTATTCCTTAAATTCATAAATTTTATGAGTCTAAAAGGTTTACTTGTTTAGATGTGTTATTAACATTTTTGGAAGTGGCACTAGAAAAAGGGTTCAAAATGGGATATTTGAATGATGTAAATTTAGAAGATGCTATTTAAAAAGCTAGGCAATTAGATTAGGAATTAAAGAATAAGGATTATAAGATTGACAATATGCCACTATTTGGAATTCCTATAAGTGTGAAAGACACATTTATTGTTAAAGGAACATATTAAGCATTCGGTTGTGGTGCTTATGCTTAAAAGAGATCAGAAATAGATGGAATACAAGGATATTTAATAAATAAATCAGGAGGAATAATATTTGCAAAAACCAATTTACCATAATTTGGATTTTCATATGAAAGTTGGAATTATCTATATGGAAGATCAATCCATCCTTAAGATCCTTCTAGAACTTCTGGTGGTTCAACAGGAGGTGAAGGTGGATTGATAGCAGTGAATGGTTCTCCTTTGGGATTGGGAAGTGATAGTGGAGGAAGTATTAGAATACCTTCTCATTTTTGTGGTTTGTATGGATATAAGCCAAGTGCAAAAAGGTTGATAATGAGAGGTTAGGCAAAAGGTGTTCCAACATGGGATGGAATAAGGAATATAGCATCATGTTATGGTCCTATGGGTAAGAATTCAATAATATATATAAGCTAAACATTTTCCAAATTTAGTGAATATGATGTAAGCATTGACAACCAATTATGAGTAAGCTCCAATTAACATAAAAGACATCAATTTTGTGATGAAAACATTTGATGAGAAGGAGTGTTATAATAATGATAAGAAATACAAGATAGGAGTTTTAAGGAAAATCAATCTACTTTTACCTTGCAAAGTTAATTAAAGAGCCTTAGATATAGCAGTAGAGAAATTGAGAGCATAAGGACACACAGTTATAGAATTTGACATTGATTAAAGTATTTATGAGAATGTTTTCTAACATGTTTATGATGTGATGTTAGGTGATGGAGGAATGAAAGGAACTTATGAATTATACAAAGGAGAACCATGGATTACTCATTTTGATAATTTTAAGAAGGCCACTCAATCATGTCCTCTTTGGAAGAAAATCTATTAGAAATGGTTGAAATTATAGGATCGAAAAAGAGAATTAATGATTTGGAAAGCAGGAGATCACGGATTATCATACTATGAGAATCTTCAAATTACTACTAAATTAACAGCAAGTCAAATTTAAATGATTTAGATTTGGCATGATTTATAATTAGATGCAGTCATAAGTCCTGTGACTGCTGGAGTAGCTGTTAAACATAATACTGCATAACATTGTTTTAGTGGAATATGTTACACATTCTTCTGGAATATGATTGATTTCAGTTGTGGATCAGTTCCTATTACAACTGTTTAGGAGGATGAGCAATATTACAATGAAGAATCATTATTTGGTGCTAAGGATATTGAATATAAAGTTTTAGAAGAAACTATGAAACACAGTGCAGGATTACCAGTCGGCATTTAAGTTATCTCAAAGCCTTTGGAGGATGAGGTTTGTTTAAATATCATGAGATAATGTGGATAATGAGAATTTAAATATAAATAAATCATTTATATTATGCTAATAAATTAATAAATCCACCTCCAATTATTACAAATGGTATTGGAACACTTTTATATAGGCATAAACAACTGAGAATTCCTATGCCTATAGGAATTACAATGCCTTAACTACAAGAGTTAATAATCAAATGCACAATTGCACTTAATATAAATCCAACTGCAACTGCTGCTATTCCTTATAAAACTGCTCTTATAGTTCTTAATCCTCTGTACTTCTTCCAATAAGGCAGTATTCCAAATATTGTAAAGAATCCAGGAAGAAACATAAATATTTCTGCCAAAATAGCCATTGGAATACCTCCGATTAAAGCTCCAATGTATATGGCTATGTTGAACATAGGGCCAGGCATACAAGAAACCAAAGCAAAAGCATTCCAAAACTGTTCGGTTGTCAAATAATTTGATAAAGAAAATTGTATCATAGGTAAAACGACATGCCCCCCTCCTATGACCAGACTTCCTGTTTTGAATAAATTACTACATACTGCAATTGGCATCCAATCAATATAAGACAAAAAGAAAAACAAAACAAATGCAATTCCGTATCCAATCAACGATCTGTATCCCAGTAACCAACTATCAAAGCTGTGTTATACTTGTTCTTCTTATGGAATTAAGAGTTATTATCCAATCTGGCGATCAGATACATAATTTGAAATGGCTCCAACAACTATCATTAAAACTGCAATTGAAGGGGTTGGAAAAAAAGTCGTTATTATTGCACTTGCAATCCACAAAAACAAATGGAATTTATTTTTAATGGCTCCGTTCGATAATTTATAGGCTGCCTCTATTATTACTCCAATTGATGCGTATTTAAATCCATTTATCAATAATTAAATCCAAGGTATTGATAAATTTGGCACAGTTAGACCAAGTATCATCATTACAAAAGCAGATGGCATACTAAAATATAGAAATGCAACCAATCCTCCCAAACAACTATGTGTGAGATTAGCCCCAACTGCAATTACCATTTGAGTAGAAGTTGGACCAGGTAAAGTCTAGCATAATGCAAATAATTCCTGAAATTCTTCTTCGGTGGTGTAATCCCTAAATCTTTCTCTTAGCACATTAATATGAGCTAAGGGTCCACCATAAGTAATGAATCCAAGTGGGAACATCACATCTCTTAATTACTTCAAATTCATTTATTTCGAACTGCAAGTATCCATTGGAATCATGATTAATAATTATATTATATTTATTCAATACATCCCAATTCCTCTTACCTGGAAATCACATGTAAAATTTAGGTCCACATCCTTTAATAATCTAAAAAATATTGAAGTTATACTTTTATATGTATCTCAATTTCAAAAAGTTAACTAAATTAATAATATTTCTAATTATATTCACTTTCAAAATGATTGGATTATTGAATCGATCTTAAAAGGTATTACCAATAAGGTTATCTCCATTACTATTTTACCTATATCATTAATCAAATGAATCTATTCAACTTCTAACCAGTATTAAAAATTGAGAAAGATAAAATATGGCAGGACCAATAAAATTTGTTAATCAAACTTCTTGATAAAATTGCTCAAAAATGTAAATCTACTATTTTACTTTAATTAGTAAAATAATCAATAATCTCTTTTCCTGTTTGTTGCATATTTTATAGAGTCAATAATCGAATAATCGAAAGATTAATTAATCACAAGAATAAAAAATTAAATTACTATTTGTCAATGTCAGTTCTTTAGAATTAATCTTGAAAAAAGGTTTAGATATTAGGTATTTCTCTGTACATCTCTCTTCCTCGTCCCTAATAAAGTAATCACAGATTATTATTATTATTTATATTTGTTTGAATTTGAATTTGCATATCAACTTAAATGCGTAAATGACTATTACACTTTACAATACAGGCTTACCATCTAAAATCTAAAAAACTCAAATAACACTTAATAATATTAATTAGCAATACGTAAAAATTCTACATTATAAATCAGAATCTATTTTCATTTCACTAGATATTGAATATAATGCAATTTATATCTATTACTGCAATCACTAAAGCCAAAACCAAATAATCTATAAAATTAATTCCATTTATGAATATGTAAATATAAACATTTAAATACACAAATATAATCAATTACATAATTTTTAAATCTAATTAAATTTATTGTTCTGTTTAAAACATCTACAAATATTCAGAATATGATTACATTTCATTTGGATACTCTTTATACTTTTCATTTAATGGATTTTCCTCAAAGTTTTCATCAATTTACTCCTAGTATACAGATTCATCATGTGCAACAAATTCTATCGAAACCATCCTTTTTAATCCAGGACTCTTTTTATTAATCGCTGATGGCAGATACCTTAATCTCATTGAACTGTAGGTGCCCATAACAACAGATATATTTGATCCACTTGAAAAATGATGAATATCACTCCTTTTTTTTTATATTTCTGGAGGCATTAAAAGATTTTTTTATGATTGAGGTCGACTGTGAATATAGTATAATAAATACTTTGAATTATCACACACGGACCAAATCACTTAATTTGAGATTTTGGTGGTGCTTTTCATTTATTATTTAGGTGATTAGGGTTCCTTTTTGTCTAAAGAAACTTTAGATTCTGAAAGTTTTTTACTGAATTTCATTCCCTCTGTCCAATCATAATATCCATCTAATTTAATATTATTGTTTTTAGCTGCTTCTGCAAGAAGATCTTTAATAAATTCATAATCTGGCTATTCATCAAATTTTAATTTTCTAATGTATTGGAAAATTTTAATGAATTCTGGACATTTGGTTGCTGTTAATTCCTATACAGGAATGGTTTATTTCATCTCTCCAACAATTCTATTGCGTTCACTAGATTCAACTGGGATGTTTTGCCAAGGTAGATTCCCTCTTAGGAAATAAAAGATGACATAAAATAATGATTCTAAATCATCTTTTCTTCCTAATTCTTATCCTTTATGAGCAGCAACTGAAGCATACCTCAGAGTACCAATAAAATCTTTGTCCTATCTAAAAGGTCTTTGTAAGACTTTTTTACAAATAATTTTTACATGTGATCTGCTTCAAAATAAATCTTGCTTACACCAAAATCTACTATGTATATTTAATTTAAATCGATTGACATCATAATATTCTCTGGTTTTAAATCTCGATGTATGATGAACCTTTTATGTATATTTTTTAAAATATCTATGCAATCGTAAGCAACTTGCAAACAACATTTAAATGAGAACTTCTTATAAAGTTTTAAGTAATAACTTAGATCTTTACCTAGAAGCTGTAATGCCATCAATTAAGTCTGTCCTTCAAAACCATACCATATCAGTTTTGGAATTCCTTCAACATTTTCCAATTAGATAAGCATAGTAATTTCTCTTTCTAATGTTTTCTTCTCCTAATTGTCTTCCAACTCAACTTTCAATGCGCATTCAGCATTTGTAGCTCGATCAAAAACTTGATAAACCATTCCGAAGGATCCTTACGACAATTTTTTCTTCATTACGAATCTATTTGCATAAATTTTGGAACTATTTAAACTCATATTTAGTAGTGATTATTAATTATATATCAAATCAAACCATAAAAAAGAAATGAAGAATTAAGATTAGAATGGATTTTCAATTAATTTTTCATTAGATTAAAATATCATTAGATATAATAAAATCAAAATTTTGAAAATGATAATTAATATTCTGTGCAAATGTCTATGAAATAATATCTCATTATGGTTTATTGGATGGCACTGGTTATTATGGTTATTGTGTTCTAGCACCAACTGGTGGATAACTTGGGTAAACCTAAAAAATATAGAATAAATATCTCATACTGGTGCATAAGCTGGTCTCACACCTGAAAAAGTGAGAGCTGGAGCAACTACTGGTTAAGCATACACTGGAGCTTAGGCAATTGGTCTAGCAACTGAATAAGTGAGTGGTTGGACTGGTTGAACAATTGATTAAACAACTGGTTAAACAGGAACAGTCTAGACTGGTTGATATTACTAATAAATTATTCATTATTGAACTTACCACTCTTTATACTTCTCTCTCAACAGCATCATATTCAACTCTAGGCACAGTTTTAGTGACTGGCACATATTCAGTTTACTACTCATAAACTGTTCTAGGGATGTACTCAGTTTAGTATTCAACTGGATAATAATCAGTCACATATTTGGTTTTTGGTACTTGAACTTAAATAGTTTCTGTTTCCATTTCAACTACAGGTCTTTGAAATTCTCTGTATTCAACTCTGGATTCCCCTTTGATTGGAGCCTATTGTGGGGCAGCTACAACTGATTGGGTGAGGATTGGCTGAGCAATAACGGGTTATTGATAAACAGGTTGGGGCACATATTAGACTGGTTATGGAACATATGAGACAGGTTGAGCATAAGTCACTGGTTGGGCATAGCTTACTGGTTAAACAACACTCACTGGAGCTGGAATAGAACTGGTAAGAGGTGCTGTTGGGTAGATAGGCATTCTTTTATATTCAATAAATATTTTATTTAATATTCATTGGAAAATAAATTTTAATTGAAATTTAATTGCTCACCTCATTATCAAGACATTTAGACTTTTATTTAAGAAAAAGAAGTATAATTTAATAATTACTCTAAGTTTAATTAAATTGAAAGTTGTGTGGATCAATATTTATTTTATTAAATTAAATTATGGCTGATGAATAAGCTGATTTCTTTAAGGAAGTTTTAAAGTTGATTTCTAACTTACGCTTTGAAAATAAAATCACTGAAGATTAGAAGTCAGAATTAAAGAAATTATTGATGGACGACGAAGATTTCGTTAAATAATTATAGGAAGAATATCAAGTTGAAGGTCTTAAAGGAATAGTTAATATAATAATTGGTGACACTATTTCAGATTGTAGTTTCAGAGATTTACTAGATTTCAATTAGGAAAAAAGAAAAAGATCCTAATCGTTAACTATTTAAACTGACTCTTCAGATTGAGTCAATTTCTGCTAATCTTAGCACTGTATAGGCATTTTGATATATGCATTATTTACATATAAATATATGGATGTCATTCATAAAAAGTAACAATTTATCCTAGAATACCAACTCTAATCACAATTAATAAAATTAAACTAAAAAATTCTTATTATTATATGAATAGAAATAGATTCCTAAATTTAGAATGACATTTAATGATAGCAAAAATTAAAAAAATTAAGAATTAAATAAAATTAAGAATAATACACAAGATAAAACTACCATTATAATTTATTAATCAAATAAATGAGTTTTCACTTTCCTCTTTAATAATATTACTAGTATCATTATTATTATTTGCTTGATTTAATCTCTACTTTACTTACAATTTTTTCTATCCTTTTCCATATAATATTTAATTAATTTCAGTGTTTAAACTTTCATTTATTGATTGAGAATCATTAAGATAATTTACTTACTACCTTGCAATAACTTCTAAATTCGGTTTCCTTAGTTACTCTTCAGAAGTTTGGATTGTTCTAAAGGCAAATGCAGGACCCCCTAATTTCTTTTATATTGCTGGTTAATCCATGCTGACCTGTCTAGGATTCAGTTTAGTTGGTCTGAATGAATATTATGCTTTGTAAATTATACGATAAAAATTTTATGATGTTTTTGGAAACTCAATTTTATTTTTTTATTCCATGATTGTTTTCCCTTTTACTAAGCCTTAAAAAATCTAACCCACTTATTATGCTTTTTAATCCTCAGAATCAATTAAATTGTTAATTTTTGATTTCAATGTTGGGAGTTAAAATCTTTATTCTTATTTAGAATGAATCCTTGGCATGCTTTTACTTTATAAATTGTCTTAAAGAGTAGTGAGTGGACTGCTTAGCTACCTCATCTCAATTTATTATTTAATTATAACATTAATAATTTTGTTTTTATACTAATTTTCTGAAATAGCTAACAATCCATTACTAACAATTTAGATAAATTAGATTTCTCATATGATTTGTTTTTAAGTCTTTAAGCCTAAGTTCCATATATGCCTTATAGGAAAAATAACTTTCTATAAAAAAATCTCTTAACATATTAAAAGATATTTTAATCACAGCCTAAAAATAAATTGAAATCTAATCTTACATCTTAAATTTAAATACATTAATGACTTTATGTAAAATCAATATTTTTTCAATTCTACATATGTAAGTTCAAAGCATCTCTAGGATAATAAAAATAATATTCAATTTAGGTATTTCTTTACCAATAATAGGAACTCTTTTGATATAAATGTTGAGTTCTAATATTAAATGATTTTATTGCTTTTCTTTATATCTGCAGTTTTATCCAATTCTATTGATCCAATCAAATTAGATTAAACAGAGATGTTCCCCGATTAAAAACTTCACCATCATAAGAATGAATTCAAAATCAAAGTAACTGGATCTGGAATTGTCGAATTATAGCCTACAATTGGAACTGTCATTTTTCCTATAGAATCTCGTGACAAATAGGCTGATAATGCTTTATACTTAGCAAACAGTTTAGTCTTCACAGCTGCGGAAACAATTAAATGGATTTTTTCAGATCCACGATCGTTCTTGGATCCCAAAGAGGAGCAATCGCTGAATGGCTCTATGAAGTTAGGAATAGAGTCGGTGTTTTTTGAAAGATTTTCAATAGAGACAGGAAAATAGTAGATTTCTTTGATATATGATAATAAAACACAAGTCGAAGAATATTTGGTCACCAATTACTTATATATAACAACCAAGCATATAGATATGATTAATAAAATTATTGTTGAATGTGTAAATTCGGGCTTAAATAGAGGGGCTGGAGTTAATTACTCAAATAGTTAAAAAGAAGTAGATAAAGCAAAGGATAAGGCATTTAAATTAGCTATCAAAGATGCTAAACGAAAAGCTAAAAATATTGCTCGTTTGCTAAATCTAGAAGTTCATGAATACCTTAATTTTAAATATTTGGATAGTGAAAATAATTCTGCAACAGGTTAATGTGATCCCAAAGCAGCAGAAATATTAAATTAAGCAACATGTATTCCAAATTAATCAGCCAAGAAATATTTTAGAGTAGACGTTGAATTATCAGTATTATTAAAATGATTAATAAAATAAATCAATTTAATTCTATTCTTAGGATATTCTCATAGATTAAATACAAAGTCTTACAATAAATTTAAAGTTTGAATTAATAATAAAAATAATGATCGTAATAATATTATCATTCACTATATTAAATATCAGTTCCTAAGTGAGCGCATAACCATAAGAATCAAACTGCAACATTATTTCTAAAAGTCTAAATTCAAAATAGGCATCTTAATTTGAATACAATTTTAATACAATTCGCAATCAAGTAGCCATGGGAAGAAGAGCAAATCATAAGGGCTAAATTTAACCAGCCTCTGATATGCATATTGCAACATGGTCTTAAGAACTAGCCAAATTAGCTTAGGAGTGCTCTGAAACCTGTCCAGAACACCCTCTCAATTGTAGAAATGTAAGTATTCATTTTACTTAGTAAAAAGCTTAATAGGGATTTTTGATTTATAAGTAACTTGTTCATACAGAAAAATGGAACATAGACCCATACTTTATTTTAAATGAATGGATGTAATCCAAATAATCTTCTCAATAATTGCTTTAATCAATGCTATTTTAGATTGGATGTGGAAGAGCAATGAGCTCTAATTTAGGTGAATATGTCGTATATGTTGTATGTTATTTCGATTATGTATGGATTACCTCATGACATCTTATAGCCTAATAAATAGGAACCCTATAGGCCAAGCTCTTCGTTAAATGTTGCAAATTCATGCAGATTAGGGAGATCTTCAAGTTATACAGCCTTGTGCACTTCGCCTTATTAAAAAGAATAAGGAATAATGTAATTAACAAGGAGATATAGAGAAAGTGCATCGAAATGATAATATTATGGATAAAGTTAATTATGTTTATTTTCGTTATTTAAATTTGAATGAAGCAACCACTACAGTGTCGATTGATTATACAGGATGCAAGGCGCAAGAATTTAAGTGCTGTTGCTCTTCTTGATCCTTCACCTAAGTAAATCACTATAAGGAAGGCTTCTGTAGGTGGATTAAAGAATAAGGAAAATATGAATAGCAATGACACCTAAAGGAAACAAAAATCATCCTAAAATACGAATACGGAGGATATTAGAAAATAAATTAGCTAATTAATTAAAAAAACAGCTTAATCTCAAAGAACCAAATTGAAGAAAATAGACATTGGATGTCAAGAATAGATAGAAATCAATGATCAAAAAGAAGGAATATTTGATGAAATGACATTGAGACTATTATATTAAAAAGAATTGGAATATAAAATTCATCCATAGTTCTTTGAACATTAATGTCATATATCTCCATTAATGAGATCAATTTTATATGACTGGATTAGTGAAGTCTGTAAAGAATTCACATTAAAGAGAGAGACCTTCCATTTATGTATTCATAACTTGGATAGATATATGTCTAAAGTCTCCGTCACTAAATCAGAACTCCAATTATGTGGCTTAGCAAGTCTATTAATTGCATGTAAAATTGAAGTATACTAATCACTTATTCTAGGAAATCTATCCACCAAAAGTAAATGATTTTTCATCAGCTAGTAATTATGGATTCACCGAGCAATAAATCTTAGATAAAGAGTAATAAATATTAACTGAATTAAAGTGGATGATCAATCCACCTACTCTCTATCTTTGGAGCTCATGGTACTTATCCTAATGGGATATATATTATCCTTAGGCCAATCTATAAATTAAATAACCAACATAATCATCATACACATTATTCAGGCATTTTATGAACTTTTTAGATTGTGTAGTTTTAGACATTAAATTATATCAATTTACCAATCGAGAAATAGTTTCATCCTTACTTTATTTGGTTTTACTAAAACAATATTGTGGATGTACTTATCAAAGAATAGTGGAAAATAAAGTTCAAGAGAAAGATGTGCTTGATTTTTAGCGCATTTATAAACCATTCGTTGAACTTGTGTTTGGTTTTCAATTTAGTTAATTAAGTAGATGCATTAGATATCTTACCAAATTTTTAATATTAGATATAGTTGTTGATTAACCTGGCACAACCAAAGTTGTAGCCGAAAAAGAATTAGTAGAGGTTTATGAGTATTTCTTATCAATTCAGACACACAATCCAGCAGGTCTCTAATTAATTAGAAAATGATTGATATCATATACTTTAATTATTTTTTATTGTTATTTTTTAAATGGCCTTAACCGATCAACTGTGCCTTGGATTAACTATTTTAACATTTCTATCCTACATAGCCATTGATGTGGTTCTTCAAATGTAAATCCCCTATACGAAAATTGGACTACCACAAAAAGGTTAGATATGTCCCAATCAATATATCAAATATACTGATTCCTTCGATATGCAATGTGTATCTGATTGCAATCAAAAAGAAATTGCCAAAAAATAAAGCATTCATAAACACTTGAGCAGAAGCAATCAACCAAATTTCATAGCATGTATATTTCATTATAATGTAGATGAAAATTAAATCTGTTTGCCTACTCTAGACAAGAATTTCTATTAATTAGAACCATATGTTGAAAAACCTATTTAAATGTACATTAGTTAATCCTTAAAGGATGATTCCCTAGTGATAATCTGCATAATTTTCATTACATTAGCCATCATTTGCGGGACTTTGGCATTTTACAGAGATTATGCAGAATTCATAGTCAAGATTTCATAAATAGTTTCCATGATTCTCAGCTTTGCTATTCTTTTAATTCTGCTGAGGAAATATAGATCAGTCCAGGAGGCCAATGAAATGTATAATAATATTTCTATTCATTTTAGCTTGATTTCAAATGATTCATAATACGATTTATCACAAATGGCTGCTATTATGATGCTTAATAAAATGGACTTGGTTTATTTAGGGTTGATGGCTTTTATGGGTCTTTTATTGTGCTTGTTAATCTTTAAATATTCGATGGATAGACTTAAATTTTCAGTGTTTCCACTTACTCATTGGTTCACTATCTCCTATTATAAGGATTATTTGAATAATGACTAAATGGATCAAAATGAAAAACCAAAAAAATCATCTTGGCCATTGATCCTATTTTAAATTATCAACTTTATCCTATTTTATACTATTAACATGTATCTAACTAATCATTAAATATTCTAGGTCTTCTTTGTCCATAAGTTAAGAGTCCTCTTAATACGCATTTGGAGAAACCTCTATTGTCTTTAACATTGTTGTGCCGACCTTATCATTCATACTTTATCTGTACTTTGCTATTTTGATTTCCCTACTTTCAGAATACAACCTTTATTAAAGATAAAATACAGTGCTCCCTTAAATTGGGAAGGCAGGAATTCAAGCCGTATATTTAATTATCTTGTTCCCATTGAACTTTTTAAGGAGCTTTCTGTAATTCTTTGGAAAGGATAAATTTTCATACCTAACATTTACAACCCTCAAATAGGGCTATGAATTAATCAGAGAGTAAAACCATAATATGAATCAATAAGAATTGAGCGAAGTTGACTTAAGGTCTAAAATTAATTTATGTAATAATTGTAATAATTCTCTAGACGATTAATTGAATAAGGTTACTCATATCATCTCAGTTTGCTTAGCTTTGGCCTGCAATTTCATTATGCTCATTTTATAATAAAATATTCCAGCTCCATTTTTAATTTCTTTGTTGGCTTATGCTATCAGTTACACTTATTATATTCCAATCGTTGCCAGTCCCCTTAGGTATAGTTTCTTTGAAGGCCAAAATGAAATGGACGAACACAAACAGTAGAATATGAAATGTCTTTTAAGACTTTTAGAATAAAATTAATAATGATAATTTAACATATAAATTATTTATCAAAAAAATAATTATTAGATGTCGATGGAATAAAAGATAGAAGAACTGAATCTAAAATATAAGAAATTGATTAATGACGATGAAAATTATAATTCTAAATTTACTAAGAACTTTTAAAATTTTTACTAATACGCAATAGCTGCCGGAGATGCCGATTTTTCAAGAGGAATTCAAGCAACTAAAAAACTTAAAAAGTTGATTGATACACTATATGACTCATCAAAATTAACCAATTAGATCATTATCAAGGAAGCTTTCTATAGGTAATATTTGACGCCTGATAATAGCATTTAAATCCTAATTTCTACTCTTTTATAAAGTATTAGATGGCAAGATAATAATGCAGGAATAATGATAATAATTGTACTAATGTTTTATATGTTTTTAGTTTTACTTAGAATCAAATTATTAATTTCTAGATATCAAAATTTTAAGTTAAATTTTTAAACTTCATCTAACATAATACTTGGAAGAATCAGAAGAAATGCTATAAGAAAACACATCAAAATTATTAACATTATTAATGAATTAGAATGACGTATTTGAAAAACCTGAATATTTGGAAATTCAGGAAAAACTTGTATAAAGCATGAATTCATCGTTATAATTATGTGATAATTTTTAAGATTGCTATGAAGTTATCATTAATTATTTTTAAAATAATTGTTACTTATAATAAGATTAAGACAATTATTAATTAATTGGATTGCGGACTCAGAAAGTAGATTTTTCAGAGAAATACATTTCAAAGATTTAATTAAGTCCTTTATTATAAATACTTAAAGAACTATATAGCAAAACAAATATTAATAATTTTACTAATCTGCTAATTAAATGCTGCTTAATCAATTAAAAGTAAACTTAGCTATCTGCTTTTCATTAGTTACTTTAAGTAAGTAATATTGATTAAAGCGATTTTATTGAAGTTCTTAGATACTCTTTATTGCATAACAACATTGAAATCATTAAATTAGGAACCTAAATGGCGAAGAATGTTATTCAGGATTATGAATGCAATTAACTCTAAGAAATTAAATTGCTAATCTATCTAAATTAATCTCTATAACCTGTAGGAGATATTTCAACTGATTTGATAATGAATAAATTTAAGATTGAGAAAAATGACACTCTTATTTTAAGGGATAATTTCAAGCTAATATTAAACATATGCTCAATTTTAGTTTAAAGTGAATATTTTGAATTTAGAGTTTAGACATGGAGAATTATGTATATTCTAATAAAATAACAAAATTTGTAGGATCTTTAATAATGCAAAAAGCAAATAGTTTAACTAAGCTAAATTGCAAAAAGCGAAACTTTAGAGAAGGCAATCTATTATTTTTTATATTTTATTGAATTATTAGTTAAAAAATTAGAAGATTCAGATAAAAATGAAAATCTTTTATTTGCTTAAATCATTTGTAATTTTGTTGGTCAATTTAGATAGAATTCAATTACAGCAAAAATATTAGATATTTTCAACTATTTCGATTTCAATGACGCATAACTATTACAATTATAAAGTCAAAGCAATGTTCAAGATTCAAATGAAATTTAGTAGGCTTGGAAAGAATTACGATAAAAGTTTTAATAGCTTAAATCTAAAGCTTGAGAAAGTAATTTCAGTTAAGATGAGTAATATATTTAATGATTTTTTTATTAAAATTTTAAATCAGTCAATAAATTTGTCTTTTTTTGAGAAATGATTCCTCTTCTTCATTCAGTTTTTATACTAAAATAATTAAAAGAATAATCTTACTTAACTCTTGTTTATAGGAATTTGCAGGAGGACTATTAGAATCTAAGATTGCTTAAACTACCTCGATTTTATCACCTGCTTCATTCCAACGGGGTAATTAAACCATGTTAAACTTGTTCAATTGCTTTTAATTATCTAAATGGATTTCTTTAAATTCTTAATCTTTGTGTCTTTTCATTTAATTGATTTACAGAAACTATTTAATATCTGACATCTCTGTTTCAGCCACATCAGTGAACCAATCAGATATACAGGGTATACTCTTAGTTATCTTGCTCTTTGCTCCACTGTAAGATGGATCTTAATAGACCACCACTGATGCTTTCTCTGGAATATAGATACTTTTGGCTAATCTCATGATTGAATTGAAATCAGACACATCCTTACATAAGTATACTTTTGATCCTTAGTAATTACACATCGAGTAAACGATAGGGCATTTTTTATATTCTTTCTGTTCGAAATAATACAATCCCAAAACTGCCTAATTTCCTTTATCCAAAGTGATTCTCAGATTCACATTCAAAGCAGTTGGATCAATTTAATCTCCCTACCACATAAAAGTGACAGGCAACGATGTAAATCTTAGACCATTAATACCATTTATTTAAATGAGTTTTGGTTTACTTCTTAATTATAAGAATTCTTTGGTTTCTTCAACTTTTTCTGATGCTTGAGATTCCTCAGTATGATCAACAGGTTCAATATGTGCTTGTTTTTAACCAGTATGTGTAACTTATTATGCTAATTCCTTGCTAGACTATGTAGCAACATAGGCCAATTAGACTTTCTAAACGCTTGTGTCTCCGAACTTTTTAAAATTCAATTAAACTCCGTGTAATGAAACAGTTAATGGAGAAACTTCGAATTGTATAAGCTTTGATTATGATTCCACTCCTACTAAGAATACTTAAACTATTGGGTCTTCAGTAAATGTTCTTTTAAATGTCAATAAAGATGGTATGACTCTATCTCCAGCTTCTGCTTTCTTCAACATCGAAAGTGCATCAACATTAAAATATCCAAATTCAACCTCATCTTAATTAATTGCAATATATTCATATGCTAAAACTTTTAATGTGGCATGGAGAACCGTCAATTAGAATGTAAAGTCTACATAGATTCTCTGTAGTTACCTTATTCAGTCACATCTTAAATCTAACAGAAAAATCCGACAGGACCTGCATCATATTCTATGGCTCTAATCGTTACCAAAATTTAAGGGATATCAGAGAATTTATCTGGAAACGTGATCTTTCTAATGATAGGATCACAACAACTTGGTGCTGTAAATTCAATAACACCTTTCATTACTGATTTAGTCTAAACTAACATTAGTGTTAACAATGCAATAAAGAATCGTTTTTGCATTATAAATTTTAATTATATAAATCAAACAATTATATAAATACTAATCAAGCTAATGAAGAGAATAATAAGAATCAGATATACAGGCTATTAATTTTATTATATAATTTTAGCTTGCTGAACTTCAATCTATGGCTTTTTCAGAAGAGAAAGAAATGTTTTTAAATCTGGATGTGGTTTACTTGGCCTACTATCTATTATTTTCTTTATTAGTATTTCTTATTCTTTGATTTTACTTTAAGCTGAAAATATAATATTCATGTTTACATAGCTATCCAAATTGAGTCAACTCTCTCTGCTTTTTAAATAATTCTAAAAATTCCTCATTGAACCTTAATTGATCTAAACTATTCTATGACCGAAAATGAGCAGATTCCTTTACATCTCCCTATTGATTCGAAATTTTTGCTATGTTCAATTTAAGAAGATTATTCTAAGAAGGAGTACTCTTTTAAGGTGTTTCTATGTCTTCTATTTGCTCCTAACTCTGATAATTTTCTTATTATGATTCACTTTCTATTTCTGGTTATAACGATAAATATCGAACATGCTTATTTAATTTGTTTACAAAGATCTAACTATTTTACTCAGATCTAGATTATTTCATTTATTGTTCATCATTTTTTAATATTTATAAGGGCATTTTGCATCTCAAAGTGAATATTTTTTATAGTTTATTTATAGCTAAGCTCCAGTGATAAGTTAGAACCATTTTTTTAAAGTGAATTGATGGTTTAGAATGCTGTTTAACAAGTATATGACAATTATTGATCTTTTCTAATAATTAATTAGGTTGTGATTTCATTATTACTTTAAAATATTAAAAATGGATTAAGTAAATTAGGCATTTAAAGGGTTGTATTTTCAAGGAGAGCCTTATGAGAATGTTAGAGTTAAAATAGATCAATGTCCTTATGACGAGGTTGCCTCTCTTATGGAAATCTATGTAAAAAATTATCTTGATGTAATATATTATTAACAAGTAGACAGTACAAAATAACTTATACTCGTATAGTTATAATGATCAAGATTCGGCAAAGTTCTACATCGAATAGCTGAATAGTCATTGGTTAAGAATATAGAATATTGCATCGGAATTGGGGAAATACTAATAATTGAGTAATGGTTTCAGAGTAAATTTGAAATTAATCTAGATCTAAGAATATCATCGCATCAAGTTTTAAGATAGAATATTTTCAGATAACAAGATTAATTTTGCATTAAGAGAGATTTGCAGGATCTACAAATTCAATTAACTCATCGAGTCTCATTTTGGCTCTTCTGTTTTCCAATACTTTAGACCCAAAATAACGACCCATCAAGATCTTATGACTAATTGGCTCACCTATAGTTAATGCGAGTAAGGCATAGATGAAATAAAGGATTTTGAAAGAAGACTCGAATGTGCAATGACTTATTTGCCAGATAACGAAAAATAGTAACCTAAATTACCACCAAATTGGGAAAAGAATATGGTAAATTTGATGAAAAAGAAAAAGAAGAAGATATGATAAATAATAATATGTTAAATAAATATTCGAATTCTCTACAATTATTATAATCAATTGTAAAATTTGCAAATATTTATGACTAAAATAATCTGCTATTTGAATCATAATATATCTTTATATAATATTTGAATCTATTTCATCTTTTCATTTTTATTTCGAATCCACCTAATTGAGAAAGTTTTGAGGACAAATTATGGCATGAATCATCCTCTAAAAATAAATTGGCATCGTCATCATCACTCTCAGAAGAATCCTCCCCATTCATACTCTCTCCCGAATCACTTTCTATTTATTATTCACCATTTTATCCATTCTTTGTCTCAGTATAGAAAGAGCCTGCTATCTAAATTAAATGAATTATTTTACATTCTTGACTGTTTCCTGCACTATCAGATTTTCTTATTCTTCTTCTTCTCCTTGTTATTGTTCAACTATTTGTTACATCATTTATGTTTTCTATTTTTCAGTAATGATGGCTTATTTCAATAAAATATATTATCTCATAGATCTTCTCTTTGCCTTAGAAAGATTAATCTATTCAGGTAAAACTGATGATCCCAAGTAACTTAATCGAACCTATTCAGTTATTACAAAATTTACTTCTTTTTATTTTTATGGAGTTCCTAATTCATTATTAACCGTTTAAAGTTATAAAAATAGTGAATCTAAACAATCTGCTGCAGATGGTCTTTGATTTTCTTCTAAACATAAAACTCTTTTAAGAAATGATTATGCATCCTTACTAAGACAGACAAATTTAGAATTATTAAAATCAATTCTTCCTGCCGTATTTTAATTTAATATAGCACTGATTGTATTTCCAGAAAATAAAGGTTGTTGAGTCAATAAAATATAAGCCACAACACCTGCACTAAATATATCAATTTTTTCATTATAGACTTTCAAATTGAGGACTTCAGGTGCAATGTATCCTGGAGTTCCATATTTTTTGTATTCGAATTTGGGTATTTTTTTAGCTGCCAATCCAAAATCAGCAATCACAATAGTTGAAGAATCTTTTACAAGAATATTTTCTAACTTAATGTCTCTATGCATAATATTAAGGGAATGAATGTGTTTAAGACCTTCAAAAATTTATTTCATAAAATTGCTAATCTATTGTTCACTAAATTGAGATTTCTCAGCTTTCTTCTTTTAGAATTCTTGAAACAATTCTCCCTTTGCATATTCATATATCAAATAAATTTATTTATTGTCTTCATGAATTTCTAATAACTTAATTACATTTGGATGATCGATAGGTCTGAGTAGCAACATTTCGCCAATTACAGAATCTCTAAGTTTAGTAACTTTGACCAAGTCAGTCTTTTGGAAGGTCTTGCACACAAATTGTCTCTACTTATTGTCCTCGATGAGATAACCCTTTTATTAAAATACAGTACTTTTGAATAATTGCCATTATTGATTTGACTTAAAAATCTGAATCTAGTTTAGATTTGGCCCCTTGTTACGCAAAACCTTATTAGAAGTTCGATCCAATTTTTTAATTATTTTTGGTCAGTGCAATGATACTCTTTTACTCTGTCGTATGAAGTTAACAAAAAACTCTTATCAGTATAGGATAGAATATATAGACCATTAAAGAGGTTACAATATTTGGTTTTTTGATGTCCAAATTTTACTAATGAGCCATCTTTGGTTAATGCATATTCGTAATTCTGACTTTTAGTTAGATTTACTAGTTAGGATTTAATCAAATAGGCTGATTGAACATTTCCAGCGGTCCAAAAGGTTGTTGTTTTAAGGAGTGATTGTAAATTCTTACTAGTAGGTATATACAAGTAATCAATATTTTAAGATTATTAGAGCATATTTATTTATTTAATTATTTTTTAATAAACAATGGGATCATGTGCGTCAATGAAATAAAAAAAAATAGATGGAAATATATAAATTGCGTCATACAAGTAACTAAAACTAATATTTTCAGAGTCTGCATAACAGCTTTCATTTGGAATAAAGAAAGTCATAATTTATTCGATTTCGAGAGCCACCAAGCAAGCCGAAAAGACTTGGAACTAGATTTTTCAGGTAACTTTGTAGGTTATCATTTAGCAACACTTTCGATGGTTGATAATTAAATTATAGCATTAAGTGAGAATGTAAATTTATTATCATAAAATAAAGGAGTATGTAAAAAAACAGGTTCAGCTGCTTAGAGTGGATTGCGAATAAGATTATGTGACTCTGTCAGGAATGAGCTAGAAATCTGATTCAAGGGTGTGGGCAATACTATGTAGGAGGCCTGAGTTTGAGTCATTGAATGTATTAATATAAATGAAAATGAAAAGGAATGGGAACTATAGAGAGGAGATATTATAAAATTGGGAAGGATGAAATTACAATTACTCGATTTTAATTATGATTTAGATGCATTATAATAATAAAGAGATTAAACTGATATCAATGATGAAGAAATATAGTCTCAAGATTTAGACCCAGATGGTTGTTAATGTAGAATTTGCTTCTAAAAAAATGCTACGGTTTCGAACCCTCTTTTTAGTCCATGCAAATGTAAATCTATTCAACTTAAATTGCAGGTATTGGTTCCATGAAATATGTTCATCTTCATTGTTTATAAGTTTGGATTCAATAATCAATCAAAGTAAAAAATCAATAATCCTCAACGCAATACATCTGGAAGAAAATGGAGTGTGAGATCTGTAAAATGCCATTAAAAAGCACCTACACCTATTAAAGATAGATCTTTTGTATAATGCAAATCTAGAAGCCTACAGTGCCTTATATGATTTGGAAAATAACCTCGGATGACAAATCCAAAGGAGGGCATCATCTAGGTCATGGAACTCTAAGACAAAGAAGAAATCAAAATTGGGAGAATACCTGACTGTGATATCAAGCTTAAAGATATATCAGTTTCGAGAAGTCATGCCTTAATCAAAGTAATAAAGCAAGAGGACAATCATTACAAGCTTATTCTGCAAGACAATAATTCTAAATTTGGAACCCTTCTATATGCCTAGTCTGATAAGTTACTCAGGTACAATCTACCATCATTGCAAAAAGTGCTTTACCAAATTGGAAGAGTCTTACTATACATTCAATTTAAGGATAAAGGCAAGTCTTACAATAAACAGTAATTTCAATTTAATAAGCCTAGATTCACCTGTTACAAACATCCTGATAAAATTGTCGTGCAAACCAAAATCAATCAAAATGAATAAGCCACAATCATTCCAAATGTTGAAAAAGATAAAGATAATTAGATGTCCTTTTAGACTTATAATGAGTTACATTAAGAGGACATCGTAATTAATGTAAAATAAATATGAATACCTATAAACTAATTATATTATTTATTAATTAAAATATTTGTCTGTTAAATGATATAAAAATTAAACAAGTGGGATTGCATAATTGACCCAATTATCAAAAACAATTAATAGATGTAAGTTACATATTAATCATTTTAGTGGTGGTTTATATCTGGCTGATATAGATTGTGCATTAAGCCAAGAATTATTACAATAATTATAAGTTGGAGCCTTGCTTAGTGTTATCGATGAACCTAAAGTAACCACTTCTCCCAACATAATCCATCAAGTAATTAACATTCCAGATTGCACTGAATAAAACATTCAAGAATATTTCCCAAAAACTAATGAATTCATAGAAAGACACAGATAACATACTAATGTTATGGTTCATTGTTTTGCTGGAATCTCCAGAAGTGCGTCAGTTGTTATTGCATACATCATGCAAAAGTTCAATTGGGGTTTTCAAAGAACTCTCAATTCAGTTATTGCAAGGAGACCCTAAGTCAAACCAAATTCAGGTTTCGTCAAATAACTGATTTAATATGAAACCTAGAATAGAAATAGACCATCCTCATAATAACACAGGATTCTAAACACTATTAACACTGTTATTGATAAAATACCTTATTAATCAGATAGCAAAAATAATAAATACTTTTAACCATCAAAATTAGATTTAAATTAATTGGAAATGGAAATTACTAAAAGACAATAAGATTTATAGATATTAAGGATGAAATATTAACAATTAAATGACAAGATTGTAAATAGGAACAATGTTTATGTTTCTGCTTTTGAATGAGATGATTTTTCACACTTATATATTATACCAATTTGTTAAATCATGCTTAAATTACTATAATTAATTCCATTTTTAAATCATTTTTTCTTCCATTTATTTTCTAATCCAATTCTATCAACATTTGTTAAGGATTATACTATTTGTTCAAGAATTATTATATACCTTAGAGATAGTATTATACGAAATAACTACTTTCTTTTAATAATTTAAATGCCGTGTCAAAACTTTTATTGGATAAATCTAATAATTGAATTACATCCCAATCAGTACACTGAGGATATATTTAAGACATTTCATCAAAAAGCAATTAAACTAACTAAAATCTTTTCATACATAATTCATCATTTCTTTAATAAATTTTCACATACCTAGGACGAAGACTTGAACTTGGAAACTGTAACTATTAACATTGAGTACCCAAATGAACATTTTTCTCACTCTTTTATACTTATTCAACCTTTTTCTTCAATTTATTTTATTTTTACTCAGATTTAGATACTTTATTATTATTCTTTTAATTTCTTGTTTAAACTTAAGAAATTATTGATTAGCATGAATCATCTTCATATACTCTACCTGACTAAAGTAAATCATCCAAATCCAAGAGTCTTGAAATTTAAAATTGAAATGTGTTGCTAAATCCTATGGTATTTAATTTATCATTTTCAACTATTATTGAATTTTGAGATGCAATATACTATTAATTTGATAACTCTCTATTCTGTGTAGCAGTATTATCATAAGTAAAAGGAAGTGCCTAAGAGTCCCCCTTTGAATAAAGTTATCCAAGCAATTCATAGTAGTTTAGCTTGCTCATTCGATAATTTATTTATTAATAATCATATATGATACTTTAGATATTCTTTGTATAATTAATTTGTAAATATATAAATTTCCTAATCAAATTTTTTTGTGCATTTTTATTAGCGAATGGATGTCTTCCAAAACTCTCAACTTATTTTGAGTTGTGGCTTGATCCTGTTTCACTTACAAAACTTATCTTGACTAAATGTCTCTCTCACTTTCATAAATTCTCACTTTCTCCTCAATCTACAATTTAATTTCGACTATTTACTTGTTTTAATGAATACTGGCTCTATTCAACTTATTATTTATATTTAGCAGATTTTTAAGCATGCTTAAGGATTTCCTCTTCTTAAGTTTTTATTTTTTATTTCAATTCACTTTCTCTATTTTTGTATTCCTTAATTTCTTCTTTACTTTAAGCTAACTATTTTACCAGATGGTCAATTTTAATCTCAATTTCATCCATGGTTTTATTATTCTCATGTTTTGTCAATTAAATATCATTTTCTAAATCCCTACTATACTGTTATGATTTAGTTAGTTGCTCCTATAAATGAAGAACCTAATTTTTTAACTAAAAATCTTATATTCTATAATACTTATTCTATTGTACGAAAATCTTGTCGAGATTATAATTCAAATTCTTCAGATTTTTGTTTCTTTATTTATAATACAGATTTTTAATCTTAGATTTCAAGAACGAGACTTTAGATTCTATTCTCTGCTGTCAATAATTTGTTTTATTAGTTATCAATAACCAATTTAAGTTCAGAATTTATTTGCTATAATTTCTAACTGTCTTATAGTTGAATTTAATGATTTTTCTCCTCATTATCAAGTAATCTCTAAAAATCAATAATTTTTTAATTTAAACTATCAATTATCTATTTTTATTCATTTATTTTTTATTTTTTTTTTTCAAGTAAATCTTTATAATTTGAAACCCTCTTTTCAACTTCAGATTCTTAAACCTATAAAAATACTTGCTACTGCTTTTCAACTTTAGATAATTAAGCATAAGCCTCATCTTATTTATATGAAGCTTAATCTAACTATTACTTATAGTAATTGACTTATTAATTGAGATATTCGATCTAAGATTGCTAATCAGCATCTCTGTATCTAATATCTTAATACATTTATTCGAAATATCGAATTTGCTCATCTCTATTAATTAATTCATCTCTTTATTTTAATAACTCTCCCTCTAATTCCTTATTCTATTCTTCTTAATTTTTTCTATTTAAATAATGAATTATTACATTTCATTTGAAAAATCCTCACATAATTTTTGCACTCTTTCAAGTTCTCTACCAAAATTTTAACCTTATTCTTCATAAACTGTTTCTGCTTATTTTAACTAATCCCTCATAGCAGTTAATTTTTATTTTTTATCTCCTAATTTTTATTTTAATATATGATTTTGCTATTGCAATTCCTCCATTAATTTCTCAGAAGTCTCTGCTTTGATCTTTACTTCTTTGGTATTTGCATCTCCCTTGTTTAATGAATCCAACAATTATTTATTTTCTTATTCTAATGCCCTAATTTATTTATCCTTAGTCGATAACTTCCCTTCTAATTCTTTATTAACTGTCATATATTCTTTAAGAGTGATCTAAGGAATGACATAAAGAAAAGTACTTTTAACTCCTTATTTAAGATTCTTATTCTCTCATATTTTTCTCTCTCTTGCAAATCCCTTGCATTCAAGGTTTCCCTTAATCTACTAATTTACTCCAATGACCCACTTTGTCTACGTCTTTCTCTTGAAGAATCATCGCTGATGAAATAGATAAAAGAATTACTCATCATCTTTGAGTTTGCTTGGCCTCGATCTGCCTATAAAATATGTGACAGGTTATTGAGGAGTGGGTTCATATTACATGATCTAGTCGATCTACTGACTTGTTTTCTTATAACGATCCATGAGTTTATTGACATTTCTCTCTAATCGGTTATCCATTATTTAAATTCAAAATTATTATAAATCAGGTTAACTTTATTTTCTTAATTCTTACGAATCAATCATTTTCACATCTGATTCTTCATGCTACACGTCTTGGAATGGGTTCTTCTCTTCTTCTGACAATTCCAAATTCGATTTCTATGACAGTTTGAACTCATCTTCATTTTATTCTTCCAATTTCTCTATATTTTTATCTATCTTTCTCTAATTGGATCTCAAATTGTGATCGACATCATCCTCAATCAGATTAACAAACTCAGATTCCTTACGATTATTAATGATCAGTATTTCACTATTGGACAATTTTAGACTCTCAGGTTAAACATCACCTAAATTTATATTCTAATGTTAATCTTCTAAATCGTCTTCCTCTTAATTTACGTCAAAAGGTGAATGTATTTATTATAGAAATATTCTTGATGACCTATTTTATCTTAGGATTAGAGCATAGAAATGATCAATTTCTATTTTGCTTAATTGAATTTCCACTGAAGAAAGTACTTCCAAATAGGCCTAAATTTATACTCTATATTTACATCAATTGTAATGTATCCACTAGTGTAAGTATCTGGATATTTCCTAATTAAAATGTCTGATATCTCATTCTTCTTCTTCATTATCTATTGATTGATATTATTCAATTATTCTATTGATAAAATTTAGTAGTTTTCCATCAAAGTTCTAAAGATACTTCTCACTCTAGCACTAGTTGTCGTCTCTGTTTCATTTTCGACATCTGCTAAATAAATGGCAGCCATTTCCACTTATTCAATTGATTTTAAACCAAAGATTCTATTTGATAGATTTTATTTCAATTATTATTATGTTAATACCTCGTCTGTCAATAAGTAAGTTTCTACTTATTACAATGATATTTTCAATCCAATCAGATTTTATTTGACTTGTCTAGCAATGGCTAAAATATCATTTTTGTCCACATTTATAAATTTCTTTTTTTACAATTCAATATCTTCTTATAATTGCCCTTGCTCCTCAGGTGGTTAAGGACCGTTGTTTTTTATAAGAATAGTCCTTTTTGGTTGGTATTTTGATTGCTTTTCTAATTCATATTCTCTTTGCAAAGTTTCAAATTATCTCTTCTATTCAGCCATCCTTTTTTCTAAATTCTCTATTTATTCTTAATTATCTGCTTATAGTTTTTGCATTTGATTTTCCAGATACTTATTCTTCTATCTTTCATTTCTCAAGTCGACCATTGCCTAATCATAACCCAATTGTAATTGCTCTTCCATCTTCTTATTGTCCTTCTGTTGAGGTCTTTCAAGAAATAAAGTATCTTTTTTTTTTAATTCTGCCATCTCTAATAACAATTATGCATTCAGATTCTTGAGTTACTTATATTTATTTAAGATTGCATTATATTTAATGTTCATTTTATTGCAATTATTCTAAATTTAATAAATTTTCATTACTTATTATTGTGTAACTGACTGTTCTAATTGTGAAATTAATTATGTCATTTTCATATTGTCTTCACTTAGAGATATACACAATCCTTCAACATTATTTTTGTTCATTGGACTCTGCAATTGATTAATATATGATATTTATTCCTATAACTATTATTGCAATTTGATGTTATTATCCTGCATTTAAACAAATATATACCTCCAGCCTTGTGATTTTCTCCAAAAACCCTTATTTTAATCTCGAATTATTCTTGAAAGGAGTACTTTCCTCTTTTAAGATGGATTACACTTCTCTCTTGAAATATTAATTTTACGATTAAAACTATCGTAATGCTAATTTTAATTAATTGTTTTCTTATTTCAGATTTTAAATTTCCTCGTATAGACTTTCTTTGTCATGAATTATATATTTAGATCTCATTCTACTGGCTTCTGTATTGTCAAGAGTTCTATTTCTTGAAAATAAATTAAATCTATTCAATTTCGTTGAGGATTGCACTTAAGGTGATTTCTATATTTATGATATAGACAGCATCCTTATATTATATAATTAATTATCAAATTACAACATTTAAACAAGCTAAGGAAATTATATGCATCTCATATACCAACAATGAAAACATTCTAAAAATTCAGAAATCTTTCTATTCATCTTATTTATCCCCTCAAAACTAGGAATTTAGAAAAAATGAGAAAAATGATATTTAATCATTTTTTCTCAAAATTATTGTATAATACAAGTGTGTAGCAAAAAATACAGAAATTAATGCTATCATCATTAAACTAAAGGATTTTAGAATCTATTTGAAGCGTATAGTTAATTATTTTGTAAATAAGGGATAAATATATAGAGATATTTAAATTTTTGATTGGTAATTGGAAAATAAATTAGAATAATAAAAATTATAGTTTATTCAAATATTTATTGAACTCTCTACTCAATTAAATGTAATAGTTGATATCTCTTTTTTAATTCTTAGTTATTTCTCTTCATTCTAGTGATAAAATGCCTGTCATTTCTTTGATTATATATTTTCAAGAGGAGTATGATAAAAATAACTTTGCTATGTAATTAATACTAAGCATTAGATTACAATAATTGACATAATATTTAAATTGAAATCTATGAATAAATGAAAATAAAAATTAGATGAAATGACTTAATTTATAAATATACATATCATTTTCCTAAACTTTTAATAACTTCGGTTGTAAATTGATCTGTTGTAGCATTTCCACCAATATCTTTAGTTTTAACATTCTTAACTTGGATTGTATGTTAAACAGCTCTACAAATTTAATCAGCAAAGTTTGGTAAACCTAGATGTCTTAATAAAAGAGTAGAAGAAACAAGCATAGCAGAAGGATTCACAACATTTTTCCCTAGAATGTATAATAATATTATTACCTGCAATATCTCTTCCTGTATGTCTACAACCTTGAGAAAAGAGAGCATGATCTTTACCAATTGATGCTCCTGCAGCCATACCCACTCCTCCAGTGATACCAGCTACAACATTTTATACAATTGATCCATACAGATTTGGCATAACCATCACATCGAATTGTGTTGGATTTTTGACCAATTGCATGCAACAATTATCGATAATCATTTCTTCATATTTAATGAATGAATATCTTTGAGCCACTTCTCTACAAGCTTATAAAAATAGTCCATCGACTAGTTTCATGATGTTTGCTTTGTGAACAGCTGTAACCTTCTTTCTACCGCTAAGATGAGCAAATTCAAATGCGTATTCAGCAATTCTTAAGGATGCTTATTTTGTAGTCACTTTGATCGATTCAACTACTCCTGGATAGACTTCATGTTCCACACCAGAGTATTCACCTGCGAGATTTAGTATTATAATAGATTACCTTCAGTGTTTTCTCTTATCACTACTATGTCTGTATTATTATGTCTTTATACTATTCCTTCGAAAGAAAAGGCAAATGTAATATTGGAATACAAGTCTAAGTATTTATAGAACTTGTAATTGTCAGTGTACTTCTAATTCTTTTCTGTCATCACACCTAAAAGAATGCATTCATTTTTTCTTAGTTGCTTCTTAGATTCGTCATTCTCAAAATTGAAATTGTCCAAAACATCGAATTTGATTGGAACATGCAATTCTTCAAAGATGGTTCTTACGCTATCTAAAAATTCTAATAATTTCTTACTTGTTATCTCAGGTCCAATTCCTACTCCAGGAATCAAAGTGACATTCTTTAAGGCTCCTTCTCCAGGCTTTTATAAATAGTTTTAAGACCAAGCACCCCTGAGTTGAGGATGTTAACGAAATGCTGATCTAATACAATTTCTCATAATTAAATTTTTATAAAATTATTTGATATTATGATTTTGTATTTAAGAACCCCCATATCCTAGAATAATTCATATTATTATTATAAATTATTATTATATAATTTTATTATATATGGCATAACAAAATATATATATATATTTTATATTTTATAACTCTATTCAGTTAATCATTTTACTTCATTTATCTCTGGCTATGCAAGTAAACAAACTAGCAATCCTCTAGAATACAGTTCTATTTTTATTATCACTTTATTATTAAGGAACAATTTGCTAAGGATTACAACTCGCTTGAGTTTCATCAGAATACGAATTTGAAGACTCCTCCACCTTCATCTAATTCAGATCTACTCTTGTTATAAATGGATGCAAAAGTATCTGATTCAAAGTAAGTCTCTCCTTTGGATTTGGATTCAACATTTTTTAAATTAAGTCTTTTGCAAATTGATCTACAATCGTAAACCTTGGCTCTGTGAACAGCAGAATCTACTCCACCATTTCTGCTTCAGTACCTACCCTATCTTTATTCTGTACCTGATATTATTGGTTTCTTCTCAAGCATCCAATAGAGCAAGCATCCCAAACTCCAAATGTCAACAGAATAAGATTATGGAAAATTCCTTAAGATTTCTGGAGCCATGAACTCATATGTGCCACTAAAGTTGCTAATGATGTCAATATGAGTAGCCAAACCAAAATCACATAATTTTACATTGTTTTTGTGATCTAATAACACATTGCTTGGTTTAATGTCCCTATGAATTATGCCCTGAGAATGTAAATATTTCAAAGCATTGCATAATTGTATTACTACCTACTTTGGATCTATTTACAGATCTGTTGTCAAATGTCCATGTTCTAAACCATATCTCTATTACACATACTTGCATATTCCAATATTAAATATAAATCATCATCCTTCTCTAGAAATTGTAGCAATTAAATTATATTTTTATGTTTAAGTAGCTTATGAATTTTGAGTTCCCTGTTCCCAATATATTTGTTTATTTTTTTTATTGCAAATTTATATCCATTCTGTTATTTTAGGTAAACCTACCCAAAACTCCCTGAACCTATCAAATTCATCTCATCATTCAATTAACTTAAAGACAGCTTAGGAACTAGTTCGAATTATCCATTACACACTAAATAATGGTATGCCTCCCTACCAAATTACAAATCATTATATACCAATCAAAATCTCTACATTTTGATGAACAATAAAACGTACTTGAGCAACTATCACATGTAATTTGATTTCCATTTAATATTGAATTATAAGGAATATTCTTACTGCATTTCGAATTTTAGCAATTCATTTGAAGTTTCACAAAGAAAATTATTAAACTAAAATAACAAATACATTTTAAATGTATAATATTTCATACACTTATAATCAAAATTAGTATATATTCTAACTCTTTTTTCATCTACTCATTGCATCTCTACTTTTCTACAATTAGAATTAACTTTATTCAATATAACTTCAAAATTTTTATTTGATAATTATTTTCCTTTTACTTATAATTACTATTATTTTTCTTAAAAAATTAAAGTCTGTGAACTTTGATAAGTCTTTAAATTAAATACAAGAAAATTTTTATAAAATATTAAAGAATTCCATAATACTTTAGTTTATATCTCATTAACCTATTCTCACAGAAGTATTAATCTCTCTTTACATTAATAACTATTATTTAAAATAAAATTTTGATAAAACAAATATTATTGAATAAAATAAGTAATGTAATTTTGATTCATCCAAAGAAAAGTAAATGGCTAAACACAAATTGTTATGATTATTTTATTAAACTTATTCAATAATATATACTTGTAATCAATTAAGTAGTAATGATTATCAACAGATTATATAAAAAAGGTATATTTTTATGAAATTTATCTAGAATGTGTATTTAATTGTCTTTTTTTTAATGAATAAGTGTTGAAAAGCTTCTCAATTTTAATGAAATTCTAAATATCATTATATAAAGTCTAATGAAATCAATTTTCTTAATCTGAACATACTTGAGAAAATGATTAAAAACTCATAGTAAACTTTGTTATTTCTTATTAAAAGAAAGATATATCTAGTAAATTAATTATTGATTTAGCTATAATTTTATATTTTATTATAATATTTCAGATTAGTCTGATACATACATGAACTCAACACCTGTTGGAACAAGAGTCAGGAATAATAGAGAATCGATGTCAAATATAACTATCAATAAACTACTGCTACCGAATAATTTAAAATTAAAGAAATCTCATTAGAATTCTTAGAGTCAGCAAATTTTGGATTAACAAATAGATGAAAATGTATTTTATATTCCGAAATAAACTTTGAGAAGAGCTAAATATTCAGAATAAAATAGTAAACTGCTTTCTATTATTCTTAGTTATGACAAGCTCAACAGCAGGAAAATCATTGCAATCCCATCTAATTGGTAAGTTTTTGAATGAAAATATCATAAAATTCCATTAAATAAAGTCTCGAAAGTAAATTGGCATTAAAGAATTGGTGTCATCTTCAAAAACTTATCACGCAACAAAAAAAGATGGGAATATAAACACAGAACCAAATTAGGATAAATAGTCTCTCCCTTTTATGCCTCAATTGAAATCATCCTAAATAATTGATGATTAATATAAATTCACTTTTTATAGTCCGAAGACTTAGGAGAATAAACTTAGGTTGCCCAAAGAATTCTAAATTCAACCCTGTAGTAAGAAAAAATATTTTATATGAGTAAAGCAATGAATCTAATAATTTTATATATAATATAATTTTTAATTGCAAAATCTTCAAGAATTTCATGTCTGCAAAGAAAATAACATCTCCGCAAACTAATAAATGTCATCCTACCAGCAGGGGCCATGATATTAAAACCATTTAAAAATTAGAATTTTTTACAAGTACAAATGCCAAAATAAATAAGGTATTCAAGTCTAAGCGTTATTAGTTATTAGAGCAGTAAGCATCAGTTAACTTATGTTACAGAATAAATACAAGTGAACTGTTTGACAAATAAGGTCTCTTTAAAAAATGGACAAAATCATGACAGAGAAAAAATAATTAATTAATTACTACAGGAGAACCTAAAATTGAAGGAATAGAATGATCAGAAAAATAAATTAATAGAAATGTTGATTGATGAAAGAACAGATATAAAAAGAGTTACAAGTCTTCATATTCCTCATGAAAGAGATATTTAACAGTCAAAAACAAATTTTAGACTATAAAGTCCAAATCATATGGAATTTACATTTTATAAAAGTCCTAGTAGAGGGTTACCCAAAGAATTCTAAATAACTCCTTCTCGGAAAATGTTTTTTTGAGAAATAATAAATACTGATATTTTCATAAATGTTTGCTCTATAATTATGCAAATTCAATCAAATATCATCATAAACCATTATTTAAATATGGTAACAAGAAATAAAAATGAATTTTAAACACTAGTAAAATCAGTAATTAATTAAATTAGTTATAAATAAAAAAATTGATTCATATTACTAATGCTTAATTTTTTATTATATAATTAATTATAAACAATAGAAACTCTAAATATTTTAAACTAAAAACTAAATTCTCTAAATATTAGACAAAATATTAAAATTTTCAAACTAATTTTTTGAATGGATAGGGATTAGGAAACAAAAAAGTTGCGCATTTAAAGCGAATAATAAAATTTACAATGCATTTCTTCAACTGATGTAAAAATGGAAGAACTTGATTCATTTTGGAACTATAATCTTAAGTAGAGTTGCTCTGTTAATATAGAGGATCTATTCTAGATTTAAATAGAGGACAATAGTACTCTTGAATAAATAGCTTCAAAGATGAAAATATTCTTAAAACCACAAATTGATAATGTAAAATTTAACTTTATGATTAGTTTTTAAAAGTGAATCGTAGAAATGTTAAACTAATCAAATATCCAAAAGCATAATGGAACACCAATTTGAGTATTTAATAAAAAGATGTCAATTAATTATACTTCTCCGATTAATAGGCTGGATTTCAGACAAATGAAAATTAAGTTATTATTCACAATATTGCGCCATAATTAATACATTAATATACAAATTATTTAAAAATAGATCAAAATATTAAAGTATAAATGTGTATCTAAAATAGAGATAAGAAACACAAGATCTAAATTTTAAGTACAACTTTACTTCAGAATTAAGAGAAAAATATAAACTTGACATTCTTAAAGTCAACAAAGAATTATGGAGATCTTAAGTAGGTATCGATTAAATGATTCTGCTTAATAAGAAATATGCCCAAAATCAATTGGACTTTAGTAAGATTATTATAATTAAATTCTAGTTTAAATTTATTCTTTATATTTATATTTAATTGAAAATAAGAATATTTCAAAATTAACTTTAAATGAAATATTTGCCTACCTCTAACAATAATTAATTAAAAAGAATGTAACCATAGAAATAAATATAAAATCATTAATTCAGATCTACTTACAACTATAAAACAAATAGTTTTCTCATATAAAGCAAACAATATTCTAAAAAATTAATTTCATTTAACAATTTGATTTAACCGCAATTTAGAATCTATCATTTAAATCATTTAGAACAAATAGATATATAGAAAAAGACTTAGCATTTATTTGCAATTCATGCTCGTAGTACCTAAATTCGTGTACCTGCACATTCATTAACAATTTGGCTTAAATAAGAAACCTATTGGAATTTTGCAGCATTGTAAATTATAAGGGTCCCTCTAGAAAACCTGCTTGGTACTATGATATTTTAAAAGCTAATGTATAGAGAAGTTGTGGTGAAGGATGTTACAAAAACTAAAACAATTTTGAGTTATTAAGAAAGAAATCTAGTAATAGTTAATTGATTGAAGAATATTAACCAATAAAAATTGATAGGGATCCATGCTTATTAACTTAAATCTATAATTAGGATTGTTTGTCCATTTTTATACAAGCAAGATATCGATACAAGGAAATTAAAGAAGAGTACTTATAAACACTAAAATAAATACAAGAAAATCAAGATTAAGAGGCTCTAGTTAATTATCCATTTAATAATGCAAATTTATATATTCCATGTTCTCATAAATAGGATTTCAAATGTCAAAATTGCAATTGTGATTAATTTTGTTCGAAATACTGTGATTGTTAATAAGGTTGCTGTACTAAAAAGCTGTAAGGATGTACATGCAAAGAGAGATGTTCAATTGATAGTAAATGCTCTTGTAGAATCGACAATGTGGAATGTGATCCTTTAATATGCAAATGCTGCAAAGTTGACTCAAACTTTGTTTGTTCCAATATTCAGATTTTAATTAACAATGTGTAACCTACTTTATTGGGAAGATCTGGCGTTTGTAATGGGCTTGGTGTATTCGCAAGAAATTATATAATGAAGGATGAATTAATAATTTTATATATTGGAGAAGTACTTATTGATGATGAAGACGAAATTCGAGATTAATTTGATGATACATTTACATTTTATAACTATTAATTAAATGAAGATAAATATTCATTGGAAAGTAGGTTTTGTGGAAATGAAAGCAGATTTATTAATCATAATAGTTAAAATTTAATGAATTGTAAAACGAGACAGATATTTTCTTCAGGTACTATAATAATTTCATTTTAGGAAAATTTCAACTAGCAATTTATGCTCTTACAGAAATTTCTCCATAACAAGAGATTTTGTTGAATTATAATGAAGGCGATCAAATCAACAAGGATCTAAATAATTGGGTGGATATGAACTCTTAGTATTGGAATTATAAGCAAACTACTTTCATTGGATGAAAATGATTTATAATTTTTGTGATTATTTAAAGTAATATCATTAAAATTAATTATTCCTTCATTTTTAAGGACTGAAAGAGAGCTTCTCATAGGCAGATAGATACTTTCTTAAATGAGTGAGAGAGTTATTGCAAATATAAAGTAACTAGTAATTATAAATTTAATTATTTACTTAATATTTTTGAATTAAAACTTGAATCAGTTAGAGTAACCTCTTTGTGAAGTTTTCTTATTTGAAATGATAGAGATTGACTACCAAATGCACTATGTCTTCATATTTTGTTTGCTATTCAAGTAGACTCTATTCTCTCATATTACAAAATTCAATAATAGTTTTTAAGTTCGCTTTTTTTAAAGCTTAATAATCTTCCAATTCCAAAGGGACATAACCATAACAGATATTTTTATTTAGCTAAAATACCATCTGTTTTAGTTTAGCAAGTCCGTCAGAGAAAATGAGTAGAGCATCTTTATGGTATTATACTAAAATTAGATATTGCTACTGTTTACATTGACAATTTAAATCAGCTTTATAAACTGGACTAGAAAACTCACTCTTGGTTATGATGTGGTATTAATATTGAATTTAAGAGTCATTAATGTTGGTAAGAAATTTTGATTATGATATTCCATCCTTATTTTTCATTCGAACTCTTCTTTAAAATTGACCCATTGAAATCGAGGACCCAGAAATGTAAATATCGAAATTCTGTGGGTTTACACATTGAAAACATATTTTTCTGTGGTTCCACACGTCATTTGAATTCTTATTAGTAACTCTGTTAGGCCCTGATTCCCATTATATTTTTTAAACTTTATCATACTGGGAAATAAAATATTTATATTCCATCATATGATAAGCAACTTCAACCGTCCAAATATCGTTCTAAATATGAAAAAAATATATACCTGAGTCCAAGTCATTCGAATTGCTTGTTCTGGATTCCATTGTCCCATATATTTCGATTTACCAGAAACATACAAGGCCTGACCAAATTCAGTCTTATAATGGACTTATAATCGGATCATATTTACTATTTATTATTAATTACAAAGGATTTATTTTGGTTGGTTATGATGATAAAAATAATACGCAAATTTTACACGAGCAATTTTGTATAATAATGATATAATATGAAATATTAAAAAATAATATAAAAATTGTATAATATCCTAATTCAATGTATAAAAACCGATTAGTTATATTTGGTTTTGGTGATTTCAGATTTTGAGAATGATCTAATCATGCATTTAAAATTTATCTATATATCTTTATAATCAATTATATATTCATGATATCTGAGATACTTTTATCTTTTTAAGATTATTCTTAATTTATTATATAATTTCTAATAAACATATTTCCATTAATTTTTGTAAATAAGTATAAATCTATAATTTTGTTTGTTTATCAATCCTCGAGCTTCTTTCTATTATTAATTCATTTAAAGAAGACGCACTCTTAAAAAACATCTAGAGCCAGTACAATAAATCATCATTCGCCTTGCTTTTTTGCTTTAAGTAATCCTTGTATACCACCATGAACTATTCCTTTAGCTCCAAAGATAACGATGCTATTTCTGCCTCAGGTGTAAATCTATATAACACAGTCATCTATAGATATAAATATGACACACTTTATCGATTGCAGCAACAGCATTTTTGAATAGAGCTGCCTTATATTTATGCTCAGGTTCTGAATTAAATATTTTGGGCTTAAACATTACATATTAGGTAATGAGTCCCCCTTTTACAAGCAAAACATTCCATCTTTTAATTAGAAAACTCACCTATTATATTGTATGATAATCACCTTCTCTTCTAACTTATCAATGTGATGAATTTGTTCAAGAGACTCGTTGAGTGCCGGCTTGCAATCGTTCAATCGATAAGGATTCAATTAGCATAAATCCAAACATTGCTAACATTTTTCAATAAATTTTTCTATGTTCTTGCTCACCTTTCCCAATGAATTTAGTAGAATGATGGTCTTAGTGTAGCATTCCGCTTATTCAAAATGAGAATTTGAATGAGCACCTTTCCGAAATAGAATAAGAGCGTTGCCTAGAGTAATATTATTACTTGTCTCTTCTTATAATTCAATCAAGAATTGATCAATTTTTTAAATCATAATTTATTAATATTTTTATTTGATTTATGATATCATTATCTGTATAGCCTTTACACACATGGCCTTTTGTCTTGATTGTTTATACTAAAATTATATTTAAGCAAAACAATTCATAAATTTTATTGTGAGAATATATAAAATAATATTATATTTTATTTCCTAAAAAATTAATAAAAATATATTTATTTATTCAAAAATCTCTAGCAAATTAATTCAATACTGTTCTTCTAATAAACTAAAGCAAGAATCAATTGTAATCATTTGTTGGTTTGCCTTATTGTGCGTATTTAATCTAAGTGCTCTTTGCAAAATTTGGATATGATTTATGTTAGTTTAAATTAGCATTTTTTAAATATAATAGCGGTTATTGAAGCCAGATCAATAACTTTGATCAAATTTTCGAATGGCTCAATTGATTTCTATTTATTCATATATAGAACTTATATTTCATAAATTATTCTTAAATTATATACTCTTTAGAAGTAGTATTCAAATCAAATAAAGTGATTAAGTAGTTGTGAATTCAAATTATCAATTAAATCTTTAATATTATAATAGTACTACAGGTTTAGAATATTTAATAGCATTCATTATAAAAAGTTCATAATTATTAATAAAAAACGAAATATGGATATTAGATTAAGGCAACAATCGGCCATGACTTATTAAGAATACTTAAACTATTATAATAAAGAGCCAGATTCACCTCGAATTCAGTAATAATATTTTTAAACAGGATAGCCCCAAGGATAGTCCAGTAGAACCTTTATCAGATTTAGAATTGAGTCCTGTTTAAGAGAAACATCGAAATAAGCTAACAGTGTAGAGCTGTAAAGTCATCAAAATTAATTCAAAACTATGATTATCAACTTTATATAGTTAGGTATGTTCAACTAAAAAAGAATTTATTTTAAGATAAGATATGTAAAAATATATGTGACTAATGGGTATTGGTAAGATCGTCGCTTTTGAATACAGCTAAAGTTTATTCTTTAATTCTAATCCCTCTAGTGAGTGCATTCTTTAAAATATTGTGGATATGGCTTTTCTGTATATATTATATTTTCTAATTCAAGTTTTGCTGTCTATAGTTTTCATCAACTTCTATATCGTCTCTAAATTAACTTAATTAATCTGTCCTTCTTATTTCATTTAGGTCTTATTAAAGTCTCACTCTATACAGTCAAGTCAACATTAAATTTATTGTGTTATCTATTGAATTCAGCAAATTTAGCATCTAATTATTCAAGATTACTCTTAATGATCAGCTTAAACATTAGCATCTAGCTTTATTGAATTATTATTGCTTTCGTGAAATCATTATTAGCACCGACAATTTAGCATAAGATTACTTAATCAGAGAATTTTACTTGAAAATCAAATTAGTTAGAGCTTTGATCATAATAGCATAGATAGATTTAAGCTATGATCATTATTTTTCAATGAATTTTGATCACCTGATTTAGAAAATGAGTAGATTGAAAGCGATAATGAAGAATAAGATAATTTTCTACAGCTGTTGTAATAATTATTTTTACAACTTAAATTCTTGTTCTTATTGTATTTTAGAAACCGATTATCATAGATTTTATTTGACTCTTAGTACTCTTGAGTTTTAATATATTCTATCATTAAGTTATTCTCTTCCCGAGTAATCTAAGTTGTTCAAAGTACTTTATGCGTGTTTATGTCTTAATTTTTATTTATTGTCTTAACAAATATTTGCATCTTAATATCTTATTCAAGTCCGATAACTGATGTTCTGCGTGCAATTATTTTCCTTAAGGTTCAATTCTAATTCATTTACATCATCTTATAAATCATTGTTATGTTCATTAATAGAATCCACCTATTCTTGTACTGGTCCTTAAAACATTAAGTGAAGTTAGACCAAATAAAAGTGTGACTTCTAATGGTACGCTTTTTCAAATAAGTTGTGATTTCAACAGTTACTTTGGCAGTGTATGTAATAGTAATTAATACTATAAGCAACACTATTTTCATTAAAATAATAATGGAAAAATAGAGAGAAATTATATTAACAAAACGACTATCATATATTCAAATTGGCTATTAATAAAAAAGCCTTTAAAGATGAACTTTTTGAAAAGCTCAAGCAATCTATTCAAAAATTTGAATAAAATTTTATTTCAAAAACAAGTCAATTTATTAAAATATTTACTTTTATATTTCTATCCTAAGTAATAATTCATAATCTTATAGGATAATTAATTTACACTATTTTTTATTGAGAAGCTTATCTTAATATAAAATATTATAAGTCTTGCTCATTTGTGATAAATAATAATTTATAAAATTATTAAAAATTCACTAAATCATATGTTTCAAAGGCAGCTCTTTTTCAGTATTTCATTCAAATTAATTTCATCAATATTTTCGCAAACCTCTCAATAGATTACTCTTAAAGAAACGAGCTCTTAACGACTTTTCTCAATAAACTGAGAATTTCTTTAAATTTGATATCTGATAACCGAATAAGTTTTAAAGTTAATTAAAATTTATTTTTCAAAACACATAATTTTAAAGCTATATCAAATAAGCCGTTATCAATAATTGATTCGATGTGAATCATATTCAAACCATGGTTTATTCAATTTTCTTGGATAGATTTCTCAATCATTAAATTTAATTATAAAATTACCCATTTTCGTTAAAATATTAAATTATTTCTTTGTCAATTAATTTATTCTCAAGAGTATCTTAGCATTCATATAAATTATGTAAGCCAAGTGCAGAAGTAAGAAAGAATTTCTTTAGTTACATTAATTAATTAAATGAAATAAAATAAACACTTAATTTTTTAAAGTTGATTTATAACCACATCCGAAAAGAATTCAAAATAAACTCCCAATACAAAAGACAAAAACACCATCAAGAGAAACTTAAAAAAGTAAACATTTAATTGTGCAATTGCTCTTATCCTAATTGTTAAATATCAACAATTATCATTTTATAATTACAACCTTTATTATTTGAAAATAGGAGCTAATATCAAAGAAAGGGGAGCAATAGATTAAAAGAATTTGAGTGTGGCTAAAGGCTTAGCCTATTAAGAGCAACAATTAATTAACTTTTAATTAATTCTATGGTATCTAGTAATTTGATATTGACTTTGAGGGAAAACAATAATTACATCACAAATAGTAAAAGAGGGAACCATGTATAAATCTTCATAAAAATTTGCCATTGATTCAAAAATTGTATTGCTCGAAACTGATTTTCGTTTTAATCAACCAAAAACAGATTTTCTAGAAATCTACACATCCTTTAATAAACTATGTCAGATAATTATAAATAGAAGATAGAAAAATTAATTGCCTTATATAGATAAGGGATAACAGTTCTAAAGCCAACAAAGCCTTCACCATTTTATCATCTCCAATATTTTAAGCTTCCATAATAAGTTAAGGAGAAAACCTTAATAAAAATTGTAGAATTTTTTATTAAATTTTCTATTTTTCTAATTTTAAGTAATATAATACTAATTAGATAGAGAATTCTAAATCTAATAAATATTGTCAGAACCTTAAATAAGTTGTTTAGTCTTACTACTTATGAGTATTTTGGATCGATATGTAGATCTAAGTCCTATAAAAATTGTATTCTAAATTTTACTAAATTAATAAACATCTATATAGCTTAAAGCCTTTTCTAGCATGGTAATATTGATTCGCAATTCTTTTTTTTCTGCAAAACATGATTATAAAATATGGCATGAAGCTTATTTTCACAATAGGTATTAAGCAAGTATTTCAATTATAAATAAAAACGGATTATAATATTTATTATGAATAAATTTTCATTAGTCTTGCTACTTATTGTCTTCGCAAGCTCTTCTGATTTGGATAATTAGATTTCTTTAGGAAGAGGTATTCTTTTAACTAACAAGAATAGAGTTAAAATTCTAAGAAGCAATACATCTGAGTCCAAATCGGTTCACATGTGAAATGGATCCGAAATTTTATGACTTTATTATAATGGAACTATCAAAATGGTCAGATATTATTGATAGGAAGCCACAACTAATGAAGGATTTAACAATTATTGAATAAATAATTAAATTAGTAGATAAAGCTAAATATATAGATGCTGCATAATAAGGTACATTAATTTAACTTAAGTAGAAATGTTTATCTAAATAACGTAGAGTCTTTCAGCTTCAATAAGAGAGATTTCAATGGCTGAAATAAAGAATCAATGGGCTTAATTTAACATTGATGATGTCTTACAATAGATGAAAAAACTATCATCATTAACAAATGTTTAAGAAAAAAGTTTGATGGGAGACTAAATAGTGGGCCAATTATAGATCATGGAAAAATAAATAAACATCTACTTAAATGAATGTTAAGGCTATTCAAGCAGCGCTGAACTTTAAGAAAAAGTTTAACAACTAAAAAATTAAAAAAATAAATGTGGGTGGTCTTATGACAAAGAATATTAAGGATCGACAAGATTGCCACCAGGAAAATCAGATTAACCAGAATCCTCTGATCCTGAGAATGATACACAATCAGTTCATTAATAAGCAGCTAATCAAGACAAACCATTTTAATCAAATCCAAATTATGAAGGAGGTCAAAAGGAAAATAAATAATAGTCGACAAGATTGCCACCAGGTAGATCAGACTAGCCAGAATCCTCTAATCCTTAGCATGATACATAATCTGTTCATTAATAAGCTGCTAATCAAGACAAACCATTCTAATCCAACCCAAATTATGAAGGAAATCAAAAGGAAAATAAACAATAATCAACTAGATTGCCACCAGGAAGATCTGATTAGCCAGAATCCTCTGATCCTAAATATGATACATAATCAGTTCATTAATAAGCTGCCAATTAAGATGAGCCATTTTAATCCAATCCAAATTATGAAGGAAGTTAAAAGGAAAATAAATAATAGTCTACTAGACTACCACCAGGCAGATCAGATTAACCAGAATCTTCTAATCCTTAGCATGATACATAATCAGTTCATTAATAAGCTGCTAATCAAGACAAGCCATTCTAATCAAATCCAAATTATGAAGGAAATCAAAAGAAAAATAAATAACAATCAACTAGATTACCACCAGGAAGATATGATTAACTAGAATCTTCTGATCCTAAATATGATACATAGTCAGTTCATTAATAATCAGCCAATTAGGATTAGCCATTCTAAGCAAATCCAAATTATGAGGGAAGTTAAAAAGAAAATAAATAATAATCTACTAGACTACCACCAGGCAGATCAGATTAGCCAGAATCTTCTGATCCTAAGCATGATACATAATCAGTTCATTAATAAGCTGCCAATTAAGATGAGCCATTTTAATCCAATCCAAATTATGAAGGAAGTTAAAAGGAAAATAAACAATAATCAACTAGATTGCCACCAGGAAGATCAGATTAACCAGAATCCTCTAATCCTTAGCATGATACATAATCAGTTCATTAATAAGCTGCTAATCAAGATAAGCCATTCTAATCAAATCCAAATTATGAAGGAAATCAAAAGGAAAATAAACAATAATCAACTAGATTGCCACCAGGAAAGTCAGATTAATCAGAATCTTCTGATCCCCTTCATGATCATTAAACAGCACATTAATAAACAGCAAATCAAGAAAACAAGTTATAAGGAAATCTTATACATGATGAAAGCAAATCAACTTCCACAAGATTGCCTCCTGGCAAATATGATCAACCTGAATCATCTAATCCAATTCATGATAAATAAACTTCTCATCAATAATCGGCAAACTAAGATAAACCATTTTAATCCAATCCTAACTATAAAGATGCTTCTTCAGCTGATGAATCTTCAGCAAAACCAACTCATAGTTAGAACAATTAACATGTTACAGTTAATTCTGCAGGAAATTAAAATTCCCATGCTGGAGTTTACGAAGAACCATTCCAGGGTAATCCAAATTATAAGGAAGACAAACCAGAGAAGATAATTGAAGATGTAGGTTTTGGATCTGGCTCACCAAATGCTTATGATGAAGATGAATGTCCATAAGGAGAGGAAGATGATACTCCAATCAATTATGAAGAAGAAGAGGTACCAGAATAACCTGAGCCTGAAGTTTAAGAAGCTCCTGAGGAAACAGAAAAAGAAGAAGCAAAACCTGAAGAAGAACAAAAAGACGAAGAGGAGGAAAAACCAAAAAAAGAACCAGAAGTTGAAAAGCCTAAAGTTGAAGAAAAATAACCTATTCCAGAAATTCCTCCTGATGATGATGAACCTGCTGTTGAAGGAGAGGTTATAAAAACAGAAGGAGTTGGTTCATCAGTTGATGGTAGAGTAGGCTAACAAGTATAAAATTCTTAAGAATAAGAAGGGGAAGAGCCTGAAGAAATTGATGTAGAAGTGGATGAAGAGGTTGATGATGGCAAAGGAGGTAAAAAAATAATTAAGAAAATTATGAAAAAGGCTGTCAAAAAATATAAAAAGAGGTCTGCAAAGCTTGCAAAGAGTTCAAAAAATACATAGAAAAAATCAACTAAGCCTGGATCGAAATTGAAGGCCGTAAATAAAAAAGCAGGATAATAAAAAAAAAAGGTAAAATCTAAATAAGGAGGAAATGGGGATGGAGAAGAATATTGGGAAGAAACTGAGGAAACATTTGAAGTAACAGAAGACGGCAAGGAAACTTTAGTCTCCTCCACAACTAAATCATCTACATAAAAAAAACTAAACTTTAATGCCATCGGTGATACTTCTATTGATTTGAATATTTCAGATATTAATAACGAAGAAGATAATTCTGTGGAAGATTAATATCAATAGGATACCTTTTATGAAGAATTAGATGATAGAATTATATATTATGAATATGATCCAATTGATAAAGTGTTTAGATAGTCTGATATAATTTTAAAACCTTAATAATAACGATCTTTGATGATATCAAATTGGAGTGATCTTTTGGATTATGTTACTGATTTACCTGAAAATGAGTAAGATTAAGATAAATCAAGTTCAGGTGAGCAAAAAGATACTAATCCAACTTCTGATGAAAAATAATAAATTGAAAAACAAGGTACATAAAGTTAATAAGAAAATAAGGATTAATAGTAATAATAATAATAATAGTAGTAGTAATAGTAATAGTAATAATAACAATAATAATAGTAATAATAACAGTAATAATAATAAGCATCCCAATCGTCATAGTAATAATAACAATCACAATAGTAATAATAATAACAACAACAATAACAATAATAAGAATAGTAATAATAATAACAACAACAACAACAATAACAATAATAAGAATAGTAATAATAATAATAATAATAATAATAATAATAATAATAATAATAATAATAATAATAATAATAATAATAATAATAATAATAATAGTAATCATAATAGTAATAATAAGATTAATAATAAAGCCAACAAAAGAATCAATAAGCATAAGAGTAGTAAAAATAATAATAGGGCTAAGGAGAGAAAGAATAGTAGAATGTTAAAGCATCTTAATAACAAGAATAATAGCAATAATAGAGCTAATAGCCTACTGAAGTGAAAAAATAAGAAGATAAAAATTAAGATACTAAAAAGCAAGGTTAAGCTTAATAAACTAAGGAGAGTTCGTTTGGTGGTCCTATTTAAGATCTGTTAAAGGATGAAAAATAAGCCTTAAAAAATGTTTAAAATGAGAAACCAAAACAGAAAGTAGAAGATCATAATCATGAAAAATCAATAAAGATTAGCTCAATTAAGGAAGAATATAACCCGAATGAACCAACCTAATATGTACCTCCAAAACATAAAGTTAACACAAGACCTGCAAAAGACAGAGTTGTTGTACCTGTATCAACTAAATATGTTTCAAGTTCTTTTGATGGAGAACCAGCAGAACAATATGAATTTGCAGATAGAGAAATGCTTTAAGATTCTGATGAATATGGTTATGGTTTTTGGTTAAGATACACTGATAATTTCCCCAAGAAACACTCGCGGTAGGCTTAACAATATTATTTTATATCAAGATTAACATCGAATTAGGATTATAAAGATTATACATTTTATGGAGATAGAACCCTTTCAGTGTTTTTGTTAGAAAATACATTCGTCTTTTCCACATATGATCATGGTGATAAAAAGAAAATAAAAGATTAAGTAGTAGCTTTGAACGAAGAATTAGAAAGTATGTGGTACTTCATTACATTTTCTTACAGTTTGGCCAAAAAAGCAGCTGTTGGTTATGTAGTGGGATATGGTGATAATGGTAAAGTTTTAAAAACAGAAATCCATTGTTAGCATGTTCCTCCAATCTACTTTAAATTGATCATAGGAGGAAAGCATTTTGCATATGAGGGATTTAATGGATAGTTTGCAAATATCTTTTATGATATAGATGCTCCAGCTTTTATCGATTCTGAAGAGAAAATAAATCAGCTCATAAAAACAATTAGTAATGTTCCTCAAGCAGTTAGCAGTTTAACTGATTTAGAGATCTTAACAACTCCAAGGTCCTTTGGGGCAAACAATAAAGGAGATTCTGTTGTATTAGATCCATAAGAATCAACTCTAATAATAGAGGAGTATAGTTTTGCAGGATGGTTTAGATGGGTAGACGATTTAAAGGTGGATGAGTCGAATACATTTTAACTATTTAATTTGAGATCCACAGATAAAAAGTAGCCAAATAAAGGAGTATTAGGAGATCGTTCATTGGAGGTTCATTACACTTATGGTGGAGGAGCTAAAAGCACAGTTTACTTTAATACTTACACAATTCAAGGAAACAAAGCCAAAGGAACATCATATATTTCTAAAACAGTTGAATCACCAAATTATACTTGGACATATGTTTACTTTGGTTATGATAATGATTAAGTAAAAGCATATGGTGCATTGATTAGACCAGGAAAAGCAGATGAAATCATATTTGATCCTGTTCAACATAAACTTGTGACTAAATTGCACTTTACTATTGGAGGGGACGAACAAATTTCATCCTTCAATGGCAGAATAGGATATGTTGGAGTATATTTGGGACCAGGTGCTTATAAATCAAGCCTTAATTTTGGTTAATAATTTTTCTATGGAGATGGAGCTGTTGGTGTCTATCAATTAGTCAAACCAATTTAATTTTAGGATGATGCTTCCGAGCCAAACGTTGTTAGAGATGCTGAATATGATTCTGATAAACCTTTAGTTGATAAGATTTTAATTCATGATGATACTAAATTGAGACTTAATGGTCAGAGTGAATACTCATTTGGCTTATGGACTAGATGGTTGTAGACTTTACCCAAATTTTTGGTCCAAAGAGGTGCTGTTCATAATATAGCTAGATTTGGCACTGCTCCATATTTAATTGAATAAGTTGATGGAAAACTAAAGAGAGCAAACACAAGACCTCTTTAAGAGAAGGATCAAACTTTGGCAGTTACATTAAGTAAATAGGCCTACGAATTCTATACTTACAAAGCTAAAGATGATATTGAATTTGATGATATAGAAGGTTCATGGAATTATGTTTACTTTGGTTATAAACGAGTTGCAAATAAGGGTATAGCTAAAGGTTATGTTTAATTTGGAGTTGAAGGAGAAATAAAGGAAGTCGTTTTTGATATTTTGCACGATTTCTTATTGGAGTATGCAGAATTTGTTGTTGGAAAGAGCTCAGCACCTTTCTTTAATGGTTAAATGTGCAAGATCTAATGTTCAATCGGACCAGGAGCATTCATAAATTCAGTTGACCAACTCAAATTGTTAACATAGAATACTTTACCTGATAAGGCCTAAATACGTCCCATTAGCAGATAAACATAATAGTTAATCGGACTACCAGTAGAACAACCAAGCCAAAAGTTCCAATTTGATAAATTCTAAGGAATTAAAGAGTATAGTATTTCAGGATGGGTGAAATGGAGTGGAATTTAGAAAGTGGGCAAAGTGTTTCCTATTGCCTCTTTTGCTCAAAAAAGACTTGCTGATTTGAATGGAAAATTTGAATAAACCCTATAAATATTACGATCAGATTTGGCCTATAATTTTAATACATATTCTTGCAAAGGAGATGATTGTTCTGGAATTGTTACTCAAGAGTAGTCACTGGGAGAATACTGGGATCAATGGACTTATATTTATTATGGTTATTCATAATTATTGAAAAAAACATTTGGTTATGTGAAGTTTACCTTTACAGATAGCAAATTTAATTAGGATTAAATTACTCATTTTTATGTAGCAGTATTTTCAGTAATAATTTCATCAGAGGAGTAAAAGTTCTAAGGTTCAATGAAAACATGGGTAATCAATATTGGAGAAGGATCATATAGAGAAGGTAATTTTGATTCTGATGAAAATATCAAAGTACACTTTGGCTTTGTTAGTGGAACTGATCACGTTAAGTTATAATAGGCAGGATAAGAAGCTCAACACGTTGAATAGATTATAGAGTGTGCTGCTAATGAGAAGGATGTACCTCTACATGTTTAATTTGAGTAAAGTGAAAAATTACACCTACATGGAGTAAGTGAATATGGATTCGGATTTTGGGCTAGATTCGAGCATTTTGCACAAAAGGGTATTTTGTATCAATAACCACAATGGATGGGATTGGCCAGATTGACAAACTAGAAGGATTATAAAGATTTTGAGTAACCTGGAGATAGAGTGCTTTTGATCTTACAAGGCAAGGGTATTCACCACTTTTCAACTTACAATGTACAACCTCCTTCAAATAATGTGAATGGAAATATTCCTTATTTGTTGGAATCTGAAAGTGAATGGATTTACCTTTATTTCAGTTATAAGAGAATCTCATAGACTCTAGGTCATGCTGTAGCATTTTCTTCTTATAATGATATCACTGCAGGAATATAGATGGATGTCATCCATACATTATTGTAAAACTATTTGTAATTAACAATTGGTCATGCAGGAAAGTTCTATCCAAATTTCAATGGGTAAATTACAACTGTTAGATTTAATCTTGGTCCTGGAGCCTTCATTGAGAATAAATAAGGAATTCTAGCTAGAATAAAGAACAAGGATCCAAAGCCTGAGATCAACATTATTACAAAATAATATGAGGTGGTTGCTGGAAAGTAAGATGCCTAAAATCTTAAGATTGTGAATCCATTGACAATTGAATAAGAAGCAAGGGAATATTCAGTGTCTTTATGGTTTAGATGGTTTAAAACACAAGTTAGACCAAATCAAGTAATTTATAGATTGACATCAAACAAAGGAGAGGATGACGCAAAGAATATAGGAGATAAGGTTTTGATGTTGGCACATATTGGAACTGCGTTATTTAGTACTTATTCTTTGTAGGATTTAACCTTGAATGTTCCTTATGAATGCAATATTCCAAAGCAATAACTAGAAATTTGGACTTTTGCCTACTTTGCTTATTCTAAGAAGGAGAGAAAGGTTTAGTATTTCTTAAGAGCAGATTCTCACGAGAACAAAGGTAACGAGCCAATCCTACATGCAGTGGCATCCAAATATCTTCTTTTTGTAGGAAAAGATGGACAATTAGAAAATTACAATAGTCGATTGGCTTAACTGACAATTAATTTCGGAGAAGGAGCCTTCAGAAATGATAATTTCTTGCAATTGCCAGTTTATGTTTTGGGTCCCAAGTTGTTCTCCCAAGAGAAAATGTACAAGTGGGAAAAGAGTGAAAAATTGATACTTGGTTAGCCACAAAAAATTAGATTTAATGATGAGCCTGACAAACCAATTGAATCTATGCAAGAATACAGTGTTGGACTTTGGTGCAGATTTTTGTAATCTTGGCCTGAAAGATAATACAGATTGCCTTTGGAAATGTAATTAATCAGATTGACAAATAATGAAAAGAATGAAGTAGGAAAAGTTGCTATTGGAGATAGAATTCTTGCATCTTACGTTATTTAGAATGGATTTTAATTTGCAACCTACGACTTAAATGATGATGCTCCTAATGAATTGCATACAATTTCAAACTAAAGATTAGAGGGTCAATGGCATTATATTTATATGGGCTATCTCAGATCTAAGTAAATAGCATCATTCTTTGTGTTTGATGGAGCAGAGATGTTGTCAGCAAAGAACACAGATTTGTTACATAAACCTTTAGGAGACTTCGTAATTTTACATATAGGAGGAGAACCAGATGTACCTTCATTTTAGGGCATAATAAGCAAATTAGCTTTGAGTTTCGGTCCTGGATCATTTTTAAGTTTAGCCTAAGAAGTTATGAAGACCATTCAAAATTCTTATGCTTTAGAATAAGCTTTAACAGTGGGATATATTCATAAAGAGAAACATGGACAATAGGAATTAATTGGAAAGTTGGAAACTGTTACAGATGAAATAGGTGGTACTGAATTAAGAGGTGAGACTTGGTCAAGTGTTGGAGAATACTCAATTAGTGGATGGTTCAAAGCAGCCAATGTTAATGGAATGAGTGCTAATGATTGTTAAATCTTGTTCAGAGTTACTAATAATGATAAGGAGCATTTAAATGATAAGAGATCATAGGGTGACAGAACATTATTTGCATCAATTTGTGTTGATTCAATTAAATTATCTACTTATACACTTGCAGGATTGAAGGATTGGAACGAAGCTAAATTCTTAGAAGAAAATGTACCATTAGGTCATAATAAAAGAGCTTGGAGTTATATCTACATGGGATATAATGAGGATGCACAAGAACTTCATGCTTTATTGCATTTATTTGAAGAGGATAAACCATTAATATTCAAGGGAGTTCAACACTTTGTTCCTCATTACACTGGTATTTATGTGGCTAAAGATCCATACACCAAGAGATTTTAAGGAGAAATTTAAAAATGGATGGCTTGTTATGGATTTGGTGCATTTGTTAGTGTGCAGAAGAGAGGATATGAAGATTTACTACCAAATTATAATGCAATAGCTATTAATCAAAAATTCATGTGGTTCAGAAAAGAAGATACCGTGGTTGAAACAGAATAGGCAATCACTCAAGAGTTCAATTAAGAAGTTGAATCTGTAGATGAGTATTCGATTGGAGTATGGACTAGATGGCTCATCTCATTCCCAACCACTTTAACTGAAAGACAACCATAACACAACATCTTTAGATTATCAGCAAATAAGTTAGACTAAGATAAGAGTGAATTGGGAGACAGAGTGTTGTCGGCTTTCCTTACTTTGGGTAACTATGAATTCAGTACTTATGACATAAGTAAGCCATCAAATGCAGTGGATGCAAAATTGCCATATGGAGAATTAGAAGGTGCATGGACTTACATTTACACTGCCTATAAGGGTGGACAATTCTATGGTTTGGTGTTGTTTAGAGAATAGTAAAAGGCATAGCATGTGGAATTGTAAGTGTAACATAGTGCTTTGACAGGTTATGCTAAATTTGTATTGGGAGCAAAAGAATTTGGTAGAAAAGGATTCCATGGATGGTTATTCGATCCTAGAATCTTCTTAGGGGCTGGTGCTTTCATTAGTGAAGGATAGAAAGTAGTAGATATGGTTTTGAAGTTGCATCGTAAATTGCCAGTACCTGCTGTTGATGCAGAAGATTTTAAATGGCCTGTTGCTATTGTTGACACTACATTGCCTGATGATATCAATGAGAAGAAGGACAAGTTCCAATTCTCTTTCGCAAATAAAGTAGGTTTGTTAGAGTATTCATACGGATTTTGGATGCAAAATGCAGTGTTGTAGCCTGAAATGCCTGATGATCTAAGAGGATTGGTCAGATTGACTACGAATAATGAAGGCTCTGATGAAAGATTCATTGGAGATAGAACATTAGCTGTTTTCACAAAAGTTTAAAAGTTGGTGACTTGCACTTACACTTTGAAAGATCCCACTTTCGAGCCAGTATCCCATGAATTTGATTTGTTACAATATCAATGGACTTATGTTTATTTCGGATACACTCAAGGAAAGGCCAGGGCCTATGTTCTTAGTACCAAGGGTCCTTCAGAGTAGGTGTTCTCTGTGAAACATGCAGTCCCCAATGCTTTTTACTTAAATGTAATCAAAGATCAATCCCATCCCTTGTTTTATGTATGTTGCTATATTATTCTTAGGGTAAATTCTATGGGCTGAAAGTCAATTTTGGACAGGGCAGTTATTTGGAGAATCCTCAAGAGTTGATTGAGAAATGGCCTTATGATCCTAAGGTGCTTCCAGTGCCTGAACCAAAGGAGGAGAAAGTGTTGGCTCTCAATTCCGCTAAGGTTGACAGAGCCCCTAATACTTAACATGAATAATTCAGAGAATGATAATGATAACAAAATATATTAATTACATTCATTGTCTCTGATAAAATAATACATAGGAATTCTGCGATTTCTACAGTTCTTCATCCACCACCTTATTTGAGTACTCCGAAACTCTTTGATCATTGAAATAATACCAACAGTTGGCTGCCTTGATCAAACTATGATACTCGAATATATATGTATACCACGTGTAATGGCCACTGTAGATGCTGTATCCTTAATGATTAATGACCGCATACAATTTATACGAAGGACTCTAATCACAAAACCCTTTCAGTATAAGACTTTATTCTATTTCAATAGCATTATTAGATCTGGTTTACCTTGAATCATATCTTTTTAACTAAATTACTAAGACCAGTGGAGGTGCACTCAAATTCGTTCTCCTCATTAATGGACTCGTCTTTTGACACTTCCTGCACTTCTCCTGAGAGTTCAATTGCTCTGGTTTGAAATAGTCAGAGAGCAATTGACTCAATCTGCATGCCTACTCTATGTAGATAGATAAGTTGATAAATTATTCGGTTTATTTGCTAGAGTTATTACAATTTTAGCAATTTATTTAATAAGTCAATTAACCAAAGAAAGGTTATGTGAGAAAGCCTGTGTTTACAATATCCAAGAAAACATGGAAGAATTCGATGCAATCTTGTTGATTGAAATTGTCAAACTCTCTGTGCTGATTCATCAATTTTTTAAATTGAATTATGTCATTATGTTCAGGTTCTATTCCTGCTTAAATGCTAAACCATATTTTATAAAATTGTTTAAACAACTCAGAGCTGTTTTTGTTGTCTTTGTACGACTTCATAGCTGTACTGATGCCAGGAGTATTGAATAAACATTGCAACATAGAGTTTCTAGGATGCTTATTGTTCTTGCATACATGTAACAAGTATTGCCGATATTTTCAATCCCAATCCGTATTGGATCTACATCCTAAGTCTTTTAACTCATCTGCTCTTTATTTCTTGTAACAACGCCACTTCCATAAGATGAATTAGTTGTTCTATACATGTTTAAATTTAAATAAATTAATTAAAACTTGTCTTTCCTCACAATAGGGAGTTTTATTAATTATTACTTTCGATAAGTACCAAAATTTTATAATTCCAAAAAGGTAAACTTAAGAGCAAATTTACTAAACTCCATTTTATTCGATTCCTAAGAGAAGAGATGATACAATTAACAGAAATTTAAAAATAATCCAGATTAATCTGAGACCATGGAAGTCTGTAATATTAAATACATAATGAATCAAAGTTAACGCAATCTGATATTAGTTCTTCTCTTTTCTATAGGGGAATTGCTAGAATTAAGTGGGCTAACATCCTTATAAAATAGAATAATACGGTAATTTATTTAAAGATCCCCTTTTAGCCATTTGAGCAAGTTGCATAGAATTCGAATGCTGTAGTCTTGTTTGAGATTGCCTCGGCTGAACTATTCGAAACGGAGATTATTTCTTTAGTGGACTAGCAACATTTGTCTCAAAGAAAAGCTGACTAGTTGATCTAGCTTACTTTATTCTTGACGTAGATTTTCTGTTAGTGGCATCTTAGTTCGGTTGTCTTACTGTAATTTCTTATTGTGGGACTTCTTCATTCAAGGGGATGATTAATCTGATAGCCTTAACAAAGGAGGTGCAATATTTGATGAAGGACAGAGCATTTATCAAGCAGATTAACTTTTATTTATTTTAGAATATAGCCATTCTATCGTGAATAGTGATGGGCTATCCCAAATCTCCTTCTCCAGTGATCCAAGGATGCATAAGGGCTTGTTCAGCTGACATCCTGGCTTCAGGATTGACTGCAGCACATTTCCTAAAGAAGTTTTATGCGGACTTGTCCATGATAGAGAAATTGATATTATAAGTCTAAATGCTCTCAACGAGGTTCTCATAATGAAAGGGATGTTTTCTCTCATAGAGAAGATATTGGATAATTCCTATACTCCACATATCTACACTCTTAAGATATGGCATTTTTAATATCATCTCTGGAGCCATGAAGAGGAGAGTTCCACATTTGTCGTATGAGATTTTGGATTCTGATTGTTGAGACAACCCAAAATCTATCAATCTCACTCTGCCATCAAGACCAACCAAGATATTATCTAAATTTATAATTTTCATTACCAGGCTTTATATCTCTGTGAGTAATGTCCTTATTGTGCAAATACGTTAAGACAATCAGCAATTGCTTGATTATACTTCTGATCTTCTATTCGCTTAGATTGGATTTGCTCAATTCAGTCAAATTTGAACCCTCAACATAATCCATCACTATGTATAATTTTTCAAATGTTTCGTAACTCTGCGATAATGATTATGCTATATACCGTGATGTACTTCACCAAATTAGGATGTTAGAGTTACTCTAGTATTTCTACTTCGCGATTAAATAATTCACAATAACATGGAACTGATTTCTCCAGCACCTAACTTACTTCTCCAAGCTTACCTTGACTGCGACTTGCATACTCTTGTAAGTACCCAAGTAGACTTAACTAAAGGCTCCACTCCCAATCTTGTGTGATATATTTAGATCATTCATTTTTTATATATTAGGAAAATCCCTTATTTATTAATATTAATCATAAAGACAATAAGAAAGGTCAAAGTTCCAGAAGGTTTCTGAGAATCTCGATTTACTGATATCCATCATTAACATAAAATTATATTGACAGATCCTGCCTAATCGTTCTAATTAATAAATTAAAATTATTATTATTAAATTAAATATTAAGTCAATCTGGCAAGCCAAATAAAAAAACAAGGGTGTGTAAAATCGCCTCTGCTTGTGTTTAGTAAGATGAGTAAGGTATTATCTGAAACAAAACAGTTTGATTTGGGAATAAAATTATTTTCAGTAAAAATTCTATTTATGGACTACTTAAGGTAAATACCAACCCATATTCACTGCCCACCATTTCAGTCTTTTTTTACATCTAATTAGCATCGCTCGTTAGCATATCTTCTTCGCCATGCAAAATCAAGACGTTGTTTGGTCCGAAATGTTTTAAAATATCATCTCTCGAATTAACGATCTTTTGATTTAGACGTACTTACTCTGACTTTAAAATGCTTTTGGATTTATACTCCCACCTTGCCAGAAATGAATCTATAGTGGTGTCTCTAAAACTCATGAACTTTGTTAATAAACAAGGAAGGATGAAATGAGATATTCTTCCCTCTTCCTCATATGCAATCTCGTAACTAATTCTCCCTGAAATTACTTAGTAAGGAACACGGTTATAATTAATGCATATCGGAATGTAAATCTATTATTTCGGATTCAATATCAATCTTCCTAACTAATCCGTTTATATCGTGTGACTATGCTAATAAATTGGCTCCTACGTCCATAGACCCATACAAGTGTCTCCTTCAAATTAATATTGGACATTCTGTAAAATCTATTATGTTTTATTTCCAACGCACAAACGAATTCGTAGATAAAAACGATTTGTTATTTCATGATAAATCAAATTTGAATCGAATCCAATTTGAATATCAAGAGATTCAAATATTGAATATCTGCTCTTCAAATTCGCTCTTTTTATCCTACTTATCCCACTATTGCTGTTATAGATCTCTTCAAAAATAGTGAAATTTCTATCATCATAGGGAATAAATTCCCCTTCATAAACCTATTACTCTAATCCAAGCTGTCCTTTCAAATAGAACTCCTTTCCTGTTTACTAGGAGCTCTAACTTTTATTGTCATAATTATCTTCAAAAAATTAATCCTTATTGGGACTTTAATGAAAATCATACGATCTAGCTATAGGCAATTTCTTAAAAGGAGGAGGCTATTGCACATGCTTTTCTGGCTGTTAATAAGGCTGACTCGGTTGATAATAGGGTTGTTTCTATTACTTAGGTTATTAATATTATTATTGTTATGGTTGTGGATTTCTAGCATATGTCTAGGGTTGATAATTCGGTTGATTTTATGGATTGTAAGGAACGGATTACTGGATTGTTTTTTAAATTTCATGTTCCTTCCCAGGGGGATATTTACTTTAATATGGTTGTTCTTTTGCAGGGGGATATTTACTTTGATATGGTTATGGTTGCTGAGCCTATCTTTTGTCTGGCTATTGGGGTGGTTTTTGAATCTATTAAGTTTGGACTTTTATATCTGGTTAGGGATTAGGTTATTATTAGGGAGGTTTGCCATAATTTGCTGGGGGTTTTGGTTTTTCAGACCCCGTGATTTCTCTTGTAGCTTATAAGACTTCATAGCGGAAAATCTAGTAGCTTTCATTCGTAAATCCCTCTGCTCGCATTGCTTTATGAGCTTCAATTAAAGTAGAAATGATTTTGAATCTATAACCAATTTATTTTCTTTGGCCTTCTCCCAATTCGCTTTGGCGAGCATGCAACAATTCCAAATTTGGCTTCAATTTCTCTGCGTCGTTATAGGCATTTTCCATCACTAGAAATAAATTAGCAATTTTACATTAATCCATAATCTCAGTTGCTTGGTCTTCTCCCTTTAAATTTTATTCTAAACTCTCAACCAAGTCATTTGTTTGGCTGAACATTTCTTGATACATTTTTTTCAATTCCTCCAAACTATAATCATTCATGTTGCTTTTTAATTTTTATTATTCAGTTGGCATACTAAAACTTTTTAATTTCTCTATTTGCTCTTCTGTTAATTCAAAGTGCTGCAAGTCTACCTTCGGTTTCAATCCCTAGTTGGTTAACTTTTCAAGAAGCCTACCAAATTTCGTAGGATTCCCCTTCTAATCGGTAGCGTACTTCGTTCCCCAATATGAAATGCATTCCATCAATAAATCATAGAAACCCTGACTATAGAATTGATCTATAATTTGAAGCAATTGATATTACCCTCCTGAGCCCCGAATATTTTGAATCCTCTCTACTCGTAAGGTTTTTGATAGTCACACATAGCAAGTTCCCCCAAAATATCAAAGAGATTCTTAGCCTTAATGAAACTGTTGATGAATAGTTATTTCTTACTCAATAACATCATCAGCTTGATTCTTTGATTAAAGATATTACTTTCATTGCAAAATATTTTTATTTTGATTGTCCTTCCTATTGGAATAAATCCTGTATTGTTTCCACCACTTGCTTGTAATTTCCCTCCACATTCTCAGTCTTTACCTTGTCTGCCAAATTTTAAAGATCCTACTCTCCTTGAAAACCTTCCATTATTTCTTCATTTGTAACAACCATTATAAAAATCAAATTATAAATAGAATATTTATTATCCATTAGCTTTGTGATTCCTGATTATTTTCCTTATCCTCATTCATTTTATATAAAAACACACACATATTTGAGTGAAGACCATATAAAAAAATTGAATTTTTCTAATTTTCAATGAGAATGGACTTCAAAACAAATTATTGCAATTAGAATGTTCATTGGAGATTCGAGATTCAAAACTAAACTAATTTGAATTATTGATTCAGAGACAAGCTGAAACAAAAAGCTTAAACTTTAGTGTACATAAAAACGACTAATTTAATTATTGAGTTCCAATCTAATCACCTTTGAAATCAAAGCACTTTTGAATTGAAGTAATCTTGGTAATTTGAATATATGTTTTACAAAGATAAAATTCTAAGAATATCATATAATTATTTATTTAATTATTTATGCCAATCATATAGGGAAAAGCAAAATTGTGGCACCCAACACAAGAGGAATAAGTAATATCTTGATGTGTATTAAAGGATGCATATGATGACAGAATGATTGCAAATATTGAATTGAAATCATTGGACTTTGATGATGAAAACTTTTCACCAGTGTTTAATAGAAGCAAGAAAGAATTCTTTTTAGCACATAGCGAGAAATACAAGAAGGATTTATCAAAAGTAATTACAATTATTAGATTAATTTAGTTGGCAAGACCATTCACATCATATTCATGCGAAGAATTTGTTAACAAATATATTTACATTAAACCAAATCATACTTATTGGAGAGAATGGACATTGACTAAATGGTTGTCAGGATTTGGATTAGGATATTTAGTTTTGAGAGAAGTAAATACTTATCATAACAATAAATTAGTTACCACTCCGTAATTTCTATGCAAGAGTATTTGTCATGTGGATCTTCTTGGCTAAGTTGAGTGATCATTTTACCTCTATTTTGCCCTATCATGGTAAAATGGTGATATCAATACAAAAAGATAGATTTACAAAGTAAATCAGAATTCATATGAATATAGCAAAGATATTAATCAATATCACAATGTATGCAGTGCATTGCATTTCTTGGAAATGCCTACCTTCTAAAACAGAATATCAGAATCTCTAGCTTGGAGAGCCAGACAACCAGCTCACTTGTTATACAACGACACAAATTGGTGTTTACACATTCTTAAGAGGTGGCATGGTCGCCCATCTCACATTGCACATTGGGTATTCTTATTATATATATTTAAGGATGGAACATTCAATCAACCCTTAGAAAGACTTGCAGACCCATATCATAAGGATGCTCACTTCATCCATTGGATTTGAGTAATTTCACATACAAATATATATATGGATAGACAATAGTTTAAATATTTATCACTTTTTACCAATGCATCATTTTTGCAGAATATCATATTAGATAAATATAAAATATGTGTAAAATACGCATCACAATTCAATTGAACGTCCTCTTTAAGATGATTGCTATTATTCAAATCCTTAAGCAGCAGCCAAACGAGGATATTGCTAACTTTCCTTTATTCTTTGATCTCTGCTCTTTTTCCAAAATAGTAAGCCTACTGCGATCAAAAGATAGAGCTTAAATATTATTTGAATTATTACACAAGATGCTATAATACAAGCTGTCGCACTTGGTTTTTTATCAGGTTATTTATCAACAGTTGCTACAGCATAGGGATAAAGAGGGTATTAAGTATCAACCACTAAGAACAAAATGAACTAATATTTTAGATTGAAATCTTACGAATACTGCGCTTGCTAGAAAACTGTTTACAACCCAAAATTCCAAACAACCCATTAATTATTTATTATTATTAATATTAATAATTCGCATAATCTTAATAAATGAGAGTAAATGAAGGAGATAAAGATTCATAACCAAATACGATTGAATATTCAGTTTGTGATCAAATAAATTCCTGTTGTACTATTAATCAAGCAAAATTATAATAATTTTATAGACACATAGAAAACTCATAATAACAAAACAGATCTTATTGTTTTAGTAAATTTATATAGATAAAATTATTTATAGTATAATTGCAGAAGTTAATTATTAGATTTTATTAATTATAGTCACTTGTTAACCTATCTTAATGAATAATTTAATAATTTTATTAAATAATTTATACCATTATTGGCTAAAATAATTTAATAGTTATAAATAATGAAATTATTGAAGTCGACAATTATCAATTAGAAGTAGATTAGAAACCAATAATTAAAAAAATTAATTTAGGTATCAGCGATAGAAGAAATAAAGTGATGGCAGGTATCTAATAATTCAGATTCCTTTAGATATCATAGTTTAACATTTCTATAAACCTAAATCTTCAAAACCTGATTCGAATTCAACAGAAAGATAAGATATTATTCTTAAAAAGTAATCCTAGTCAATATCAAAGATAATTATGTCTTAGGACAAATGTAAATGAACTTGTGAACTCGTTACTAAGAACAAGAATAATCTAGTAAATCCATCAATTATGGTTTAATGAAAATGCATTATACTAAAAAATCAAAAAGATAATGAGTGATGTTAATAATCAAAATATGGTCATTTCTATTTCTAAAATAATTAATGTAATAATTAATTTTATATAGTCAGATTAATTAACAGATGGAAGAGTTTTGACAACAAGGATCTCGTTTTTGATTTTATAAAACTAGATTAGAACTCATCTAAACTTCTGAGCCACTCCAAATTTCTGATTCCTACTTTTACAAATCCCTAGGCTTTATTGTCGTTGATTATAATGGAGCAGAATCTATCCCTTTATAATTATGTTGAGAGGATTAAAACTGGGAATCAGGAAACTTGAAAGTTTAGTATATTGCTTTACATATTCTAATATGTTGTTGATTGAATCAGCAAGCTCTATTAAGTGACTTTCTGATAAAACAACCTCTTATTCTTCATTATAGACTTAAAGAAAAAGTTGACTATTTTGACTACTTTCTGGACGACTTCTTTGTATGATAAATTGGGATTTGGATATAAATTCATCGGTGTAACTCATAACAGTCTTTGCTTCTTCTTTTTTATCCTTTTTTTCTGTTTTATTTGGTGAAAGATCTTTGGGTGGCCTAATTAAATTTTAATCTATTTACCAAAAATTAGTTTAAATGTCTGGTTATAAGCCTAAATATTTAGATTCTAATTAATTTTCTTCAATTTAATTAGTTAATTGCGAAAGATTCTTTTTTTAAAGAAAAACTACTTTGTCTTATGATTCAGGTTTTAAGATTTAAAGTAATTGATTGCATTGCCAATTCTAAAAGTCTTCGATTATATATATTTTATGTATTCTTCCGTAAAAATTGTATTCGCAGTTTTTCACAAAATTGATCACTTCATTTGTAATTGGGAGTGATGATTAATCTAAATTGCTCATATCTACTAAAATTATTGTTGATTCAACATAATAAGATATCAAAACATCTCTAATTAGCATTGTGAATAAATAATCAAAACCCTCCCTAAATTCTTATAGTTTGTACTACCACAATATACATATTGTTATTTACTTTAAGAGCTTTTAGTGTGTTAATTATGATTACTGGTCGAAAACGTTTGTCGTGGCCATGTATGTAAATCGCCCCATTTAACTATCAAATTAATTAAAAATGATACTAAAATAGCTTCTGGAGGAATTTCTAAATTAATCTTATTTCTCCAATTTAGATGTTGCCTTAAGACCTTATTGATATTATCTAAATATAGTACTTGAATCGTATTTGCTATATCATGATCACAATAGGCCAAGATTCTTTGGTAGTCACTATCTTACCATCTATTAAAATATCGATGAAACTTACTCTTTTGGTAATCTCAAGGGTGGATGGTTAATCAAGGCTTACTTTAAATTTTTCAGCTATTCTTTTTCGAAAGGCTCCATTTCAATATTCTCAAAAATCTTTCTCTCTATCTTCCCTGCAACTATCACCTTTTCAGCTTAATTTTTTTAAAAATACATACATCCAGGCTCAATTAGGTTTTCTTTTCTCAGATAGCCAATCATATTATTATGTAAATTAATTAAGCTCTCCCAATTCATTGAGCTTATTGTTTTGATGTCCTGATTTCATCCTTACAAAAATAAGATGTGCCTAAGCCAACCTTCTAAGATTTTGATACGCCTGTATTTGTGACTAATTATGCGAACAAACAAAATTTTAGAGATTGCATAGGAACATTTTGCCCTTGCACTTTGAGTTAACAATTATCAAAATATACCTATCTAACTGCCTTTAGGATAATAGGTTCCCTTCAATATAGACCAAAGAATTAATTTTTTTAGATGTTGGAGTGAGATTTTTGGTCAACACTTAGAAAGGCAAAAAATGGAATCAATAGCAAGTAGGGAAAAAAACAAGTATAATAGCTTTCTAAGAGAGGTAAAGAAGTGTTGAATGACAATCAATTTATCTAATCCTTTTTAGAATATGGAGCTACATTTCTACCCGAAGAAGCAGCCGAAGGAGAGTGGAATATGAATACAACTTTGCAACATTTGATAGGAAAAGCATGATATGGAAGAATTACTAAAACGTATTGGAGAAGATTGATTTGACTACTTTTGAAACATCTAAAGCCTAAATAACTTATGCTGAATATTTAGAATTGAAGAAATGATCAATATATATAAATTATGAATGATGATTTTGATAATATTGCATTCATCCCTAATCAAATCGCAGAATAGGCATTCTTAAAAGGGGTTACAGAAGGAAAAGCTAAAGTTGACACCAATATATACAACGATTCATACACAAAAGGATGGAATAAAGGAGCTATTGTGGGCATGATTGAATCCCAAATCTCAGTTTTGAAAATCATTGATCCTACCCTTTAAACTCAAAAATACGAAGAACAGTTAAAAAATTTGGAATAAATCGAGGACCTAATCAATTTAAGGAAAACCCTAACAAAGCTGCAACCATTAAAAGGGCTTATATAATTAAAAAAACAAAGTTTGGATTTCTGATCATTTATAATCAAATCATGGTTTTTTATGAGGGTTTCTTTTAGCTAAGTCTGCTTATGAATCATCCTTTCTAATTTTAAGAATTTTTCCAACACCACTTTATCATCTAATTTTTATGTTTCATAATGAATCTGAACCTTTTACTCTAATTTTAGTGTGCTATTTTAATCTAAGAATGGCTACTCCTTTTAATAATAGGTCTAATTGATTCAATCGATAATTGTATTATTGATATCTCTATAATGATCCTTTTGATAATTTTGATATGTTGAAAAGCATTTAGTGTTTCTCTGGGAGGCTATTATTATTCATTCATTTTATTTTATATATTTAATGCAATACAAAAACAAAACGATTCAAATTTCAGTATCTATATTGTGATTTAAGATTTATCATTTATGAGTCATTTCATGATTATTATTTAAAGTTTATTGAAAATTGTGAGAACTTATCCATTTTACAGAGTTATTCATTCCAAAAGTGTATCCTTTGATTCTTCCTTGCCAGAACAAAACAAAATTAAATCAGAAAAAATGATAAAATTTTAGATTAATTAGTTTAACATACTTTTTTTTTAATATATATATATAATTAGTATCACTACCAAATACAATAAACTCAACATGGAAATTGAACCAAAAATTCCAAATATTTTGAAATTTAATTAAAATATATTAATAACCAAAATATATATATAAAAGTAATTTTATAATTCTAACTATTTCAAAATGAATTTCAGATGTATTTTAAATAAAAAGGGTAAATAAATTGAAATCATGCTTAAATTCTAATATTATTATAGTGAATTTTCATGGAATTTAAATATATTCTTAATTTTAGTATTATAACTGAGAAATTGAATGTAACCTTCGAATTCATGACAAAAATATTTATAAAATAAGATGATTTTTTTATTGGTGAATTTGAATGGTCATGAAATAAAATTATTTAAGCTCTTCATCCGAGACTAAATGAGAAAATGATGTCTTTATCAAATTTGATTTAGGTTTAAATATATAGACTTAGTATAGAACTTAATTGCGACTATAAATTATGAAATAAATAACACTTAGTTCCTCAAGGTGATTTTTTATGTCTAAGCTGAGGTATATTCATGGAAGCAAATAAGAATTAGTTGAAGAATGGATTGGCCAGAGAAATGTAATAAATTAGGTATGTGAGATATGTAGAAGTGAATTTATGATATACAATCAAATGATAATACATCCGCAGGATTATTTAGCATCTTATAAAGGTTCTTCGACATTGTATATTTTCCAGTTCTCTACCTCATGCACTTAGATCAGAGATTATTATTTGTCTATCTCATCTATGAATGCAATTCTATGTTTTTTTGATCCTTAAGCAATTATGTTCTTAAATTTATCGCATCTCTATGAGGTCTGGATATCTTTTTTGGATGCTTTTAAAATACCAGATATTTGGGAATTCATCAAATAATTAATATTAATATTGATCATATTTGTAATAAAAATACTCAGTTGAGTTCTTGGTTTTCTGGCTAAACCTATTATTATTCTGGAACTGGTTGATCTTAGGGTTGATTTGCATGTTATTCTCCTTCTGCTTCTTATTATTGTTATTATTATTATTCTTATTATTATTATTATTCTTATTATTACTCTTAAGCTTCTTAATTCTATATTTCAGGTTCCTCATTTACATTTACCTATGCTACTTCTTTGGGTTATTCTTCTTGTTATTTCTATTCTTCATGTTTTGGAGGGATTTGTGGTTATTGAGCACCTTAGAATGGGAATTGTGCTTATTATTATGGAACTTATTCCATTCTTTGTTTCAATTCTTCATTACTCATGGGTCCTTGCATGATGAGTTATTCCATGATAGATTAATATTTCATATCTAATTGCTTCATTTTAAGATTGAAACTGCTATTTGCTTATTGACTATAAACTTAGGTGGCATATTATAAAATTTTGCTTCCTGGATCTTCAAATTTATTCAATCCATACTATTCTAAGATATCCTTTCTAGTATGAGTTAAAGATTTTACTTAGAACTGTCCATTTTAAGAGATTGCATAATTTCCATCATTTTGGGACTTTAGAAATTGATTTATTCACCTCTATCTTGTAATTCTAGCAATTTCTCATTTAATTTCAAGGCACTTTCAGTCATTACTTTCTCAAGAATTTCAAAAGTTGTATCAGCTGTAAGAAAGGCTGGGATATCAGTTTTAGGATCTGGAGATTAGCCTGAAAAAGATCTATCGAAAGACTCCTTCATTTGCTTTTGTAACTCTTTGATTGTTGGGTCATCACGATAGACATTTTGGCAATAGTGCTCAACCTGTTATTTTGTGATTCTAAATTAGTTGTATACCATTTCTTCGACTTACTCGATCTCCCCTCTAAACATAGCTACATTAGATATTGCAAGTCTTACGCTATTCCAAGAGCATCATTTTGATATCTTCAGGTCTGGCCCTTCCCATTGATTATTGTTTAATATTAATAGCAACAGCTGCAAAATTTTGAAATACAGTGAAAAGCTCCTTCTTTAATTCCTTTAAAATTTTGATGATAGTTTCCCTGTCAATAACCTAAGGATCAATAATTGTCTTCCTATTCCATATTTAAAGATACATACCCATCTGTCTTCTTCAAAAATCTGTAAAGCAGAATGCTGGTCCCAGTTAAGACTGCTGCTCCTGTCATCAAAGCGAATATTTTTTTGTTCTCTACTTTGCTCATTTCACCACAAATTTAATAATTAAATATTTTATTAAAATAAAGTCCAAGCGAGATAAATTTGAGCACAATACAAAATTATAAATAAGATTAATTCTATAAATATAAATATAGGAATAACAATATTACTAAAATAAAATATGTAAGAATGGCACCATGTGTAATTCTATTAAAGCATAAATTAGGCTATCTACTTATCTTTTGTATCTCATTTGTTTATCTTCTTGTTGAGTCTAAATCTTTACAATTGACTATGAATTTTAGGCCATGCTGTTTAAGTTTAAAGTATAGTGTTAAAAACGAGAACACTCAGCAAGTGAATGAAATGCATTTATAAAATATGATAATAATATCCAAGATATTTTTGCAATTCTCAATAGATAAATCTGATCTAATTATAAATATGATAAGTAACATGCTTGTTATCGACTCTTTTGGTCATTAGTAAACAGTTAAGCTGAAATCTATTTTTGTGTTAAAGTGCTGTATAAAATAACATTATTTTACAAAGAAAATATATAAACTATATATTTAAATAGTTACTTTCAAAAATAGGATATGCTCTACCTTATATTTATTATATATCATTCTTTCAAACATTAAATATTTTATCATTTTTTGGTTTAAAGAGATTGAAGCAGTTCAATTAATGATAGATAGTTGGGCATCTTACTTTTCATTTCTCCTTTTACTTTAAGCTTTAATTTCAAGTGTCAATTTTTTGTAAAAATCTAATACAATCTCTTTCATAAAATAATTTATAGGCTCATTCAATTGAAATTTGTTATCTACTATTTATTTTTATCCATGTTGATTACAAATGATAAATTGAAATTTCAAGTTATAAATTTTAGAATAATCCCCATTTAGGTACATCCCCAATTATAAGGAATGGACATAAAATTCTTGTAATTAATTTAATTAATAATATGAATTAACAATTTAGTGTAGAGTATTTGGGGATTAAACCTACTCGTTACAATCGATTACCCAATCTTAATAACAATCACTATTTAAAGTACACAGAGAGTTTTAACTTAGTCTCTCTTAGGAAATGCGTACTTCGCGAACGAAAAAAAATTTAGCTTAACAAAAACTGGTAATTAAATTTTGTTATTCTGATCCAAGCATGCCCTCTCCAATAAGAAGGATGATCCAAACGACTACTATAATCATACTACAATATATAATGTCAAAGAAAATAAAGACATTTCAAAAACCCCTATGTACTACTACCATTATCAATCCATAGTAATCAAGAATTAAGCTTTTCTAAATATAATGAACTTTAAACTAAACTTATGGTTTCAGATTTCAAAAAGAAGGTTGATGCCTACCTCAAAAAAAACAACTAGAAATCAAATATAATGAGTAGTAAATTAACTTCTTCATTAAAGGAATTGGAATTACTCCAATAAGTAAAAAATGAGGAATTGTTGAATAAATCTCTATGTTCTAACAAGTACACAGTCAAGACTGAAAGTATACCTTTTGATTTAATTAATTCTTAGAAAAATCCATGAAGGCTATGGAAATATTTATTCTTGGAAATAATAAGATTGTTACTAAATAAGTAATTTCAAGTGAACTTATTCAATAGAGATTATTAAAATAAATGGAAACGTTTCTAAAGGATGACAGATTCAACTATGATTTGAAGTACATTCATATTATGATTTAGAATGTCAACAATGATAGAATAATATGCAGAAATTGTAACTAGAATTCATGAAAAAGCCTTCACTATTAAAATACCAGAAAAGTATATCATTTAAATGAGTGATTACAATGAATATTATTAAATCAAAGAAGATACTATAGATAGCTTTCTTGAAAATAAATTAGAAATCATTGCAGATCATATCATCTAAGAAATTCAACAATCCAAAAGAACTACTCCAAAAATATTGAGTCATAAAACTAGTGAAATTCATGAACCCATTGTGGAGGCTGCTATCAGTTAAACTGAAGATTTGATTATGACAGAACCAACTATTGTTCATTAGTAAGAAATCATTAAGGAGGAAACCTCACAAATCGAATAGATTATCCCTGAGAAGAAAGTTTCTAATAAAAAAAGTAGATAAAGAAAGAAGAATTAACAACCTAAAAACGATAGAAATCAATCAGATTAATCTAGTCTCTCAGAAATAGTGGATTCTTCTTTAAAAAATTCTAATATTAAAGATAGTGATGATACTAGAAGAAGAAAGAAAGAGAAACAGAAAATTACAAATTAAGCTTAAATTGATGAAGAAGAATAAGATCCGTTACAAAAAGAAAATGAAAAACAGCGAAGATAAAAAATTATAAAAAAGCTAAGAGAATTTAATTAATTATTCAAACCCAAAATTTTTTCAAGGGGATAATCTGAAAATACTATATTATAAATTGAAGAACCAATTATACTTGCTCAACCAAAATAAGCAATTCTAAAGACTTTCAGTTTAAGACCTGCTGATGATACTACAAATATGAAAGAAATTTATGAAATAATTAGAGCTAAAAAATAATAGTTGTATGAATATAACTAAGAATAATAAAGAATATAGTATTAAGAGTAAACAATTGAAAATTCTATATAAAATTAGACTAAAATTTAATAGAAGCCTCTAAATTTAATTGTGAATGGCAAACATATCAGTGAAATAAAGGAAGCAGCTGAGTTGTGGGATTCAAAAAGGAATTCTCCAAGGTCCTTCACAAAGTAAAGACAGAATTTAAATAATTCAGCAATTCCGGAATAAAAATAAGAAATAAAAGTCAATGAATAGATATAAATACCGGCAGAGGTCTAAGACAGTTAGGTTGATTCTAAAGCTTTGCCGAATAACAATCCTGATAATGGTGGTATTAATTACTAATAGATTATTAATCAAAAATTAATAAGTATAGAAGATAAGTTGAAGTAAAAATGTCAAGATATTTTTGATATTTTATTAGCTTCTGAATATGTTTATGATGTAAAAATAGATGATTACAAAATTGGGAAACCAAATTCAAGTAAAATCAACCATCCAAATTTTATATTTTAGCAGGACTAAGATGAAATAGTATTTACTCATCAGTAATATTTATAATTTATTTAGGGTCTTATGGAGGAGAGAAATACAATAAGTGATTCCTAAGCTTAACTCTGTTAATAAATAAATGTAAGTTTAAATTAACTCAGAAGATGAGTATATTTAAGATACTTAACAGATAATTAGTGAAGAAGAAGATGATGATGAAGACAAAGATGATGAAAATGAAGATTCGATAAATTGACAAACTGTTTTCTTATAATATCCTTATTTTTTTATACTTTTAATATTAATTTTTTAATGATATTATTGAGGTCATATAAGAATAGAGTATCTTAATGATATATGATCTATTTTTTAATTAATGGTGCATTTAATATATCTTGTAAGTCTTAAAACAATATAAATATCAATCACTGTTACAGAGTTTGAATTTCTTTTTGCCGACACATTATCCGCAGTTAGGACAATAGTGAACTTTATCTTTGCAACTTTTCAATACAAAGGGTAGAAAAACAAGAGGCAAGAAAAATATAAAAATGAAAAATGCTACAATCCAAGTTTATGGACCAGCTCTATGTTACATTAGAGTAGTTCCAGACCTCTTGCAGAATTTACACTATATTTAGATAGGAATTATTGATCCTTGAGCATCATATGGCACATTAGTTCCATTTGAATCTGTATTATACACAGGAGTGACAAGGAAACCTGTTGGAAGTGGAATGCCTAAAATTTTATAGAATTTATTACCACTTTAAATATAATGATTTTGAGTAGGAATTCCTACGAATACTTTATCCGTGTTTTCCTCATATCTCACTTCTGCTAGATTTGGGTAGGTTATTTACTGTATTTCAGATTCATTCAGTTGAGAGTGAACTAAATGAGACATATTAATAATAATTTGGTTTTTCAAATAATATTCCACATATTTATATACATATTATGTACATTAATGAACAGAATTACAAAATTTAAATAATTCTAAATTTCTTGATTTTATAAGCTGTATTTAATTTTTTATCAATACATAACACTCTATTGTAAGATTTTTGAAGAATTACCATAATGAGAAAAATCTTTTGATAAACTGATTTTATTTAAGAGGTTGTAACGCTTATTGAAATAGGAAACAACATGGAGTTTGCTAAAGAAAAGCGAGAAGTTCAGTTCAAATGTTTTTAGATGCCTTGTTTTAGTATAATGGATACATTGAGTAATTTATAAAATTTTGTTTATATTTTCAATTTCATCTTTCTTAATTACATTTATTATGTTAAAGATTAACATTTTTTTATATAGTAGATAAGGCGGTTCTAGTCTAACATTCAATATAAAAATATATATGGAAATAATTTAAAAAAAAGCACTAGAAGAGTTTAATTTATATTTTATAGAAAAATTTCTTTACTAAAATTATTAAAAAATTGGGTATAATTAAAAATACAATATGAAAGAGTAATAGAAAATGTGAGATATTAGAATCATTTATTATTTAATGAATTTTTATTTGAATAATAATTGATATATTCTGTAATAAATAACTATATATCAAACTACTTGTGGTTTGAAAAAATTCAGAAGGAGTAATAAAAATATTAATTTCATAAGACTCTCCTAACTTAACATATTGGCCATCGTCCATTTGTTAGATGCCAATTAGTTTGCTTATTTAATGAATGGAATATTTGGTTAAAACGGCTATGGATTGACTTCACTTTATTGGTTAAGCATATAATCTATATTATTATTGAGAATAAATTGTCTTTTTCTTTCTTCCTTAAGATTTTCTTTATTTTATAAATATTATTGAACACATTTAACCATGGCAGGCTATAATTATTATTCATAGATATCCTTTTCTTCTGAATTTGAAAAGTAATCAAGTAATCCAAATATATTAAACTTCAGTTCATGCTTGTAGTAGCCATAACTAAGATGAATAAATATAAGAGTACTGTAAAGTGACTTCATTATTATTGGTTTGAATAATATGCATGTATTTTCTGAGAGAGCAATATTGATTTGCATCATTGAAAACCTCTTGTTCAACCATGATTTCAGCATCACATATGAAGTAAACAAACTATTCACATTTACAATTAACATATTCTGGACTGAATATTTTGAGTTTATCTCGGTTAGGCTATTTATAAGTAATAACTCTTTTGCTGGCACAACATTGATCGATCAGTTCTTTAATATCGAAGTTCTCCTCATGGACAAAGAAACTGGGTGGAGCAGGTTCGTATTGAGTATATTTCACTTAGATTTCCTTCATTACATTAGTTTTGAATGAGCAAAGAAGTTTTATTCATCACTGCTAAGAAACAACTTAAAGAATTCTTTGGCTGTCAATGGCAAATCTAAAGAGGAGAGATTGATAACCTTTGGGTTATTGCAAAATCTGCTCTGATCCTTTAAATAGCTTTGCTTTCTGAATTACAACACATTTTAATATTCTTTCAATTGTCTCTCATAAATCTCTTTTTGTCTCAAGAGCATATCATTCCATTACTACTCTCCTCTCATTTGATGATGCAATTGTTAATCTTAAATAAGTAAGACTATAACTACTCTTATTATATTGTTGGACAGCTTCTTTTAAGTTATCATTAGCTTTACAATTCAAATTATTAATTCTAAAATGAATGAGTTCACTTAATTCAATAATAAAATTATTGAAGCATCTATCTCTTACAATATTGGATTACACCATGCCTGATAGAGTAAGACTCATTTGCTGCATCAAAACTGCGAATCTAATAGTATTATTAATTTACAATCATGGAAATTGGTTTGATTCGAAGTTGATTGCATTTCTAATACTAATTGCATATACTTCGTGTATTTGGATTTTAGACTATCATTGGATTGTTCAGCGAATTTAATTAGTTAATTGAGGATATCCAATATTTCCTAATGAATTTCAACATGGAAACTTATTGATTTCTACAACTCTAATAGAAGTTAATCATGCTGAAGTGTTTAGTCATTCTAAATCATATTAACCAAACCATTGCTGTTTCTTTGAATAATGACTGCCAACTTTTTCAATTGTTCACCGTTATATTTAGTGGCTTCAAAGTATTACACTCTCAATTTTGCGTATTTTAAATAAAATTAATACAGGAATCCTCTTTCTTTGTTGTGTGACTTAAACAGGTCCAAGAGTAAGTTGTTCTTATCCTCTAACTTTTAGATTGCAGCTAATAATTGAGGATAGTCTAATTAATATTCTTGGCATGTTAAATACAGCAATTGGTATTCCACAAAGTCCCTTTGCCATTCTTTCTTCAGACTAACACATATTATCAATAATATACTATTATTGATAATGAAAGAAACACTGTTTCAGACTGTTCAAACGATTTAAATCCAATTTACAGATCTCTAAACACACACTTCTTTCCTGTTATGCAATGGTCTCATAAGTCTTCTTTTGAGTCATGATCTAGTCAGTGAAATGTTGTCCCTTTTCCAATCTATCAATCATCCATTTATTTATTTATGTAAATATCTCAATCATTGGTTAATAGGTTTGAGTGATCTTCATCTTGTCAGTATGTTTCTAAAATTCAGCACTAAGCTCATCGAACTCTTTCATAGAATGTAGTTATCTTCTAATAAGTTCCCGAAATGCATGATTCAAAGTCCCTGCAAATTACTCAGTTACTATTCCTTACATATTAATATATAATAAAAAACAAAAAAATTAAGTCCAAATCTCCTGTTTATATTTGAAAACCACTTATCAAACCCCAAAAATATTAATCAAAATATTCTGATGAATTTACAAGTCTAAAGTGACATAGATTTGAAACTATCCGCCTTAGAAAAATTGGGAGACAATCCAAATGAGGTTGATATTAAATACGTAAGCTATATACTCAAAATCCCATATTAAACAATTCATTAGTGGTTGGAAGAGAAAAGAGTTGAAGAAGATTTTGAAATAGATATATCACCAGTCGAAGATACGGAATGTTAATTTATTGGAAGTGGAGTGGAAAACAAAGGGTTGTTAAATAAATAAAATTTGGTTAAGGAGGAGGATGCTCAAAAGAAATAAATACAGATTTCATTTAAATCACCAAAAAAAGATATAAAAGTGAACGAAGTCTCAAAAATAAAGGTAAAAATTAATAAAATTGATTCAACCAAATCAAGTGCTGATAAAACACTTGAAAAAGCTTAAACAAAACATATCAATTTAGTTATTAGATAATCTTAATAACAATCATTTGAAGATTGTAAAACCCAAGAAAAAAGTTTATAAGAAAATTAGAATGCCAATCGATTTCATTCAAACAAAAATTTATTATAACAACATGAAAAATAGGAGGTATCAAACAAATAATAAAATCATAAAGGAAGTTTATCTTAAAATATAGATATCAAGGTTCAATAAAATCAAGATTAATTTTATTCATAAAAAATATAAAAATAATAGCTTAATTAGATGAATAATTTAATACGTCTGGAGAAGGAAAAAGACTAATAGGGAATGAGTTAAATTAAATTAATAGAATAGACAAATTAATCAAGAAATGAAAAACAACACAAATCCTTAATTGTACTTGATAAAGAGGCCATTAAGTAAAATTAAATAATTGAAACCTCAAAAATAAAATCAAAATAAAGTTTCAAAAAATAAGATATAAGTAATAAACTATAAACTTTGTCAGATCTGACTCTTCTAAGTAAGAAAAAGGCATAGAATCCAGTATAATAATAATAGTTTGCAATCAGATAAAATAAGATGTTCGAACATGGAGTCACTTAATAATAAACTCAGTAGATACAAAATAAAATATAAGTAAATCATACGAATTAAAATTAAATCTCTTAAAAAATTCAACATTTTCAATAAAACCAGGATCACAATTCTCTTTAGGTAAATTAATAATAACCAGTATTAAATTTCACAGAAGAGCGAATAATCAATTCTAATGTAGAATCACATGAGTAGTTAAATAAATAATAGCAATAAGTAGAATAAAAGACTTCTAATTCTTAGCATTAGAATATGACATAACCACCTGAAAAGTTGGATCATAATTTACCTATAGAATCACTCAAATTATAACAGCAACCCCAAATTTATTAAGTATGTACTTCTCAATTGAGGGATCAAACTAATCCTACAAATTAATCTTCATTATAATGTTAGCGAGGAGAAGTTTAACCGTAAAATGATTCTGAAGCGAATCCCCTATAAACACAGTCAAGTCAGATCACGCAAGGGTGTATTTAATAAGAATACATGGATAAGATGTTATAATTGCCCAATCAAGTAGAGATGATTTAAATTTTCAACTACAATTAGCAAGTATTAGGATAGGTAATTAAACTGATTACGACAGTTAGTAATTAGTAGTTTGCATTGATGCAGAAGCTTGACTTGATTAATTAATGTGTTAATAAAAAGTGATACGATTATTTTTCATATAAAAATTATAAATGAAAATAATAGGGCTTAAGGGCTTAGAAGATGGAAGAGTATGATTAGTTCTACTACTAGGTTACAAATCTCTATTTTCTGAAATTTGAATTCATGGAGAAAGTTTGCTTTGTCTTCAATCTCGTTGGGATAATTTTGGCAGCAATCTAGTATGAATTGGAATTTGAAGAATACGACTCTGATGATCCATTTAGAGATGTATAGAAATCATGTAGATTAGATATCGTAATGGCTGCTATGGATGATAGCTGGTTCATCACTTCTCTTGATATACTTTACATTTTATCGTTATTAGACCAAAATAAAATGGTTAAAGTCTAGAGGAGTGATTGGCCCAAGAGAAAAATTCTATGAAATCGATGAGAATTTCTACATGATAATTGAGATTGGAGTATACTGTCTAATACCTTTATCAATAACAGAGACCGTGAGGATTTCTTTTTACAATGTGGCTCAGGGAGCAGAAGCCTATTATCATATCAATGAAATGCTTACACTATTAATGGTCGTTAGAGCAATCTATCTCTATAGGACAGTCTTGACGTTGACGTTTTGGTCCAGCAATAGAACATTAAGAGTTTGCGATCTCTATTCTTGCGAGCATAACTATTTGTTTGTTGTAAAATCTCTTTTAAAAACATCTCCTTACCTTACTTAATTTTTAATGTTATTATCCCTTATTTTTGTGTTTGGCTATCAATTAAGAATTTGTGAAAGACCATTAACAAGATTTAATGAAAATATTGATAATTTGGGAGTATATTATAATAGTGTTTGGTGTATTATTATAACAATAACATTTGTTGGTTATGGTGATTACTATCCTAGGACAGATTTAGGCAGATTTGTTGTTATAATAGTTTGTATTGTTGGAGTATTTTTAATGTCTGTCATGATTGTGGCTTTTATTGAATCACTCAAAGCAACACCCATTGAGAGTTAGACCATGTCCCTTTTGGAAAGAATACGTTTGCGTGAAATAGTCAAAAACTAAGCTGCCCAAGTGATTAAATTAAGTATGTAACAAGCATTTAGATGGAGGTAAATTTACGTTAATAATTGAAGGAATGGTACTTTGACAGAAAAAAAATAACATTAAATAGAGATAGATTTAAGATTAGCTTTGCATAATTTCAAGTTTGCATTGCAACAATAGAACAAATTTGGATTGGACGATTAAAGTGCAAATATTATAAATCATATTGGATTTTTGGGATTGGATCTAAAGTAATTAAGAAATGAATAAAATTGGGATGTCAGATTAGTGATGGAAAAATTAGAAAAATAAGAGTAACTTTCAAAATAATTGATGGAAAAGTTGAATGTCGTTTTATCAGAAAAGAAGTGACATCTTTATGATGGTTCCATGACTCAAAGTAAAGAAGAGAACATTTGAATGTTAAAATTGAGTTTGGAATTTGAAATAAAATAATAATATAATAATATAATATAAATGAAAGGAAGAACAGGAGGTTTAACAGCTAAGATGAGCAATGTAACTTTAATGATTATTGCTTTCATTAGTAAAACCAAAATCGAAGGTAATAAGAGAACGATCAATTGGTAAGGAAAGCAGATTAAAACAAAATATCGCTTGCTGAAATATTTATGGCTAATTCCTAGTAATTAGGAGGGTTGGAGGATGGAAAAGTATTATCTGGGAATATTTGATAGGTAACAAAAATGTATTTTCACAAATTTTTATTTATGGAGTAGGTTTGTTTTGCATTCAATTTAATGGGATTAGGAATTAGTGTTATCTAATATGATTTAGAATATGAAGAAATTACTGACGATGATCCCATGAAAGATGTAATGTTAAAGATAATTTTAGATTTCTTTATGGTTATTATGGTTAGTATTTGTATCATCATGTCTATTGGTTTTTTTAACTGTTTATCGTTATTAAGCTCATATTGAATGGATGAAATCAAGAAAATCGATGGCTCCAGGTGATTAAATATGGCATACTGATGATTGGCTACCTATGCTCATAGAATTAGCAGTATATTGTATTATTCCACTCCCATTTACTAAAGGAATCAGAGTCAACTTTTACAATTCAATTTAAGGAAGTGAAGCCTATATCAAGGTGAATGAGATCTTAGCTTTGATTATGATTTGCAGAGTTATCTACTTATATAGAACTCTGTTAACCCTTACTTTCTGGTACAACAACAGAACTTAAAGAGTTTGTAATTTATACGCATGTGAATCCAATTACATGTTTGTGGCCAAATCCTTACTAAGAACAATGCCGTACACTGCCTTATTTATAGCATTGATCTCTTTAATCTGTATCTTCGGATATGCAGTAAGGATTTGCGAAAGACCACTCTCAAGAAATGATTCTTCAAGCAACAATCTAGGACTGTTTGAAAATGCTCTATGGAATATCATTATTACAATAACGACTGTAGGTTATGGTGATTTCTACACTAGAACTGATCTAGGCAGATTTGTTATATTTATAGTTTGTGTTCTTGGAATCTTCGTAGTTTCAGTTATGGTTGTTACTTTAATTGAATCTCTCAAGGTCACTTCCCTTGAAGGACATGCAATCACTGTTTTAGAGAGAGTTGCCTTAAGAGAAAAACTTAAGCATGAAGCTGCCTTAGTTATCATACTTACAGCCAAAGCTGCTCTTGGTTATAAGTAATAAAAATTCAAATATTATTTTAGAAATGGGACTTTGACTCGAAAATAACACCATCAATTAATAGTTAGATTAAAACAGACTTTGATTAATTTTAAAATGACACACAGATAGCATAAAACCAAATAGGATGAGAATAGTTTGAATGAAGAAATCACTAATTAATTCAGTCTCTTGAAAAATGACTTCAAGCAATTAATGGAAAGGTAATAAGTCTTGATTTCAACTAATAATCTGATCTATTAGAAACTAGGATTTGAAAATAACAAATCAGTTGTCAATATTTGACACTTTATACATATGAATTTAGCAATTTAATGTATGATAATTTTATTTGTATTTCATGATCAATGGATATTTTTCTTAGCCTTTCTCTTAGCCAATCTTGTTTCAACACTCTTATTCTTTTTGATGGATGGGTCATTCTTTATAGCAAATCTTCTATTTTTTGCGAATCTTTAATTACACTTTATTTTATAGGATTAATTACTCCATTCAATGAGGTATATCTTTGATTTGGAAGCTTCTTAATACCATTTCTGTGATGCTTACGGGCATTATGATGACTTGTTGCATTCTTAGACTTGGCCATTGATGATTAATTATTTAAAATATTTATTTAGATTTTTCAATATTTTTAAATTCCTTAATTTTTTATACAAACCTATTACTCCATCCGCGAAGCATCCTTTTGTAATGCCTCTTTCTGCATAATACTTCTCTCCAATTCCTTAAACAGACTCCAAACTCTCTACTGTTAGAAGTCCTGAGCCTCATTCTATATTTATATCTACTTTTTGAAGTCTTTCTTCTACTTCACTTTTTGCTCTTCCTTAAATTTTTGTCTATTTTCTAAGAACTGTTTACTTTATTCTATTTGCTCACTCAAATATTACTACTCATATTGGTCTCTAATTTTCTTACTCTACAATTTAATCACAAATATAAACCTATCTTTCATCTTGCCATTTTAATTAATTTTTCTTGGCTTCCAATTTATTAATCTATTTTTAAATTATTTCTAATTCTTGTTTCAACTACCTTTCAATATGTGGATCATTATTCTATATCTATTCAATTAATTTATTTAAATTTGGAGCCTCTGGCAATTACACAACATATTTCTTCAAAGGCTCTTTCTACCTAACAGCAATTACAGGAGATTTAGATTAAGAAGATTTTTGTTAAACAACTTTGTTACTTTAATTATTCTTTGGACTATTAAATTACTCTTGAGGTTAGGTTTGAAAACTTTTCACACTTACATGATCTTAAAAGCTCATATATTCATTTGTAGGGTAGTTGTTATCGTGATTTTTATTTTGACTTGATATCGGTGATTTAGATTAATAATATTATTTTTTGGAAGTAGTTGAATAGCTTGGCAAATTTGGACTTTTTGAGGTCTTTCGATTTTCAGCAATTCCTTTCTTGTATGAGTTAAAATCTTTAAATCTACTCAGCATTTTAAATGTAGTTTGTTGTTGATCCTTAGGAGTGGGTGGGATTTATTAAACTAATTCATTTTATATTTCAGTGTCTTCTTCAACTTTACCTTCTGAATCATCATCTTAAAAATTATTGTTTAATTTTGACAACATATAAGATTTTAATTCATCTGAACTCTTTTCTTGAGGAGTCTTGGATTGCTACTCGTACTTTTGATTGAATTTCATTATCTTATAGAATGAAGTATAATAGTTAATTGACAAAGTCAAAATCTTCTCAAGTTTATCAGATACCGAATAGACTTGACCTTTTATTTCTTCCTTATGATACTTTTGAGCCTCCTTTATGTTAGAAATATTGATCTTCTTTTTTATCAGATTTTATTACAGATTAGACAAAATTGCGTTGATTTATTCATAGCTTTTACAGAATTGACTCTAACTAGCTACCCAATCTCTCTATTATAAAAACAAATAGTCAGTTGTGATAGATTTATCAACTCCAGCCACAAGGCATAATAAACCACAGACACAATTGTAAAGTTGTTAGGTTGGTTTAAGAATGTAAAATAGATCCTAAAAGATCAAACTTGTGATTGTACTTAAATATCCTTAATTTAGATGTTTTGAAGAGTTTTGAGTATATTTGTATGAGTTTGTTCAGTTTCCTCAATCAACTTTAAATATGATGGTACTCTGACATCACCCAATCGAATCTACAATTTTGATAATTCAACGTCTCCTTTCATAATAAAAATTATATAAACATTGATAAATAATTGAATAAATTAAAGATTGTTATATTTGAAATAATTAAAATGCAAGAAACATACGATTTTAAATGACAAAAGTAATCTTATAAGCGAATTCGCAATAGAAAGCTTATATTTGTAAATTAAATGAGCATTAATTACTTTATTTTTGAAGAATTAAAAATTTTAGTTAAATTTGAATTTTTATACAACAATAATTTTATTAAGATCTTGCATTACGAATACCCAAGGAGATTGGAATTAATTTAAGTGTGAAATTGTGGAATATATTTATTAGCACTATAATATTATTATTATTAAATTAAAAAATGAAAGGAGAAGCTACCTAACCTAAAACTTAAACACAGGGATCTGCAATTAAGAATGATAAGCCCTTGAAATAAGTGAAATAATAAAGCCCATTGAAGCATTAAGGTGAACCAGAAGTTGTGTGGCCATTTTTTGCCCCCTAACCGGCACTGGTCAATTAAACGAGATTTTGGGATCGCAAAAATTGCAAGAATGTTTATCCTAGCAAAGACAATCTCAGATTTCAGGCTATAATGTTGAGGGTGGGGAAAAAGAAAAAGGTAACCAAGGGTTATTTTTTCAAATTAAGTAAGGATGGGACACTTAGTTACTACAAAAAGGTTTCACATTTAAATATAATTAAGGAATCTGATAAAGTAGCAAAGGGATATTTATAAATAACTATGGATTATGTGGCTCATCTGTTGGAACAAAAAAGCAAAAAAGATTCGTTACTTATTGTTTAAATCGAAAAGTATTAAGGACTCTCAATATCAATATTTGATGGAAAACCTCAATTGACCCTTGAATTCTTCAATCATCTCAAAGATTATTGCATAGTTTCTGGATTGGACAAACTCTATACTTAGATGGAACTCTTGGGCAAAGGATCTTTCGCATCAGTATTTGATAAATGTGATTAATAGGTGTATAAAGTAAAGAATCTATCCAACGACTAAATGTATGCAGCCAAGACATACTTCAAGGAAACATTTGAACAATCTCAACATAAATCTAAATTTGTGGTACCATTTGTTCCTTATTAAAGCTGAGCTTATGATAAAAAACGAAATCATGGTTTTGCGTAAAGTTATTCACCCTGGCATAATTCGATTGTACGATGTCATCTAAGAGAAAGAGAAATTGATACTAATCATGGAGATAGTCTCAGATGGAGATTTGTATAGTCTCATTAAGGAAAAGAAAAGAATCCCTGAAAAGGAAGCTGCAGTCATGTTAAAAGGTGTATGTGAAGCATTACACGAAATGCATATGTATAATATTAGAATAACTATTTAGAAATGAATTCGTACATAGAGATCTCAAATTAGAAAACATTATGATGAAATCAAGAGATCAATACATCATTAAATTAGTTGATTTTGGATTTGCAGAACCTATTAATCACAAGGAACTAGTATCAAAGGCAGGAACTCCTGGTTATATACCTCCTGAAATTTTCAAATTATTCCCATATATTGATAAGGGTGATGTGTTTTCAGTTGGAGTCATCTTTTATTCAGTAAAATCTCCTATATCATCATAGTTAATATCAGGCATTTCCTGTTTTAAAGGAAAGAATTATTAAGCAGTTCTGGAAGATAATAGAAAATGTGAAATCAGTTTTTAGAAATCAGTTTGGGATAATATCAGCAGTGAATGCAAACATTTGTTAAAGAAAATGTTGGCAAGAAAGCCTGCTGATAGATATACTTGTGCTGATGTACTCAAAAATGAATGGATTCTTATGCATACTTCTCATGAGTATGAACAATAAGCAGGTTCTATATATGAATTATAGTTTATAGATTCCGAACTTGAAAGAAGGAATTCATATTAAACAATGAAGAAATCTCATTATAGCCATTATAACTCAGTCGATGGATCATAACCTGATTTTAATAATGATTTCTCTTATCATACAAATGATTTAAAATCTTTCTATCATCGTAATAGTTAGAAAACAGTTAAAACCTAAAGATCTATTTAATCAATCAAATCAAACAGTAACATTTTCAATTTTACTTTTAGATGAAAAAATGAAACAATCTATGAGAAACAAATCAGCTAATAGCAAATAGCAATAGTTTACAAACTTTAAGAGTCAAACTCTCAAGAACAGAAATAAAAGTGCCGTACATTCGAATACTGGTGAAGGAGGTGGAGATTAAAAAAGTGTGAGATGGGTTGATAAGAAAAATAAGAGTGATGAGCCATCCTTTGGAGATAAAAAAGAAAGTATAATCTATTAATAATTTAGACGATTCGGTTAAGACTTCAATTTCTCTTAAAGTTTTTGAAGACTTCGAAGCCATTAATTAAACAAATGTAGCATTTTTGAAGATGTCTCCTATGTTGTTTAATCTATAGAAGAAACCAGATTCTGATGCCAAAATCAATGAAGCTATTAAAAAGAAAAAGTAATAAGCCACTCAGTTTATGAGAGCAAAATGATATAATACATTTAATCATTATTTTCATAATTTGGCTACATTTTTCAATCCATTTAGCATTTACCGTTTCTCTGATCAACCTTAAAGGAAATCTTTTGAATTACATTCTATAGAAATAATCCCTTTTTGTTTAGTATTCTCTATATATATTACTAGTTAAATTATTGTCTAAGTGATTTGTTTTATAAGTTTTGATAGTATTATATTTTTATTAAAATTGGGTCATACTTCAAAATCATCCTTGGATTGTTTTAAATAAAAGATTATTATTCAAATTAAAAAGAAGTTTATAAATTTGCTAGCTCAATTGCTTAGAAATGAATTTATAATAACGAAATTTAAATGCTGTTTATTTAAAAGGATCAGAATGAAAGTGATATTAAAATTATGAATAAAATAGAAATCATTGAAACAATCATCATTATGCAATGATATGAAATAAAGTCGAATACACAAAATTGACAGGAATACCAATATATACTTGATTTATTTTATGATTACGTTTAATTTTAGATAGCTATTTAAAATTCATTAATAATTCTCATGGTCATTCTACTATGATTAAATCGATATAAACTAATTTGACAAGTTATCAAATCCAAACTAAAGATTAAAACTGAATTTGCCAGACCTTAATTTAGGTTGCAAATGTAACAACAGAGAGTTGATAATGTTCGCTATGAATTTTTTCTAAAATTAAAGAACAATATGATAATATGAGAGAAATAACCTAGAAAAATAAATATCACCCTTAATAGAATAGATAGCTATTTAGGTCGATATATATGGCATACCAATTTTTATTTGATAGTTCTAGCAATATATCAATTTTAATCAAAATCAATCAAATAATTAACAAAAATGATATTACATTAATAAAGAACTGTGTAAATTTCAAAATTATTGGTCAATAGAATTTATGTTCATATAATACACTTTTCTTTTGGATTTTTGTAATTAGAATGAGCTTAGATAAAAAAATGTCCATGATTTTCAAATTGGCATTTTGGAGATGTAAGAAAAGTTAAAGAATCTTCTAGTAATAATGATTTAATATTATTCATTATATTGGAATTATGTTCTTAACTTACAAAGTATCTGCATTAATTTAAATCAATTCTATTTTTCTATCCTCGGAATTTAAAAGGTAAATTTATTACTTGAAAATCTAAATTTTAAAATTCATTTTACAATCGGTTATGTGCAATTTACATTTTATATTCTTTAAATAACATTGCTATTCTTCTAAATTGTTTTCAAAAACAAATTAATTAACTAAGCATTTCCATCATTTCCAAATTGATTATAACCTCCCATAATAAAAATTTCCTGATTTGATATCGGAAATGAATATCCAAGAACCTAAGGAACATAAGACTGTATAATTAATGAACAAAACATACAAAAGAATTGACCAATTCAATTGGATCAAGAAATCGCTATTAGTTTGTACTAAATATTTCAATTAAAGCATTTCCTTAATATTGATTCATCATTCCACCTGTAATGCATATCTTTTCATCTAATAAGCAGCACTACCCTTTGATCCTTGGATACTTCATCGATTCTATTTGCTCCCACTTATTCCCATTAATCAAGTATCTAATCTAAAATTGATGATTGCTTACTTGAAACCTTTCTTGTTTCCAATCGATACATTGTCAACCAATATATAGCCTCCCCAATAATATATAAATTAGCCTTATTTGATGGCCTATCCACCATAACTAATTATCGGTAATTCTGACATCATCTCTATTTTATTTTCTTACTTGTTGTATTTGGTTACCATTTGACTTATTTTGAATTATTTAGTATTGATGTCTTAATAAAATTATCCTATAAAATACAAGCTTTAGTTGGTATTAATCAAATTGCAATAGGTGAGTCGAAAGTTATCATCATTTAATACTAACTCTTACTATTTGATGTTATCGATGTAATCTATATGAGAATGATATATGGTATTATTCCTAAATGTGTAGATGCTATTTTATTATTCTTAAAACTTTAAATGTCCAGTCTTGCTTTTCAATGTTAATAAATTCTTCTTCTATTATTTAAAACCACTAAAGGTACTTGGAACTATTTTAAATTGATCTTTTAATGAAGAAAGTGGATACCTTTAAATTTCAGTGATATTAGCTTATACAATGAGTCTTTAATATCATATAATGATTGGTTTGTAATTTATAGATTAATTTCCTTGGGTAGTAGTGAGCGGAGTTAATGCAAATCTTCTTTAATTTATTCATGCCTTTCAAGAACTTCATTGTATTGTGCTTCTTCATAATTTGGAATATCTTTTCTCAACTAGAAAATTTGTTACTTTATTGGCGCTAAATGAATTTATACTAATTCATTAGCCACAAAATTGTATTGGTTTTTCAAATTAGCAAAATACTTGTCTACAATTTGAGTTATCACCTTTCTGACCTGTTTTATTTTCTATAAGGTCGATTAGTACAGGACAGAATCACATACTTACATGTTGGTAATTTGAATCATTAAATTTTCTAATTCTTTTTCAATCTCAGCTATCTTTTAACACTTATGTGGAGTAAAAACTATCTTAATTTCCTCAGTTTATTCCTTTTGTTTTTCGAATTGATCATTATTCAATTCATCTAATATTTATTTCATATCATAATATGATTGATCTTGATCCTAATTAGATAAGGCAGACATAAGTCTGTCTAGAATTTTCTAAGATTTTTGACTTGTTTCGAAAAAACTTGAATTGTTATGATAACTCATTTTTAATTATATTCAATGAATTCTAAATACACTTCTATACTTCATAAAATTCTTGAATAATCAGAATCTCTCTAATCTCTAGATTGCTCATATCACAAATCTTATGCCAATAATAGGATTTCCTAAGATTTTAATATATTATTCTAGGATTCTCATAAGGAACTAACTATTTTTCTACTTGATTTAGTTATCCTTTTTCATTCAAATAAAATTTCTATTCAATTTTTTAATTTGAACCATACTAATACATTGATTTACAAGATGAATTTATGCTCTTGATTATTTTTTTAGTTTATATTTATATTCATTTATTAATTTATTGTGTAATTGTAAATTCTACGAAATTTAAATATATAAACAGATTTTCGACAATTTGTTAATTATATAATTTATTTCAATAAGTTTTAATCTTCATTTTATAATTTTTGAAAATAGATACTATTTATATAATGCCTCTATTGTGGAATATTTATAATAATTGACAAAATATCAAATATAAAAATCATAAATAAATCTAGTATTGTATGCACACTAAAAGCTTGACAAGGTATTCTTTATGTTGCAATTCACTTTTCTACAAATCCTTCATCAATTAATCACAACGTAAATTGCCATTTAATTATTTCAACTAATCCAAACTTTATTCCCTTTGATGATAAATTAACTTTATTTAATTTTCAAGAATTTCATTTTCATTCTCTCCTTTTTCAAAATCTACTTGAATTTCATTATTGTCACACTTCTATAAGAAATCTGAAAATCTTGGATCTTCCAATAATTCTTAGTCATAATTATCAGAAATGTCAATCCATAGATCATTCTTATTACAATTGATGTATTTTAGTAATTATGGAAAGGATCTTTCATGTTCTATTTCATGTTATAAGAATTTCTTAAATTTCTCTATAAGATCATTAATTTATTTAAGTTTTGCTGAGTGATTATTCTAAAATACCTTTTCTCTCAATCGAAATAACATAGTTCCTATCTGCAATACATTAGTTCCCTACTCTTCAAATTCATCTTCTGAATTCTCATCCGAATTGATTATTGATTTAATCTATGCTCCACAAATTTTATCGATCTATTCCATCAGTTATGAAAATTCAGTATTCTAATAAATTTCTTCAAGAACTTCAATATGTTTATTGTAATTTTAAGTTAGCTTTTCTAAATAGTTCACTAAAACTTAATGTGCATTGATTTACAAAATAAATGGGAAATGTGTTAAAACCTACAGGTAAAATTGTTCATAATTTGGTAGATTAGAATTAAAATTGATTTATTCTATTTTCAATAATTCAACCTAATTACTGATTTAAGGAATTTAACTCATCTAAGTTAATAGTGTAATTGTAGGTTTGAGTATAATAATTCCACAGTATTGCTAAACATTCTAAAGCGAACTATTTCTAATTATCTTCATAAATCTAAGTAATTCAGGGATGACAATATTCTAATACAACAGTAATTAAAGTAAAACTCTAAAGATCAGTTTTGTACATTTTTCTTATCTAGGTTTAATCATCTAACAATATGTCGAAAATAATTAGTAAAACTCTGCAATTATATGCACAATAGATTGAGTATTTTTCTCCAAATAATCAAAGTCTAATTCTTGACATCTTGCATGGAGATCCTTAATTTTTTAGTAGTCCTTTGAAGTATTGAAATATTATAGAAAATCTTATTAGTTTGAGATGCTATGTTTTAAACATAACAAGTGTATTAAAATTATGGTTTGATCCGAACTTTCTTCCATCTTATTGTATGCTTCTGTTCTGTCTTATTTCTCTTAATCATATTTAAAAAGCTCTCTTTCGAGTTCACTGCAGTATTTAATTTAGATACTCTAATTGTCCACTTTTATAAAATGAATTATTTCAGGGAAAATAGAATTTGAACAATGCAAATTTAATAAAGACTTCCTTATTCTTTCCTTTGAGTCTGAATTATCTCTATTTAGGATCATGAACATTAACTTTTATCCTTTTAAAATAGGGTCATCTCCTAAGATTTCAACAGTTTTCCTATCAAAATACTTCTAGGAATATGATTTATATAAATATTGAAGATCTTCCATATCATCTAAAACAGTTTAAGTTACTTCCTAAAGTTCAGCCTTCTTAGATAGATCATATAACATTTGTCTTCTGGACTCGTATTTTGAATTTTTTCTCGAAATCATTTTATTTATTATTAAATACTTTATGTAAAATTAATAGAAGGAAAATATGCCAAAATTAAAGACCATAATCTTTTCATTTTATCAAATGTTCTCATCATAGGAAATCAAAATCAAATTCCAAAATTTTAAATCTTTATACTCTATAAACTAACAAGAGTAATTTGAATGGGTAATTTTGTAATCTTTTAAAAATTATTAAAATCTGATTCTTAAAGTGCAACTATTTTTATACATTTTTGAGAATAAAGTTAGCAATCATTTGATCTACTGATAAAATAGTACATAAAATATATTATTTAAGGAATATAAATACTCTATTTCATTTTTAAATAGTATCTACAAAAAAACTGAAATTAAAGAAAAAAATTATTCATTTGTAAATGAAATTATGATTTCAAAATGACAACTTAATAAATGTAAAAATGTTAAAGAAGGTTGATTGCAAGAAATAACAGAGAAAAAAAAATCTTTTTTAGTCATTACTGATCTATCCATAGTTTAACTATGTTCTTATGTTTGATAGAAACATAGATTACTCTTTAAAGCAAACCTTCATATAAGGAATTGGCATTTTTGAAAGTTTAATAGGTTCTAAGGAGGAATATTCGAATATTTATTTTCATTTAACACTACCCCCATATTAAATAAACTAATTATTTTTAGTCGATTAACCCCCAATACAAATTTTAACAGATAATAGAAATCTAAAATGCCTGATATGCTATTTTATGATAAATATTAAACGAATGATGTAAATTTTAATTTATAGATCACTCAAAAAATATTTATAAATTTTTATTTTTTTTGGTATCAAGATGTGGGATTGTTTCTAAAATAGTGATATCCTTGTTGTTTTTTTCTTTCTTTTTCACCCATCCACATACAAAATGACCCATAGTGTCAAATATATATAGGTGGTTATCTTGGATTTGAAATTCATTTTTGCTAATGTATTTGTCTTCCTTTGGATAATAGATGAAATACGGATCATTTTTAAAAGGAGTTTCATCCTTAATGATCCTCTCTCTCTCTTCATTTTTTGTCTTCTCAAAAAGCTAAGGGTGAAACAATCCTACATGTCTGAAGACATAAACATTTTCAAGAGCCAATGTTTTCAAATAATCACTTAATTCATAGTTGGCCACCCAATCTTAACAATATTGTCTAATCATATTTATGTCTTTCCCCCATTGTGTCTAAGCATATTTCATTCTAGCTGAAAATATAAAGCGCATCATTTCTTCCATATAAGATTTAACAAGATTCATTTCCTACAATTTGGTCAATCCTTCTTTTACTCCGTACTGTTAAATAATTCTTATATTAGCAGTTGCAGCATAGGCACAAATATGATCTGGGGTTGAATAGGTTTTAATGAAGGAGGCAAAGAAGTTTGAGAATTAGTCATACACTGTTATTTGTTTAATCACTAAATTAGTATTTGCATTGAGTCTCACTTTTTGTGATGATACTTAATCCATTTTTAATTAAATGTTTTAATTTGTATATAAATCATCTATCATTTATATGTTATATAATTTGAATGGCTCTGATAGGAGTATCTCACTATAATAGAAGAATTTATCAAACAAATACTGTATATAATGTAAATAATATCAATGTTGAGCCCTCTATTAGCCTCCTCTGCTGCGAATTTCACCTTGTTTAATAACTGGGGGCGGTTATGGTGTTTCTCTTGCTTGTTCACCTCTCTATATATTGTTATAAATTGATTACGTTTTCATAGTTATTCCTAGGTCTTGATACTCTGCCATCTCTATCATTTCCCCGAGTCTTGTAACCTCCTCTAGTTTGAAAAGTGCGTTAATTTTATGTTTATTAGAATTGATCTCTATCCTTATTCCAATTGTCTGATTTATCTGGATTAGTTTAATGATCTCTTGTTTATTGATATTTTTATTTATTGTCTTGGTAATTGGATTTACTTTCTTTATTTTTTCTGCCATCATCATCTTGTCTTTGATTGTTGTCTCTATTAATTCTATTATCTCTAATATCTCTATTGTCTCTATTATCTCTATTATCTCTATTATTTCTAATATCTCTATTATCTCTATTGTCTCTATTATCTCTATTGTCTCTATTATCTCTATTGTCTCTATTATCTCTATTATCTCTATTATTTCTATTATCTCTATTATCTCTTCTTTAGTCTATAAAGTTTCTTTTCGAAAAGTAAAGATTTCGAATGTACATCATTACATAATCAAAAAGTTCAGTATGTTTATCATCTCCCACTTCATTTTACTCTTGAAATCCTGGCATACCCTATTCTTCTTCAGTTGGAGTCATTCTAAAATAGATAATTAAACTTACGTCAAAGTAATTCGGATTGCCGGGATGTATATTTGATGTTCTTGCTATTTATCATTTTGATCTTTGATGTCTTTTGGCATGCTTTCGAATTATGTGATTGACTTAACACCTTTAATTCTCGATCTAATAATTTCAGCAACCAAAATCGCATGAGGAATGGCTGAACCAGACCCTAAAAGCTTAACAGACTTTTATGTATTTTCTTTGTCTCTAAGACCTAATACAACCTTAACTAAGTAAGAAGCAATTTGATCTTGAGTTGATTTTCCTTATACCTTGATATCAAATGGATCTTTCGACATTTAATTATTTAATGAATATTTATTCTTTATTTATATTTTAATTAATAAATACAATTTTTATAGGGGTAGACACTTTAAATATTGTAATTTTGATCAATAATACCCACCATGAACATTAGTTAGATGCTGATGACATTCTGTTGAACCATCGAACACTTTCATACAAGGTTTAGTACTATTCGGCAGGTTCTTCCAACAGATATACTTTTTGCAACTAGAACAAGCCACGGACATGCATCCTGATATTTTTTATGCTAAAGACCGGCAAACAGGACAAAAACGTATATCTTCCTTCTTCATCAATTCTTCCATTATCTTTTAATCGCCTGTTTAATACTCCCAACATGTCATTCCGTAATGCATCTGCACTTTACATTTCAAACAATATGTGACTTTGCAATTCTCGCAAAAGACTGCATCTCCTTTCACTCTTAAAATATTTGAGCATGCTGGATTGAAACAGAATATCAATACTCCTCTCATGTCATTGACATATTTGTTAATTGACAATTCTACTAATTTCTCATATTTGGCCAAACCTAAGATGTTCTAAATGTCTTCTAATAAAATAAGACTCTAACATAGAGAACATTTGATAGGTAAGGAACTGATGTCTTTGATTGAATTTGAAAAGTCATAATTCAAACATTCAGCGCAGAATTTGTGATTACAATTTGTGAGAATGTAAGGTTGTTTCATTTGATTAAGACAATAACAACATGTGTTCTCTTAATTCATAGATTGGTTTTCAATATTTTCGTCTTTAGATTCTAAAAAGGCCTGCAATTATTAAATGGCTTCCTCTAGATGCTTGGCTTGTCCTGACAATTTTAATTAGTTGTTTTTCTTAATTGGAATCACATCAGTTAACTTGAACTTTTATTACAGAAATATCAACCCTTAATAATCGTCTCCCAACAATTTCTTCAGTTTCTAAGGAGTCAATCGGACTGTGATTGTTGAATTGGATTCCAAAAACAATTTGATGATATCTTATAATTCTTAGAATTGATCATCCAAACAATAGACCTTGATTATTTTCTTGAATTGATCAAGACTTATGATGACACTCTTTTGAATTTCCAATTCTTAAAGGAATTGTTACCCAACATCGCTAAAGAGAATAGTATTCAATTCTCCAAAATTAATCACATAACCATCGATGATGTTTTGGATTGTATCTCTCACTTTGGAGAACACCAAATAATTATCGGAGACTAATTGCAACTCAATATCAGAGTCTGAATTGTCTACTTACTCAATTCTAAAGAGGTTATTAAATTTCTATTGTATTGACTTTATATTATTTCTCACAAACTTTATAAAATCCTATTTCACTTTGTATTGATGTCTATATTGAGCCTCACAATATAATTTAACCTACTATAATCCTAATTGGATAAGCAAATTATTAAAATTAGTCAAAGCAGAATTGACAAAATTTATGGATGGCACTCCCAATTTTAAGACTCTTTTGTAATCCTTCCTTTAATTTCTAATTCTGTAGAGTTATTGATGCTTATATCCAACATGATGTTTTCTATTTTCATCTATTAAAAGTGATTCTACCTTTTGGAATATATCAAATTTAGGTTCATATAAGATGGATTTAGAAATATTGATAGATTTTATTTTGGTACTCAATCTGAAGAGATCCAATTCTGTGATGAACTGAGTTAAATTAGAGATCTGTACAACGTCATTGTTAAGTTGCATGATCATCTTCTTGCCATCCAAAATAGTGTCATTATATTGATTATAGAATTCTTGGGCAGCCATTTCGTTGTTGAAAGTAATCTCAGCATTGCCTTTACAATGATATATGAACCACGAGAGTTTGATGATGTAAGGGTGGAACTTTTTATTCTATTCCCTCTTTATGTAAGTAGATGAAACCTTTATGGTGGATCCCTAAAATTCAGTCTCATCCAGATCATTAATAATCTCTAGAGTAGCATCTTTGTCTCTCAAGTCAATCTAAGCAGTTTAAGTTGTTTTATAAGGGATTAGATTCAGTGAATTGATTTGAGAATAAGGTTCAATCAAGCTTCTGATTTCAGCCTCTTTAGTCTCCAAACTAAGTTAACTAATTTCTAAGATGGAATTATTGGAGTAATAACACTTTTCAATCAGTCCTCCATTGGATATGATGAATCTAATGTTTGAATTCTGATATTCATATTCCTTAATCTATTGACTCAATTGTAGTTTGAAATTAGAAATAATACTGAGCAAGTCCTCTTCAACTTGCTTACTGTTATCAGCATAGATGACAAGATTGTTGATATTGAATGGTTCTATGATGCATTTATATTTGTGTTCTAATTTTGATATTTCAGAGTCTTCATCATTCCACAATAAATTCATTACTGCAGAACAAATGTTCTAGACTATGTGTTCCTAAACTGAAATCTTCCTGAACTTGTTTTCAGCTTGAGCCGAATAAAGCACTTAGTCTTCCTTAATTCCTAGAATATATTATGGAAGATTAATCTTAAAGATCTTCTATATCGAATATTTGTGCATTTTGCAATCTCTGGCAATCGGAAATAACTATTCTAATTAATACTCATTATCAGTTTAAAATCCATCAATGCTGCTTGATTGTTTCTTCAAATTCAGTTAATGGAGACCGTCTATGAAATCAAGATCCTCGATTTCATAGAGAAAAGAGAAGTACTTGAGTTTTGCAATTATCAATAAAGCCTTAATTAAGTTGACTTTGTTATCATTGCAGAATTTCTTAATGATGCTTGAAATCTTTTCATCTTCACCTGAATTCAACAATTCAATTATCTGCATCACTATATTATACCATGAATGATAATCTCCTTGTTTAGTCCAATATGAACTCTATTTGATGTTCAATTACTTCTGTAAACTCTGTCTGTCAAATACCTACAACAATTAACCAGATGTAAATAAAGCAGCAATCATAACTGCGAATTTATGCAATTGCCTAGCATCCTCTTATTTACTCAGATTACACAACAGTTTTTCAAAGTTGTCACTCTCCAAATCCGCCTTTGGTGATTCCTAAGCTTCTATTGGCAATTGTAGGAATTGCTATTCAGAAAAGGCATAATAAATCATAACTCCTTCGCTGTTTGATCTGGAGATTTCTCGTACTGATAAATCAACTTGGCTCAAGGTTTGATATGAATATTCAACTGTGTTGTCTTCCCTCTTCTTAATAACTTCTCTCTAATTTGTGTGGATTATCAAAGTGATGTTATAGGATTCCAATTGTTGAGGTTCCATTAACAAGAAAACCGTGTTTTAGTAATTAGGTTGATGCATAAGTCTATCGAATAGGTTGTCGAATTCATGGCTGATCTTAACTATTACCCTAAGTTAACATTGCTCAAACAAGACTCTGAGATACTCAATCTCATTAGAATCCATACAATAGATCAAGATATCTCTCTCCTCATTAATTTGTGATATCACTGTCTTATGAATCAATAAGAGCTTTTATTCTTAAGTGTTATAATCACTCAAAAATCTCCTCTATTCTATTGGCAAAACTGGAGCCTGGATTTCTACCACTTGAAACCCATCTGTCTTTAACTAATCACTCAATGCTGGATTAATAATAAGGATATCGTATTGATAATCTACATTGCTAATCTGAGAGCAATATTTGTAATTTTATTTTGTATACTATTCCGGAATCTATTTCTCAATGTCAACGTTGCTATAATCAATGACAATGGTTTTCTTCTCAAAATTATATCTATTCACATTATCGTGAAAACTCTTTTGTTGAAATGCATACTTTGTCCTCACTTGTCCTTGTCTAGTTAAATACATTAATTATATTCTTTAATAATGGATTTTTTAAAATTAGCTTAAGAAGTATTAAATTAGGTTTTAAATTCTGAGGGGATCCTATAATTACCATAACAATTTTAATATAGGCAGATAAATAATGCTAAAGGCAAAGTCTTTTTATAGTCCAAAAAGCTACCTATAATATATAAAGGAGTTTGCATTTAAGAAATATCCTTTTTTTTAAATGCATAAATACAAATAACTCCTTTACATAATGAATTATTGAAATATATAACATAGATGATGAGATTGATTGATTTAGGTCATTATTTATATCAAAAATTTGCTTAATAAAAAACCAAAATTAAATCATAATTATCTAAATGGGTCAAATTCCTAGTCTCATTGGAAACTATCCTAATTAAGGAAAAGTCTTCTTTTGGATATATACATGATTCAAGTCAGATTAATCCATATTGGTAAAATTGAAACCTAATAGAAGATTTATGACTAAAAATGAATTTCAAAACATTTACTTCTAAGAAGTGTTCAAACATTTTATCATGAAAGATTAGATGAAATAAAATAAATAGAATCAGGATTAATAAGTAAATCATTAGTAGAGGAAATAGATTTATTTATTTTGGAAAATTGAAAAACTAAAGAAATCATATCTAAACAAATAAAATAATAAAGAAAAATGATCATTTGAAGATTGCATAAATGAAGGGCATCAGATTTTTATGATTTTTAAGTGTAATCTTAAAGTAATAGAGGAAATAGGATGGGAATACTAATAAATAAAGAGTCAAAAAAAATGATAAACAATTTCAATTGAAAAGTTTTTCAGTTAACAGCTTTCAACTCATCAGATCTAGGCATTTAATTTTGATTAGATTTATCCCCTTTTTTAAATTGAAAAATGGAACTGAATAAAAATAAATTATATAAGAATATTTGTGCTTATTAAATAAATTACAAGAATTTTTAAATTTATTTAAATCTTCTTCACATATTAATATTAATAATAAATTAAAAATGAGAGAAAAGTGGCGAAAGAAGAGAATGCGAAGACTCAAGAGAAAGAGACGTAAGGCACGCAAGTGATTTAAATTATTTGCACATAATCTAGATATATATGTTTCATATCTCATTTTGACAATATTGTACAACATTCATTATCCCCTTATTGATTGACTTCATAAGGTTTATTATGTAATCCTTTACAGAGTAGTTTAAATTGAACCTAATAATCCTTTGTTAACTGATCGACTTTCTGTTATTGATTCAAAATGTCTGTTTCTTATGTCTTATATTTAATCATAAAATGACGCTTACTTTGATTTATTGACTAGCGCAATGAATTAATGTTTAATATTACAAATCCCCACAATTGCATTCTCTATTGCATACTTTTCACTCAGCAACCATAATTTAAGCATTAATGATTTATTCACGAACTCTTTAATATGATCTTTCAAAATCTTGTTTTGGCATTTTGGCATGCCTTACTAAATTTATTATGATTCTGTCGTAAAATCAATTTGATCATCACGCTTTTGAGCACGTAATGAAATTGTCAATTATATATTATTATCACATTTATTTGTTAATTAATTTTTCTTTTATCACTTTTATTAATGAGTTCATCCTATTTACATTCACGATCATTTAATCTTTGTGATTGAGTTATCAGATGCATCCAAAAATAATAATCCAATTTCTCAAAAATAATGCATATCTTCATTTTCCCTAATTTATTCATTTTACAATTCCATATGAACTCAAATGGTTTAAAGTTAAATTGTAGAATATAAATTATAGCAATATTATTTATTCTAATCATTCTGAGAATAAAAAAGAATCTTTTTTATCATAAATAGAGTGAAAATGAACCAATCGTAAAGATAAAATTAATATCATATTAAGGAGATAGAAATATAATATTTCTTCAAAATTAAAGTATAAATTTTATATTGAGCTAATCGAATAGTTTTATTCCAATGATAATTGGCTAAAGTAGTTATCTTTTTAGGAATTGAATTCTTTATCATTATAAATAAGTTTGGTGGGTGATAAATAAATATATTATAGTATGAAAAAGAAATATTAATAACTAAAGAATTGATGATATATGATATATTGATTCATTTAATTATTTATAGATATAAAATAATATTTACTTCAATAATTCTTTAATTTAATTCTTAATAGTTTTGAAGATGCAAGAAATGGGAAGTACTCTATATTTGACATTATTGATAATTATATCAATATTATCATTGATTGGATGCTCAGTGTTGTTAGTTGATTATTTTCAACAAAAACAAAATGCCAACCTTGCAGGAAAATTATTAGCAATATTGTCAATAAGTGATGCAATTTATGTCATCGCTGTTGTCATGAATCCTACTCCATGTAACCTATGAAATATAAATTAGAGACTGATGGAGTCTTCTGTGTAATTTAAGCTTTATTGAAATAGTCCTCAAGTGTTTCTACATTTATTGTTAATTTTTTCTTTTGCCTAACTACTTTTCTCACAATAGTCGAAAACATAGATATCACTGATGATAGATATGACATATACAAAAGGAATGCTAAAATATTTTCAATTCTGTGTCCTTTTTTGATAGCTCTTGTTCCTATTACATATAGTGGATATGGAAAATAGTATTATGCCTGTGGTTTCAAAACTCAAGATTCATATTGGATAGGAGAATTACTATTGTTCTATGTTCCCTTTGGATTCCTTTTTGGAGCAAGCATATATTTCCTTGTTAAAATACAGAAATTTCTTAAAGAAATTTAATAAAATAAATTAGGACATGATGATTTTATTATTAATAGAAGAACTTTAATGTCACAAAATAGTCAAATTACTGTTGGAGAACAATATACCAAATTCCTTTTTTATTATACCTTAATCCATTTTTTCTGCTGGATTCCGATCTTAATTAGTTCCATTTTTTATATCATTTTGGAAGGAGACATATTATGGATTGGAGGAATAAGTTAAATAGTTGCATGTTTGTAAGGGTTTCTAGATTGCCTTCTATTTCTGATTAGCAAACGAGTTTCCTCTCAATCCTAAGTCTACGAAAGGAATAATAGTTTTTTAACTGCAGATCCAGTAGACATATATAGAGGATCTGTTGTATACAATTCAAGTTTATGATTTTATGTTTTGCTGTAAATTAAATATTTATAAAACCAAAATTTTTAAGTATCATAATCTTCACCTAGATATTAGACTGATATTATAAATTATAAAAATCCAATATTATCAAATAATGGTTTAAAAACTCTTTGTCTCAATAGATTATTATATAAATAAAATGAATATTTATAATGTTTAATAAAATAATTATTTTCACTTGATAATTTTACAGCAAAAGAGAGGATGCATATTCTCTATCTGATATTGAATTCACTCAAAAAAAATAATAGGAAAATAAAGTAAAAGTCTTAAGACTTGAATTGAAGAAACATTTTATGATAGCTAATAAAATATTATGATTACCTATATACTTACATTAAAGTAAAAGATTCCGAACTTAATTACAGCATATAGTTTTTGATGTAATGAGTAATATTTGCTATGAATAGAAAATGAAAATGAATGAAGATTAATTGAAAATTATTTAAAACACATAAAAAATGATATTAAAATGGTTTAAACTGAGAGAGATTTCAAGGAATTTATATAGAAATTTAATTTCTAAATTAAATATTTAAAGTGTTGAAAGATATTCATGGCAGACTTCTTTACTTTACAAGTAGTTTGTGATTTTCAATCCGATTAGCAACTGACTCCTATTCATTAATGTAATCGTCTTCTAAATCATAAACTGTTGAATCTAATTTAAAATGATGATTGTCCAGAATTTCGTTTATGGTTCTGTCCCTTACATTAAGTGCTTTAATATAAACTATTTTTACTTAAGGCACATAGATTATCAGAAGAATCGTTAATGCTTCTTAAGCTTTTATTAACCCATAATGGAGTCAGGCTAAACAAAAACTCTTTTTAACCTTTAAGATTTTATGGAATTCTGTTCATCGATATTGTATGAAGGGATATGTGTTTGTTATCAACTTTAAACCAAGGATGCTAAATGGCTTATTCAGCAGAGGGTCTTTAAATTGGTTCAAAGTTCAACATTTATTTACATAAATCTTTTGCTTCCAAACTGACATGACAATTAGCTAGTTTGTAAGCATCTATTTTTCCATAAGTATTATTTTATAACACTTCTAATGTACTGGATCCCTTAAATGCTTACTCACCAGTTAATAGTAAGAACATTACAATTCCTAAAGAGTATATGTCAACCTTAAAATCATAATGTAGATCTTGCAATATTTCAGGAGCTACATAACCTAATGAGCCACATCTTTTAAATAAATATTATCCATCTTTTTAATAGAAGTCTGCTAATCCAAAATCTGCGAGTGCAATATTCGAAATGTCATTTTCATCTTTTAAGATTAAATTTTCTGGTTTAATATCCCTATGAATAATCTTTCTTTCATGTATATATACTAAAGCATCTAATAAATTGTAAACTAGTTTTCTTACTAGAGATTCATCGTATACTTTAACTTGTTTCTCAATATGGGATATTAATTCACCACCATTCAATAGATCAGTTACAATATATATTTTATTATTATCTTCATATACTTCACGTAATTTAATGATGTGTTTATGATTCATTAGTCTCATGACTTGGATTTCTTTCCACAAACTTTTCTAAATAATGATGAAAATAATTTACTTAATTTTCTTCTTCGTTATCAAACATTTTGTTTTTATTAAATATTTTTACTGCATAAATTTGTTAGTTTTCGATTTATCTGATTTTAAAGTTAATGGGCAAAGGATCCTTTGCCCATTAACTTAAGAATCTAGTAATGATTCTCAAAATTTTCTTAGATCGTGTATAATTTACAATAGTCATATATCTCGCCAATCAATTGAACTGAACCAATAATTTCGAGAGAATCGAAATTATTATTAAGTTTTAGATATGCCAAACTTTATTATGGCACAATCATCCTTTTCATTTAAATATTTTCCAAGTTAATATACTTTTGATCGACTACCAAATATTTGTTTTGGAGATAAGCAAATTTAAATTACAGGATTTATTTTTGAGTATCCTTGAATTTCACACCATTTATAGTCACCAATTAAGAGCCATATTGGATGTTAGGATACCCTCTTTTCCATAGAGTATCCTATCTATTTGAGTGGGAGCTGAAACATGAGTCAGACTTTTGTCTCATTTTTATTAATTATTAATAATTAACAATAATGATTTTATTATACTTAAAAACCACAAGTAATTTAGATTTAATTTGGATTTTTATTTCAAATTAGTCATTTAAAGTGTTATATTAACGATAATATATTTCCATTCATCTTTTATATATATAATATAAAATTCATCAAAATATTTATGTTGAGTTTATTTCATGTATTAAAATATTTTATCTTTATTTAATTATTCTAAAGCTAAAACGACTCTTTTGATCTCCTAAATTTATTTTTGTCTTCCTTTGAAACTTAACTATTAAATCGTCTTTAATCTAAAAGTCGTACTTTGTCTAATTAAACATTTTTTCCAATTAAATTCCATACTATCTGGTCTCTAAATTGCCAAATCATAATAAGATTCTACTTTTTGAAATTATATACATTAAAATAGAGAAATGTTATGGAATTTATTGATATGATATTCCTGATTTACTTATTTAAATTTCTACTTTGAAATTGTTTTCATACAATTTCAATAATTTATAAATTCTATATTAATAATATATAATTCAGTTTCAATGAATAAGTATGAGGTTAAAGGAGTAGTAGGAGAGGGAGCTTATGGAATAGTGTTAAAATGTGAAAATAAAGAGAATAACCAGATTGGTAGAAAGGTTTTTATATTATTAGTGGCAATAAAGAAGTTCAAAGAGACGGAGGAGAATGAGATAGTTAAAAAAAGTATATAGAGAGAGGTAAAGATGTTAAGACTATTGAAACATCCAAATATTATTGATTTATTCGAAGCTTTCAAGAGGTATTTGTATCAATTAAGCAAAAGAAAAGGGAGAATCTATTTAGTATTTGAGTATGTAGAGAAGAATTTACTTGAGGTTTTGCAAGCGTCGCCCAATGGTTTAGATGTATGATATTTAATATTTTAAGTAAGGGTATCTGAAGAAAATAGCTTTTTAATTGTTGAAGGCCATAGAATTTATTCATTATCATGATATTGTTCACAGAGATATCAAACCTGAAAATATTCTAATCGATAATGAAAATAACTTAAAACTTATTGATTTTGGATTTGCGAGAGTAAGGTTTTAAGTTAATTTATTGTAGAGCCTCAATTTACCAGATACTTTAACAGATTACGTTGCTACAAGGTGGTATAGATCTCCTGAACTTCTATTGAACTATCAGACCTATGGAAAAGGAGTAGATTTATGGGCTATTGGTTGTTTACTTTGTGAACTAACAGATGGAGAACCCATGTTCCCAGGAGAAAATGAAACTGATCAATTATATTTGATCTAAAAGACTCTTGGGAATTTAACACATGAGCAAATGGAAGTATTTCAAAAGAATCCAAGATTTCTTGGAATGAAATTCCCTGAAATTGGTAAACCTGAGACCATAGAGAGAAGGTATTTATAAACTAATATTATAGATATCTAGGCAAATTACCTTAGAAGGCTATTGGATTGGTCAAAGGATTACTGAGAATGGATCCTAAAGAGCGTTTCACTTGTTTGGATGCTTTAAAACATCCTTATTTTGCTGATTATCCAGAGGCACAAGAATATATTAAATAAATTGAGAGCAGATAGAATCATGTCTAAAATGACGGTAATATCAAAAGAGATTCTGTTTTGAGTTAATAGAAATAGCAAACTCAAATTGGACATACCAATCAAATAAGAACCAAAGTAATTGATCTCATAATCATAATTGTAGAATATTAAACCAGTTCCTAATTTTCTGAGTGGCCATGTGTTGATGTAGAGCACTGCCTATAATTATAAAATATCTGATTAACATACAGCAGAGAGGGAATTACCTAATATGAAAAAGACCACTTCAGTTGATAAATTGCCATAGACATAATATAATGGATTTAGTATTGGAAATGGCTTCTCATTTGCACCTTCCAAAAATTAATAATTAAAAGCAACTCAACCATTAAAACAATCTTAACCCTAAATAAAAATACAAAACTTAAACATTATTTATAATACCAATACTTATAATTACTAATCATAACAGTAATAATAACAATAACAATTTCCTCAATAACAACAGCGAAAAATAATAAAGAAAAAAAATTGATTAATTTACAATTTTATTGAAACTAACTAATTAGAACTTAAAATTGATTATAAGTTATAAAAAAATCATTCCAAACCAAATTATCCTTCCAATGCTTCATGAATGGTTGCCTTCAGAAACACCTCCATTGTTTCTAATTCTTAGTATCTAATAGATTTTGATAGCCTAATATTTACTTTGGTAATTCTAATCTGTTAAAACATGTGTGAGCCTTAGGATATGGATTATCTTTATCGAATTCACTGGCTTAAATACAGAAATATGAAATTTCTCCTCTGTTACTTTCAAGTTTGCTATTGCTATTCATTATTATGCATACCTAAATCCTTCTACTGGAACTCTAGTTGAACCTGTACAAAATCTCAAAAATTAAGATAGTTCAGCTTAATTCCAAGCGCTCAGGATTTACCAAAACCATTAAATAAAGTAGTCCTCTGCAGAACATTCTTTGTATATTGTGTATTTGGACCAATCCTAAAGATCAATGAAAGGGAGTCCAAATAAGATCATTTCCAATTCTTAAGGATTGAAAATCCTTAATAAAGTTTTTGGAATAACTTAATAGAATCCTGTCAAGAAATCTGATAAATAAGGTTCCAAAAATTATTGAGTGTAAAAGAATATACTAGAATGTTGAGAAAGAAAGATACTTTAAATTAACATATTCTTGAACATTTGAATTTGTAACTTTGATTTCACATCCATTTTCTTTTAAATTGATTGTCTTACCAATATATTCTAATTAAAAGTATAGATCTAGTTAATCAATATTGTTATTCAATAAATATTACCAAGAATAGAATAGCTAAAGAAATTATGATATATTTACATCTTCGTCAAAATATTTGATATCCTCCAAGGTTACTTTTTATCTCAAGATGTGTTTAATTATGGTGCGATCTAAAAAGGAACTAAGTGGAATTCTTTCAAAAAGACACTTGCCAACTATGATTCCTAAAAAAGAGAAGAGTTATCGTTTGTCAATAGTATTTGATTAAATATTTGGATTAAATTTATATGTAAGTTCCTTTGTTTCTGTTTTTTATAAATATTCCATTTCAACTAATTATTAAAGAATAGAAGTAGACCATTCTCTAAGCAAACCTCCTGCATCCTAGACTTTTTAATCTTCCTGAAATTTAATTTTTAATTCCCCATGTAAAAGACGAGATTTCAATTTCATTATACTCTCTATGGAGGTTTCAAGTAAATGATTTTAAGAAACTGACAGAATCGTGCATCCATTCTAATGTATTTGTTGTCAAATTTACTTGCCAAGGAATTCTAAGTTTTTCTAATTTAGCTCTGAACCAAACTTGTTTTTAACCAAAAGGTTCTGAAGAAATATTCTTTTTTATTTAACATAGTTACCTATTCATTGATTTAGAGACTGGGGTTGTATTCTTTTAGTACCCATTAAAATCCTTATTCATTTTAAACCTTTTCCCAATATTTAATTCCTCTATAATCCTCTGTTTTGTTTATATTTTATTATGAAGACATAAGGCAATTATCTAAATGATCATTAAACTTCAAATTAAAATTTTATATTTTTACAGCATGATTCGTTGTGTAAGATGGAAATAATTATTAACACTTTGGGCACTCAACTTCTCTTCCAAGAGTTGTCTGACTTGGAGATTTAATAGAACAGCAACACCCCATAAGATTAAATTATAAACTATAATAATAATATCATTAATTTTCAGCTTATTGTTATAATTCTTATCTTAAAGCCTCAATATTTAAAAAGTTTATCCCTCTTTTTTTATTTATTAGAGTTCTTGCCTTGTTCTGCAAATATATTATTGCTGTCATTTGTCCACTATTATAGGGAGTCCTAGAAAATTGGCGATAATAATCATGATGAAATTCATTTTCTAAGTGATTTTTCTTCTCCAAACTATTTTATAATAAAACTCATTACTCCTTAACTCCATATTTTAATTCAACACTGATCTTCGTAAGAGACACAATGACATCATGAAACAAATACCCCATCAATCCATCCTTCTCCTCGTACAAGGGAATATTGAGTGCCTTTAAAAAGTTCTTCTTATTTGCTGGGTTCAACAAATCCTTCCCACTGACTCCAAAACATATCGCAATTTGTGAAGAAAGTCTCCAAAATTATTTGTAATTTAAAAAACCAGTTCCATATGGATCATACTCTACCCAATAAGACAGTACATCATTCAATTAATATTTTGATATGGCATTCTGTTCCTACTTAGCATGCTCTTCATAAGCTCCCAAAATAGAGGCAATAAATAAATTTAGTAAAACCAAAGAAAATATCAAATGAAATGTTATGAAATAAATGTAAGCGATAGTTGTACCACATCCATTATAACCATAGACCAAGAAGTCTTAGTAATTATCAATCTCAATGCAGGCAAAATCAGGACTTCTAGTATGCAACGCATCTACCAACAATTCCCACCATAATTCTGAACTTGCAACTCTTACCAATGAAAACATTGCAGTTGTAAATTTTCGAAAATGTACATCAAAATCATCAATGTATTTCTATGGCCTTAAATAACAAAAGATGTCAATTCCAAGACTCGTATAGATGAACAGAAATACAAACATAATATATAACATAGATAATGCATTAGGTATAACTGAGAATATCGAGTGAAATAATCTTTCTATTTGGTTGAAACGCCTTAATATCAATTATATGATTTTACTTTATAATTCTGAAATTTCTCAGCATTTAAATAGCCACCGAAAGTGCCTTAAAACAACGCGAAAAGTAAAACTCTCCAATTTCCTTTATATCTATTATTTTTTCAACCAAACATATCCAAATTCCAATAATTTCTATTATATTTATCAACTCCTTGATATAGATCTTAAAATCTTTGGCGATAAATCTAGAAACAATTTCAAAAATAAAAATCAGAATGCAAACAAAATTAATGATTTCTAAACTATTCTTATATTGAGCATCTTGATTCTCATAGCAGAGACTTAAAGATAAAGTGTTAATGAATATAACGACCAAGTAAATTTTCTTTAAATTTACATTCTTAACTAAAAAGAAAGCAATTTTTCTGAAAAATGCCTTTGGTCTTCTCGACTTCACTTTTGGTTATAATTTATGAATTGACTTTTTAATATCAAACCATTCCCTTTGATTGCCTTCCAACTCAAATGTACCTTCGGCCTTCAATTTAGATTCATCATATGTGCTTACCACCAAACCTATAAACATATTAAGCATGCATGTATTTCCAATAAAAAAGAATACCTAAAAGTAAATCGCCCAATACCTATTATAATTTTCTTCTGGAGTGTGATTCTCTCCTCTTATTGACCAAATTTATTCCATAATTGGCGACCAACCTTCAGAAGTAACCACTACGAAGAGAGTCAATGCACTATCCAAAATATTATCAAATCCTAATCTATGTTTCTGCCAGGAGCCACCATAATCCATACAATCAATGTTTGAATGCACTTGATTTTCCTCTTGATCTACCTCTGTACAATAATAGTTATATCCTTTTAAAAGTTTCATTGCAAATGTTCCATACACTAAAAAAAGTATAAAGCAAAATATGCTTAATTACACCATCTTCACCAACGCATTAACTAAAGCTATTTAAGCATATTTGATGCTATGGGCTATTTCTGCTCCTAATTTTATAAATTCAAACACTCTAAGACTTGAAATAAAGTTTATAACATGATTTCTAGTGGATGTAGTTACAACAACAATTTCAATAATAGTTATTACAAAATTTAAAACATTATAAAATGACTGGGTTAAAAAAGCATTTGAATTCCCATACAATCCATGCGCCACAATATGGAGAAATATAAAAAGGCAATATAAACTTGTTATTATTATGTATAATATATCTAAACTTGCGTATAACTCGGCATTGGGATCTAACAAAGGAGTTACTAACATAGTTCTAATAGCAGATAATCCAACAGCAATAAATCCCAATATTTTAAATATCCTCGAATTTATTATCATCTAAACATGCAAACGGAATTAATTATCCACATTAAATACATACATTGTCTTCATCATTTACACCTTTGTTTGAATTTATTGTTAACTGGACACAATATTTTAATCAATTTGAATGCTTAAATCTCTTGATCTTTATTAAATTGCTTATGGTTAGTGCAATAATTCATCATTCTCAATTTCGTTGAATTATGGTTTGTTGGTGTTTAACTACTAATCTTTTAAGAAATCCAGATTATCCAATTCCAATTATGATTTTTGTGGTACAATTATCTTTGTAATCTTCTTATTTAATTTCAGATTTCTAAGAATACCCTATCTTACATTTTAAATTAAGGATCTATTGCCAGGAAAATTAGATATACCCCTACTTAATTAATGGGTGGATCTTAGTTAGCTTGAAGACTTAAAATTAATTAACTATTTGATACCGTAAATTATTTAAACGTTGCCATGAGATCGATGGCAGCCTACTTATACTCGATTGGCTTAACGTTCTATTCTTAGATTTTGACTTGCTTTGTAAATTCATTCAAGAACACTGCTGATAATAATTTAATGAAAATGACTTATCCTAGTAATATAGATATTATATGGTAAATGAATGAAATTGGAGTAACTCTCCCATATCTATACATAGTTAGATGCCATTCCTCATTGTAGAAGATGCTGAATGCTGCCATTAAAGAATTACTAAAATCGTTATAATGAATTGGAGTTTCATGTTCAGATAATTGGTCTTACAACCAAGCATTTCCCACCAATGCTAAAAATATAGCAAGGATGATCCATAAAGAAATTATTGATTTGAGTTTGGCTATTGTTTGAATGGCTGCTCTAGTCAAAATGCTAATGTGGTAAAAGACTTTGGCTGAATATGAAAACTTGATTACTCTGATCAACTTTATAGCTTTAAAGACTTAAATGGTTCTATTTTCATTTATGATCACATTCTCATCCAAAAAATACAAAATACAAAATAATATTATTTATGACATAATGGCTATAAAGTCTAGGTAGTTTACAGATTTTTTAAAAAAGTTCTATATTCCTTTTGCAAAAAAGAAAATCGACAATTCAAAATAAAAATAAAGAGTGCAAGCAAACTCTATGATTTATAATTTTACAAGAATGCTTTTATCAATACCATCATAATCAATCACTATTGATAATGTGCATAAGATAATTACCAAGTTATTGAGAAATGCAAAGTATATTGATTCAGAAAGTTCATTAGAGATATTAGTAAATGAGATTCCTTTTTTGAAACCAATTTATTATTGATCTTAAAAAAATAATGTAAAGTTTGCATTTTACATTTATTCTTATTTCATACTTTTTCTTTTTTTGCTCATAAGTGCTAGTCGGTCAGTCATTTACTATTGTTTTTTCTGATTGATTTCTGTTTCAATTTACTATTGTTATTTCTTAACTTTTTAATGGGAATTCTTTATAGAAGATTTTACTATAAAAGATTCGTAAAAAGTAGCAAGCAATAAATTTGAAAAGATAAAGGCCAAGAAAACTAACACTAAAAGAAAGTAACCAGCTGTAAAATATGTAGTCATGGCTTTCCAAAACTAAACTTACTAGCAATAATAATTACCATATAATTGGTTTCTGACCATCCAATTAAACAAAAATAAGTAAAAATTACCAACAAAGAATTAGGTAAATTGTCAAATCTTAAAAAATTCCACATAAACTCTTCAGAATCATTTTCCTTTTAATCCCATTCTAAACCATATTAATATGGGCTGCCACAAGTTAAATGTCCAGGACATTCGTAGATACCACATAAATATGGTACTTCCTCAGAAGCTTCCCATTTGCCATCTTCAGGTGCAGGAGTTAATCTACATCTCATTGTTGTTAGTCCCATAAAAAAATGCAATCCTATTACACTAAAATAAAGCAAAAAAAAAATAAATGGTACTATTACTATTCCCAACTTAGAAAAACTGCTTATATATGCTTCCAATTAATTCTTTAGAGGGGAGATTTCTTCAGGAAGTCTAATAACTCTTAATAATCTAATCGATTTCAGAATCTTTAGGCCAATAAGATCGAAGTCAATAAGTACTAGCCAACCAGAAATAAAGGATATAAAATGGATGCAATTCCACTTATCCTTAAGATAAGTGTTTTCCTCAAATAGCAACCCTTAAGAAATGACTCTCAGTATTATTTCAATGCCAAAGAATATATTACAAACCACTTCAATTCCAATAGAAATCTTACTTTAAGGAAGAGAATAGGCAACTATGTTTAGTATTGTAATTAGTATTATAAAATTACTTAAGGCTCTAATTATAGAACTTATTTTACTTGTTGTTTAAAAATGAGGTAACGCTTCTTCTAAATGGATCATCAATTTTGAATAAAAACAATGTCTTTTTTGCACTAAATTGGCCAGGTTATTTATTTTCATCTATGTCAGGTTAAATTTAGTCTAAATTCACACAATCAACTAACTCAGGCTTTTAAAGTAGATTATTCCAATCAAATTATTCACTCTCACCTACAAGTATCTATTCCAATCTCATAGACTGAATCTAAGTTATCGAGTCAGAAATTTGGTCTTTTGTGAATGGTTTAAATTCAATTCCCAATTTTTTATAAGTGGACGACATTGTAATAATCTTTCTTATTTCTTCAATATTAATTATTATAATTATAACTCAAGAATTATCAAATTTGTCACCTTCATTCTAGTCTTAAAGTTCCTATTTTAATGCTCCTAAATCGAGAAATTTGATTCCTTTTCTTTTATTTATGAGCATTCTCGCTTTCCCTTATAAAAATATTATTGTTGACATCTAACCACTATTGTAAGGACTTGTTTTGAATTTTTTGTAATAATGATGAACATACTCCTTACCCTTAAAGTTCTCAGATTCCAAACTATGATAATTTAATTATAATATACTCTCGAACACCATATTTCAATTCTACTGACAATCTTGTTAAACTCACAATGACATCATGAAAGAGATAACCAATCAACCCTTCTCCATCTTCATATAAAGGGATATTTAAAGCTTTAAGGAAATTCTTCTTATTGGCAGGGTCCAAAAGTTCTTTTACAGGCACCCCAAAACAAATAGCAATTTCTGATGATAACTTCCAGAATTGCTTATAGTTCAAAAATCCAGTGCCATCAGGATCGTATTATGCCCAATAATTCAGTACATCATGCAATTGATATTTGGATATCGCACTCTACTCTTATTTGGCATGTTCTTCATAAGCTCCTAAAATAGAAGCAATGAATAAATTTAAAATCACAAGTGAAAATATCAAATGAAAAGATACATAGAACACGTATGCCCAATATGTACCACAACCATTATAGCCATATTCTTGAAACTCCTCATATCCATTAATATAAATGCAAGCAAAATCAGGAGTTCTTACATGAACAGAATCAATGAGCAAAGCCCACCATTCTTCGGAACTAGCAACTCTTATCAACGAAAACATAGCAGTAGTAAACTTCTTAAAATGTAAATCAAATCCCTCCATCTTCTATTGAGGTCTAAGATAACCAAATAGATCCATTCCTAAACAAGCAAATATGAATAAAAATATAAACATTATGAATAACATAGACAGTGCTGATGGAACAACAGAAAATATAGTATAAAACAGTTTCTCCAATTCTGGAAATCGTCTATATATTTTAAAACAATAAATACATACTTTATGATGTAGTAGTTTCGCAATAATTGAAATCCTACAGAGAGTGCTTCAAATCCTCTCTGAAGATAGAATTCATCATTCAGTTGTGATATCTTGAATTAATTTACAAGATTGATGATAATTCCTATCACATCTACTATTATGAAAGGATCTCTATCTAAAATGTTAGGAAATTTAGCAATCACCCTTGATAACACCTCTACAGTGAAGGCTAATGTGCAAATAAGATTTATATAATCTAAAGCATCAGAAAATTGCTTATCTTGTCTGTTGTAATATAACGCAAGAGTAAAAGTATTTAATAAAATGAGAGCATGCCAAAAATATTTAGTGATTCTACTTTCTGCTATACTAAAAATGAATAAGCCAAGTTTAGTCTTTGGTTTAGCATACAATCTTCTTGGTTTTAAATGATTAATACTCTCCTTAATTTACAACCATTCTCTTTAATTACTATTCAATTCTGACATTCCTTGAGCCTTTATCTTTGTCTACTAGTATGTTTCAACCACCAAACTTATAAACATATTGAGCATGCAGATGTTTCCAATAAAGAAAAATACTTAATAATATACAGCCCACCATCTGTTATGATTGTTAACTGGAGTTAAATTCACCCCTCTGGCACTCCAAGTATGCACTAATAATTCTAACCATGCTTCAGTTGTTGCAGTTATAAATAATGTCAATGCACTATCAAATATATTATCATATCCTAAAATTCTATTTACCCATGATCCTCCATAATCCATACAATCCCATTTATCATTTATCTCATTTGTTTCTTCCTCTGACAAACTCGAACAATAATACATTTATCCTTTAAGCAGCTTAGTTGCAAATGTACCATATATAAGTAATATTATAAAACAAAAAATACTTAGTTACAACATTGTTTGAAATGCCTTGACCAATGCTTAAGAAATATAATTTATGCTCTAACTCAAAAATGCTCCTATTCTTATAAACTCAATAATTCTCAAACTAGAAAAAAAGTTAAAGACTGTGTGTGAGGGCAGAAATAGACTGATAATTTCTACTAATGTCACTAATACATTTAATGCGTTATAAGGGGATCTTTATATGTATGATTTTTCTCCTAGTATAAAGCCTCTCGCTATAACATTTAGAATAATCTGAATTATAAATAGTATGGTTGCAACAATTTTGACTATTTATAATATTTGGCTTGTACTCGAATTTGGATCAAGAAATGGGGTTTACAATCCAATCCTTATTGTGCTGGCTAGAACTACAAGCAAACAGAATAATTAGAAAATGAATGAATCAACTATTTGACGAATTTTCTCTGCTTTATCATTATTTATGGGCGAATTAAGATTAGTAGGGTTTTCCTTTTCATTTTAATTATTGTTATTACTTAAATTTGATTTTATTTCCTGTTAATCTTGCTTCTGTTAATCAACTTATAGCCAGTTTTATAGTTCTTCAAGTTCCTATTGAGGAATATTGTTGTTGATCATTGAATTTGTCCTATTCTCTTTTCTAGTTCCTTTTTTCTCTTTTTTATTATTTTATTCTTCTAATTAATTCATTTGATCTGACTTTTAGGTTTAATAATTGGTTATTCTTTTCTAATTTTATTTATTATTGGATTTAAAGCATTAAATAATTTCGAATATAAATTACTTAAAATCAATTGGTTTTAATTCATTCTCTACTTTTTATAATTGCTAAACAAATTCATTCAAAAATATTGCCATTAATAATCTTATGAAAAATATCTATCCCAAAATAACACTCAAAATTGAATAGAAAAATGAAACATAAGTATGTAGAGCATATTTATACATAGTCACATGCCATTCCTCGTTATAAAATATATTAACTGCAGCCATTAAGGCTGATCCAAAGTCATCATAATAAATGGTCATTTCTTCCTCTCTTAATTTATTCTAGAGTAAACTTTTTCCTACTATTGCAATTAAAATTACAAGACAAGCCCAAAGAGCCAAAATATTTTTGAGTCTAGTCAATGTGAAAACCAATGATCTCATCAATAATGTTATTGTATAAAAGAGTTTAGCATTGTATACAAATCTAAAGACTCTCAATATTTTTAAGGATTTAAAGAAAGTTACATATACAGTATGATTTATTATCAAGGGTTCATCTATTACAACCAACACAAAAACTAAAATCCATTAAGTGGAGATAATTAAGAAATCAAATTTATTTATGTCTTTAGAAAAGTAACCTTTCAGTCCTCTCCCTGTAATTAAAATAGCCATCTCAATAAATGAGTAGATAATACAGAAAAAATCAACGATCTGCAATTATTCTAAAGCAGTTTTAGAAATATCCTTATAATCTATTATGATAGCCAAGCCTGATAAAATTATACATAAATTGTTTAAAAAGTTAAAATTTTTTGAATTTGAAAGAGAATCAAAAAATCTATTTTATTATGGTTGTTATAAGGTTGTCTAGTCAAACTGAAATTATTATTCAAAATTTAATTGGCCATTAAAGGATTAATTGTGACTCACTAAATGGCCCTTTTACTTGCTCATAAGAGCCAATCTATTCATTAATTATTCTTAATTTTTCTTTTTCAAATCCTCCTCAATTTCTTACTCCTATTTCTTAGCCTTACTAGATGAGTTTTTTATTGAGGACTTTTCCATAAATGATTCATAAAACAAAGCCAATAATAAATTTGATAATATAAATGCTAATAGAACAATTAAAACTAAAAAATAGGTTGCAGTCACATATGTAGTCATCGCTTTCCAAAACTAATATTAAAATTAATTATAAATTTACCATAAATGTAGTTCCAGACCATCCTGTAACATTTAGAAATGTAAAAACCACTAATAATGAATGAAAAAAGTCATCAAACCTGATAAAGTCCCAACTAAATTCAGCTACATTATTTTCAGTAACATTTTTAGGAAGCCCATAATCTTCTGGGCTTCCACAATAAAGATTTTCAGGACAATCCCATATTCCACAAAGTTTTAATACTCCATCATCAGCTAGCCAAACTCCATCGACTGGTTCTGGTGTTATTCGGCATCGTCTTTCTGTCAATCCTATAAATAAATGCAATCCAATTATTGCAAAGTAAATCATCACCAAAAATATCGGAATGAGAACTTATTTTAATTTCAAGAAACTACTCACATAAGCTGTAAACTAAATCCTTAGAAGAGGTATTTCTTAAATCAATCTAAATAATCTCAAAAGTCTTATCGTTTTTATAACATCATTGACTTTATTATCCTCCAAAAATATAAACCAAGTAAAAATGAAGGCCAAAACATTCGCTATATTCCAACAATCTCTTAGATAACTTTTTTTATCCAAAATTACTCCATATGCTATTATGAATAAAAGAATATCAAATCCAAATATAATATTACAAACTACTTCAATACTTATTGCTAGTCTTTTCTCATTTATGCAATAGGGTACCAGACATATGGCAGCTATTAGAGTTATAAAATAAGTGTAATTTCTAAATTTATTCGAAATAATCTTACTAATTTCGAATAAGTTTTATTATTCCCCTCCTTATTGGATTCTTATTGCTAAATATAAATAAGGTCGAATTTTAGGCTTTTTTCTAATCTTTTTATGATTTCTCTAGGCTTTTAATTGTAATTAAATCATGTCTGTTTACCAAATTTTGCCAACCAAAATTTTCACACTCTCCAATCAAAACCTATTCTAGCCTCATCTATTTTATAGATTGTTTTGCTTCTTCAACCTAAATTTAAGAGATCTCCTTGTATTCAATTCCTAATTTATTCAAAGTTTATGACATGAAAATAATTATGAAATTTAGTTATTTTTAGATACCTTTAAGTAAATTATAAATATTTATGTTGTTATGCATTTTATATGCAACTTCAAAAATAATAAACTTTTGAAATCGCAATTGTGCATTTTTCTTGAAATAAATTTATATATTTCATTAATTCAATACATTCTATCAATATATATGAATTAATTTTTTATTAAGCACAAGTATTTCAAGTTGCTTGATATTGTATGATATATATAAAATTTAATATACAAAATTAGTTAAAGTTTGATTTCTTTAGCCCTTATTGAATAAAAGTTTAACCAGTTTTAAGTTAATATATTATTCTCATGCATTTATTAATAGGTAAAGCATACTAACACAAAATTACAAAAATATCATATTAACTTATTCAAAGATATCCAAACTATAAAAAAAGAATTTAAAATCTATCTCGTTATGGAGTGGAAGCAAATTTTCCAAACCTATATAACATAAATGAGAATATTTGGTTAGTGCATTTTGAAGTTGTTTTTGAAGTTAAACTTCTTATTTTATCTGACATTGTTTAATAGTTTCATATATCTATTTGATAAAATATCAATTCTATATCATGATAATTGTCTTTATTACTATAGAGAAGAATTATTATCAAAAATATCCCATGTAATCTATATGTGAAATAGAGTTAAAAAGCAAAAAAATAAATAAAAAAATAAAAAAATCGATGCCTGTGAGACTCGAACTCACGCGGGAAATCCCAACGGCTTAGCAGGCCGCCGCCTTAACCACTCGGCCAAAGCATCTAATCTATTGAATTTATGAGACATAATTATTTATAGTATGAATTATAATCAATCTTTAATTTCTTATAATTGATTAGTTTATTCTGATTATTAATTTTGATTTAATTCTATACGACTTTCATTAACACTTTCTAATTAATTTTTTATTCTACTTAGATAATTGGAATCAGTATTTTTGATTTATAAATTTCCAATATCTATCCAAGGGAATTCCTATATTATCTTTTTTCTATTATATTGAGTTCTACAAAATGGACAATTCTTTTATCTCAGTAACCATTCTTATAAACATATATAATGAAATATATGAAAACAAGGAGTAACACTACAAATCTTTTATAATTTATGATTAGCATTTTTCATTTATTCTAAACAAACAGCACATTCTTCAAATTATGATAATCCAGGATATATTTATATAAATTTATCATAATAATGAGCTTTAAAATGATCTTTAACAAATCTAATTTAAAAACCTTATCATATTAATTATATTAATATACCTTTATAAATAGCTGGATCAAATACTCGATTAGATTATAATTATTAATCTGAAATTCCTTATTAATTTAGATTTCTCCGAATAGTTTCTTATACTTGTTTACGAATTTGTTAATGTTTTCTAGTTCTTAATGCAGAAATTCCAAATGCAAATAATAAAAGAGTTGCAACAACACAAGCAGTTAGTATAATAATTATTTTATTGCGTTCATATACTGATTCATCATCTTCATAATAAGTAACTATTTTAAATTAAAACTCAATTTATTCAGATTAATTATTATAAATTCCTATATAGATTACGTCAGCATCAATAATTATTATTTGTTCTTATACATTTACTATAGATAATAATTTATAACTATTTTGTAAATTTGGTATTGTTTTTTAAGGTGTTTAACCAGAAACTAAGCTATAAACTACATTATTATTAAATACTTTACATACATCCTGTTATTCATTCTGTGTTTATAATTCTATATTAGTAGTAGATAATTCATAATATAAATATATCCATTTATTAGATTCTATTGTTAATTTATAATAAACATTGCTAAATATTTTAGATGATTAAAATTGACAAAATAATCCATAATATGAATCTAAACAATTACATTAATTTGATAAGCAAACAGAATTCTGAATTTCAGGGTAATTATATCCATTACAATCATTAATACAAGATTGTATAAATGGTCTTTCTGCAATATATAATTCATATGAACTTTTTGTATTATTTTATTCTGATTGTAAACATCTTATATATAATAGTTATTAAAAGTCTATTTCTACTAATTAATAAACACTATTAGCTTAATAACCCTAATAATCATGAGCATAAGATTCACTTTTAGAATCAGTTATATCTGTAAATGCTACTTATCCTAAACTTGATTATGATACTAAACACACTGCTTTTGATTAAGACACATAAAATTTTATTATTATACTATTTGCTTTTGATGAGTAATCCAATTTTATCTAGTATTCTATATTAGTATCTAGTTATCCCCAATAATCAGGCTTACCTTTTATTAAAAACATGAGGAAAGTCATAAATATAATCATTAAATTATTAAAATTTATAGTTTTTTCTCTACTCCAGAGATAAATAAAATAATAAAATTAAATTAATTTAATGATTTATATATAATATTATAAAATGTGTCTTTAAGAATAGAATTTAGTTCATATATTTCAATATCTAACAATTTTCCTATTTATGGATTTTCCCCATCTGCCTATTAATCTCTCAGCTTGGTTGAATAGTTTTTCATTTTAATTGAAATCTACATTGAGTGTTTTTATCTAGAATCCTAAATTTATTATCTTAGGAAACTAAATACTAGAAATTTATATCAGATATTTCTTTATGTTTATTTTGTTCAGGCTTGCAACTATACATAAAACATTTGTTAAGCTTTTTTATCCAAATTATCTTAAATCTCAGAGTTTTCTGGGCACTAAACTAAATTAAATAAATAATAATAATAAAGATAATTAATAATTTATATATTTTTCTGTAAAAGTTTATGAGTTTATAAAACAAGAAAAGACTTAGGTAAATATACTAATCTAGAGTAAGTAGTAAGACTGGAATATTGGAAAAGTGAATAGAACTTCTTGATTATATAAACACAAACTAAGTAATCATCGTAGATTAAGACTATTTTAATATAAATACTATTCTTAATCTCATAAGCTTGTTTTATTAAATAAAACCTTTACATTTATAAAATGATTAATTTTTCCTATTTCTTTTTATTTAATAAAACCTGTTTCTATGTATGAATTTCAAGATGCAAAGAAATTTTGAAACAAAAATGATTAAAATAAACTTCTATAATGCAAAAAATGCGAATATATTTTGATGTATTTAGATATTTAATTAAATATTGTAAAGAATGAATAAAATACTAAACTCATGTTTATTATTAGAAATTTTATTGAAATTAAGGGTAGTAGTGATACATGAAAGGATTCTAATTATAAAATAATTAAGAATTCCACATATTAAATTTAGTTTACTAAAGCTAATTGAAGTAACAATACGACTGATACATTTAATAGATGAAATTATTGTAACATATTTATTATTAGCTTTAATACTATTATTCATTTATCTGTTTATCATGAAAAAAACCAGAATTTTCACATTCCTATTTTATTTTGATTGTTTGGGATAATGATTCTATTTCTTATTTTTTCCTTTGGCTTTTGACAGCAACCTTCTACTCTAAAATGTCCTACAAAGTTTTAATTTCTAGAAACTATTTCACATTGTCATTAGTATTTTCTTAATTTATTACTAGCTGTGAAATTGAATTTAAGTTTTCTGAAAGTTGATTATGTTTTTATAATAATTTAAGCTGAAATTTTTATCGTTTTTTTAATATCAAAGAAATCGAAGTAATTAAAATTTAGCATTCCTTTTTGTACTTTAACTTTTTTATAAGATTAGAAAGTATTTCTAGGTATTAATTGATTTGTTATTGTACAGATTTTGCTTTAGTTAAACTAAATATTAGTTATTTCGATTTTTTATTCAATTTTATGTATTTTGGGTTCTTCTGATGCTTCATTTCAATTAAATACTTTTACAATGTTTCTATTAATTCAAGTGGTTTATTGGATGAGTAAATTTAAGTTATATTGAGTTTACAATCTGAGTAATAGTTTATATTCTATAATTATATCTAAGTCTATTCCATAATAGCTAGATATAATTCCTACAATTCATCTAATTGAAGTAAAAGTTTTTTGATTCCTGAAAATGATAACTCATTTTTGAGCAATATGCCGTTTTTCATATTTTAATTTACTATTATTTATAATTATCTAAATTTATAATCCTATAAATTCTGTAAATTTTTTTATGCTTAGGAGTTTAAGTAGAATTTTGATGTTATAGAATTTGATTTAACAAAGTAAGAATAAAACAGTTTATTTTTATAAAATATCAAAACATCAAATAGATTAACAAAAAACTATTAACTGATATTTATCATAACATAATAAATAAATAGAATAAAAAATCCGCAGATAGTAAGATTATTAATTCTAAAATAGATGAGTAATAGATGAAGAATAATACTTTCGAGGGACCTATTATTTAATTAAGAATTTGCTATTTTAATTTTGAATTTCTAATTAAATATGAGAAAATAGTGAAATTTTATGATAATATGTAATTTAACTCCTTATATAATGCAATTACAAAAAAAGTAATAAATTGGTTTGAGGGAATAAAATTAATAAGATTTTATCGTAGGAAATAAATATTCTTAGAAATCTGAAATGAATAAATATGAATATCTAATAAATTCATTCTGTGTTTATAGTAAATTGGCTAATTTGAGAAATAATTGATGCTTAATAAATATACATTAAAGTATAGATTTATAAGTTATTTAATTCTAGAATAATGATATAAAACTTTGAGATAATTTAGAATAATGACTAAAATATTAATTTCTTTCTTGAAAAAATATTGAAGAATTAAATTATTAATTTTCTTATATCGTTAATGTTAAGTAAAAGAATGTATGAGCTGTGGAGGCAGATATCAATTTGAACAAATTCCCAGATTCTTTATATCTAAGAATGTATAGTCGAAGCTAATCAAAATTAAATAGTGTAACTAAGAAGATAATTCAATTAAGAAATCAGTCAAAAATTCTTTAAATACAGATATTCAACCCCGAAAAAGGTGGTTTACTTAAATATTCATAGTGTACCATCGTTTGATTAGTTATTAAAAACAATGAATACTAGTAATGGATTTGGCTGGTAACAAAATTTGTCTAATCATAAAAGAAATCATTGATTCATCTCGAAAGATGAGTGGTATATATAATAAAATAGAATGTTTGGGAAATATCGGAGTTCCTCAATAACAAAATTTTCAATACAGTAAATATAAAATTAACAGGCATAATAGATTCATTTCCAACACTCCTTTATCAGTATCAAATAATTAGTAACTCAAAGTATTAGATTCTCAGGAGCATCATACTAAACTTGTGTTTTCAAAGGGAAATTGAAAATCACTCTTGAAGAATCTGCTTTAAAAAGAAGTGATGGAAATTCGCAGTAAAATAGATAAAAATAAATAATCTGAGGTGCATGAATTATTTGTAAAAACTATTAAAATTATCCTAAATTATTATAAAGCAGATTAGACATATATATAATAAGATTAATATTTTTAATAAGAAAATGGCTTCTAGGGGTTTTATATCAAAAAGAGTCGTTGAATAATTTACAAAAAATATTATTCTATTAAACAGGCACAAAGAAAAAAAATTCCTATAAAAAAATGCTTATGCACAGATGCAAAATTTAGGAATGAAGGGATTGGACATAATTCTGGGAAGATGGTCTTAGGAATTTGTGGCAAAGATGAGTTATGAAGAATTAAATTAGATGGAGTCTGAAATCTTAGATCTTGATACAATCGATATTTATAATCTACTATTCTAGATGAAGGGTGCTGATGAATTGAAACCTTTAGAGCAATCGAAAGATGTATGAGAAATTAGAAATTATGCACTGAAAGGTTTGATTTGAGATGACTTTTAATTTTATAGATTATTAAATATAAAAATAATTAATGTTTAAGAACAACTTCTACTCTTATGTGGGTGGTACTAGATCAGATATAGCCATGAGCATAGAGTCTTATTTCGAAGTTATGGAAGTCTTATTGGATTAATATCTGAGTAGAGAAGTATAGAATATGATATTATCAGCATCAAGATGCTGTTCAATTTCAAGAATTGCAGTCAAGTGCTTAATGATATTGTGGTTTCAGCACCATTAGCCTTTTTGCCTTTCTCGCTTCTTGGAACATAATGGCTGTTTGCAGGCTCTAATAGGAAGGGAGCTAATAAAGCTTATGGACCCATACTTGCATCTGTACATATGTTAGTATTATGGAGAGCTTACACTGCTCCTATTCCAAATAAATTATTCACTAAAATAGTTGCGGATCCAACGGTCGATGGACAATATATTAGGTATTAAATTATTATTAATTTAGAACCTAATTATCTGTCATGAAACCAGGGTTGTGGTAAGTGTTGAGTAGGGAATTGTATCACAAGGGGTACAGATTTCCAGAGATGTTGGAGTTCAAGATAGCTACAGAATTCCCTACTGGATTTGTCAAACCTTATTGATGGTACATCATAATAATATAAATATATCCAATATTTAATACAATTTTTTATTTAATTTTAATATAAAAGTGTATGGAAGCAGATTAACTATTGGTGACTAATTTTTTTATAGAATAATAAATAAAAATATTAAAACCCTAACCTCTAGCTATTAAATAAAGTACTGAAATTTTATAGCATTACTATAAATTATAAGCAGTAACAATTTGAATATATTATCACTTTTATTAGAAAGAATAGGTCAAAGTCATCGAAACATCTTTGCTCAGCATTTATTCATTTTTTTAAGCAGACAATTTTGAAGGTTTTTAGGATGTCAACAACAAGATTAATAATTTGCTTGAAGATATTTCTAAACTGGATGACAACACAATAAGAAAGGGGTAATATCGGAGATCTATTGGTAGAAAGTCATTATAAAAGTATTTCATTCTGATTGTATATATTAAATAGATCATTTAAAATTTTATCCTTAAAACTCAGAATAACTTTGGACATAATCAGTAAAAAGTGGGTAAATAAACAAAATGTAAAAAATTAATTAAGATGGTCTAACCTCTGCATTCGCAACATACAAAAGTATATTGACATATTTAAGATAAAGTACTTTGAATTCAGATTTAGCTTTGATTTCTAAAAAGTTTAATAAAATGTTTATATGCAGAATTTGTGAACAACCAGTTTAGGCAACATAGATGGCATAACATTGTATAATGTGCGAATAGCAAGCTGAGAGCAAAAAAAGATTATTGGAACTAAATTTGGAATTAGCAAATATATGTGATTAGGCATATTTAGAAAAGAGGAATGTGCAAGTGAAATTGGCGATTAAGAAGTACAATTATCATTATTATGTTATAAGAATGAGGGATAAAACAAGAAGGAGACAATATCACAACACTAAATACATATATAGAAGAGTTTAGACTTTAGATGATTAGGATGAGGATGAAGATAATTAAAATGAATATCAATAAGAATTGAACAACATAGTCAACATTATGACGTAAATTATTAACTTTGCTGAAAAAACATTAAATAATGCTGCTGAAGTTGAAGATACTAAATGTAATAACTTATCATGAGCTTTATTAATAGAGACTTTAGTACTGTTAAATGACATAGTTAATGCAATTTAATGTATTGAAAGCCAAGAAACTTTGTCGATTATTAATGCAACTCATAAATGCTTATTGGATAGACTTGATTTTTAAAAAAAAAAAGAGAATATCATTAATAATTCAATCGAAGGATCACCTAATCAAAATTAAGACAATATTACTAAGATTAAAAGAGCATTCACTAAATCTAATTCAATATCATTTAGGATGCCTAAATTTCAGAATTCCCCTTCCCCTTCTTAAAGAATATCTACAGATCCTATATAAGAAGAAGATGATTCACCATAGTCACCTTAACTTTAATCACCACAAAAACTTGGAACTCAAAGAAAAGCATTCAAAATGAATTCTTCCATCTTTAAATTAAGCGATGGATCTGAATCACCTAAATCAATTAAGTAATCATCTGCTTTAACTTAAATGAAACCAAGTTATTTTTGTTAAACTGAAGTAAATTAATCAATTAATTCTTCAATTAGTGATCTTAAAGTGGAATAAACAAAAAAATAATCAACTAGTGAAATCACATAATCCAAAGATACAATTTAAAATTCTTTATTAAAACTGTCACAATTCAAAGCAACCATACAACCTCTCCTGATGAAAAATTAAAAACCTCAAAATTTAGAAGAAATTAAAGAAGAAAAATAAAAATACCCAAAAAAAATTGAAATTCAAAAATAATCTATAAAAGATAGTGAAAATTCATCAAACATATCTAGTATGGAATCTGGAAATTCTAATAATAACGAAGTTGCTAATTAAGCACCTGTTAAAAAATAAAGAAAAAAGAAGAAATTAAGCTTCTAATCTTAAGAAATTGACAAAGCCCAATTAGTTGGTAAAAATTAACAAAGAAAAAGCAAATTCTTTGAAAATTAAGTATGTAAGTCTCCCATGGTTCTTTAAGAAAATACGATCGATGAAATTTTGATAGATAAAGGTTATCATTCTGACTCCAACTTAATAAAAACTGTTTCTCCTTAATTAAATGAAACCTCAAAAGTTGGAGTTAAAGATTTTGAATTCATAAAGCTATTAGGAAAAGGAGCTTATGGTTGGGTCTTTTTAGTTAAAAAGAAAGGATCAGGAGATCTCTATGCTTTGAAAATAATTGACTGCGCTTAAAGAGTAATTTAACATTCTATCATAGAACTTAGAAGCATTTCTTGAATAATTAAAGGCTGAAAGAAACATCTTCGAAATTTTAAATAGTAGTTTTGTTGTCAAAGCCTACTTTTCATTTGTTCATGAACAATATCTGTGTTTTGTATAAGAATATATGATGGGAGGAGATCTAGCAAGCATTTTGAAACAATACACGGTAGACTCTATTATTATTTTACTAGGCACTGGATGAATTTTATGTTCAACACTATATGGCTGAAATAGTATTGGCTTTAGAATATTTAAGACAATAAAATATAGTGCATAGAGATTTAAAGCCAGAAAACATTTTATTAGATTGTTAAGGACATTCTAAACTAGCTGATTTTGGTCTATCCGAATAAGGAGTGAATAGCAGATTGAAATTAAAAGAAAAGCTGACTTCTACTGAGATACCCACTTGCGTGGAACAAATCAGTGATCAATAAGCTTATTAGCCTGTCTATAAATAACTGAAAAAGGTAGAATCAATTTTAGTGGAGAAGTAAGGAAGTAAGACGAAAAAGTAATTAAATTCAATATCAAAAGGATTGTTGGAACTCCAGATTATATTGCGCCTGAAATCATATTAGGAACTTCCATCAGCAATTTTAGTTCAGATTACTGGAGTTTAGGTATTATAATGTACGAATTGCTTTGTGGTATTGCTCCTTTTAATGATGATACTGTTGATAAGATCTTTGATAACATTTTGAATATGCGAATTGAATGGCCTTAAATTGGAGAAGGAGAGGATTGTATTTCAGAATAAGCATATGATCTAATTGTACAATTGTTGGAACCTGACTTCAACAAGAGAATTGGGCATAAATCTATTGAAGAAATAAAAAATCATAAATTCTTTAGAGGTATCATTGAAATATAAGTGTTAGGGATTTAATGGAACAAATTATTGAGCAAGCCAGGATTGATTATTCCGGAGTTGAATTGCGAATCAAAGGATACAGAGAAGATGCAATAGTTTCTAAAAAAGTTGGAGAAAACTAATAAGGATTCAGAAAACAAAAAATTAGCTTAATAATTGAAAGCTTAACTTTAAAATTTAGAGAGAATTGACTTATTAAAATAAAGAAGCACATAAGAATCCGATAAATATTTGTATATATAATTTTTAATTAGATTGCAAGTGTAAAATGAACAGAAAAAAATTTAACATTAAATTGAGTTACTTACATAACTTTATGCCAAACTTTACTAATGCTACTCCAAAATGTAGTGACAAGATTGTTGTTCGAATATATTATTATTTATATTTAAACGTTTTTAATTCATTATTATATCAAAATTTAGAGATATATGTATATGTATATAAATCTCTATGTATACAAAAGATGGTAATTAATTGATTTATGAACAAAAACATGAATAGAAAGTTCTTTCAACTTAGATAGATGACTAGAAGCCTCGATGACACTTTTAAAGAGGATTTAGACCTCTATGTAAAATTATTGTAAAAAAAATATCAACCAAACCCATAAAGACTAAACAATGATAAATAAATGCTTTAACAATGGGATTCCTTCAAATAATTTAGATTATCCGGTATAATAGATACCACTTTGGATTCTGACATATTTAAGATATGCATTTGTGATTTCTTAAAGAAAAAAAGAGTGAGTATGGAATTTTGGATTAAGGTTGCATATGATGTTTTTCATGATGAATCTAAAGGAAAATAAGTGAGAATGAAATTTTGGAGATCAATGAGAAAGAAATCTAGTAGTTTGGAGCTGGACTTAAAAAATAAGAAATGGCCTGTTGCATGGAGATATTTAGAGAGAGAACCATGTTTGAATTTAGAAATTCTCAAATTATATGAATAATATATGCCAATCCGACCGTTTTTTGCTTAAACATTAAATACAATGACAAATATTACATGTGATTTAAGGAGAATGCCAATGCTAAAGGAAGAAAAATCAATCGAATTTGATCTATCAAAAACTACGTGGTTTCCTAAGATAGATATGTGTGGTCCAGCTATTTTAGAATAATTATCTAGTTCAGATAACTTTTTCTGTGAGTAATTAGTCAAATTTACAACAGAAATGAAGGCAATAATGTTCCCAATTTTAGATTTCTTTAGATTAGACAAGAAAAAAGGAAGAATTGTTAATTTATTTGGTGAATAACACGATTTTGTATTAGAAGTGCTTTATTCATTAAAAGCTTTTTGCGGACAGGCTATTAACTATACTCAAGGATCATTGAAAAGGAAGAAGAATTATAAGTGTACGAATTCATATAAAATCAATGAAATGCAATGTAGCATTATGTTAACAACTTTATCAGAAAATGACTTAAATTAAGATGTAATGAATGACATTTAAAATAATATAGATGGAGGTTATTCAGCCTTTATTTAAGAGAATTAAATGTATTATCACAGCGAAAAGAATCAAAGATTAGTTCTTATATTCAGCTAAAAAAAACTATAATTTGGAAGACTAAAAAAAGGAATTAAATTCTATTAAATTCCTGATTAACAAATATCTGCATTAAAAAATAAAGTAGATTATGAGTTCCTAGTTTATTATGCTAACATTTTATTCAATAAATGTATGATTGTATAATAGAATTGCAGTTCAAGAAAGCCCTTCTATTAAGTCATGATATGTATGTGGACATATGTATTGGCAGTTTATCTTTCAGCGGAAATTCCAAATTTAGAAGGAATAAATGTTTTTTAAGATAATGAAAGGGTGGATTCCATAGTAGACATTTAAATTGATTTAGGATTAAGTTCTCATGAATAAACCTATGATGAACCAGAATTTGATTAAGATTAATTTTAAAAAACAAGTTTTGAATTTACAAATCATGTTGGAGGTGTCAGTTTAGATCCAAGTGAAGAAGAAGACTGTATGATAGTAGATTAAATATAAAAAAAAAAGAAAATAATCTTAGTATGATTTAATAATAATATATATATATCAAATATTATAAGGAAAATGTAAACTTTACTATTTTATTTAAGTTTTTGTAAGGAATTTAGAGGAAGAATTTAAACATAAAGAAAAATGAAACTTGGAGTTTGAATTTAATATGACTTAAGTTTATACTTATAATATTTTTAATCTAAATTAATAGGAAACAATTATATATTAGTATTATCTATCAGGATAATAATAATTTAAATTAATGATTTCAACTCTCTAAATAAATAACTTTGGTATATTATAATAAGATTAAAAAAACTAGGAAATTAAATTTGTTCTTTCAAATAAAAAATAGAAGGAAGAACATTCAGATTGCGATTAAATGGCTAATTATCTAAATTGATAATTCACTTGATAATATGAAGATAATAAAGGGAATTTAAATCATATTTTATTGTAAAAGTAAACAAAAATAAGTACGATAATATAATAAAGATATTTTAAAAATCTAATTATATTTGATAATTTGATTTAAGAATGATAATTTCTAAAGAAATGATAAATAAAAGTAACAATTTTAAATTATTAGAAAATTTCCTTCAAAATAGAAAGATACTTTAAAGTAAATATAATAATAAGAATAACAATACTAATAACGAAATTAAACTTGTCCATATCCAAAACCATTAGTTTCTATTTCAATACCTATAGAAAGAAACATTTCCTGTTGAATCAAGCATAGAATGTAGATATAATTTAAATATACAACAAAGAGATAAAAGTCAAATATGTAGATTTTATCCAAGATATTGTAAGCATATTTATTTAAAAGCGCAAAAAATAAGAGAGCATGGAATCATACAAGTATTTGCATTTTTAATATTTAGGTGATATGAATAATGGCAATTTTTAAGGTCTTGTTTATGGGATCTGAATTCATTTGATATTACTCAGGGTTAAATCAAAAAATCAAAAACAATTTCAAAAACAATTATTGCTCAATAAGATAATAATGCATTTGGGACAAGAGGACTTCATAATAATTTCAGTAATTGAAATGGAGGTCTTAATTATAAATTTAGATGAAACAGATTAGCTATATGGATATTAAAAATGGAATAATAAAGGAATATTTAAAAAAAAATGAGAATAAATTTTCATTTATATTTTATTATGACACGTTAATGGAAGTACAAGGTTAAAGCGTTTTTGTTAATATCCTACTAAAGATTTGATAAAAATAGTGTTTATAAGAACGAAGAAAACAAGTTGCTCGGATTTGGAGGGGTTTGTGATGACCTTCTCAATACATATTGATAATATCCTATAAATCAACTTATGAATATTAAATTGTATTATGAAGATATGATGACAAAATGGCATGCAAATGAATTGTTTTGTCTTATAAACTAACTCACTATAAATATTTCACATTTTATTATTTAGGATAATTTCATTTATTACAAAGATAAAATGTAAAACAAACCATTAGACTGGATTTGCATCGGATGCAAAAACTTGAATTATTCATTTCGTAAATATTGTAATCGATGCTAAACCTTCACAAGAGATGCTCCAGGAACAAAATTCATTCCGTTAGAACAACCAAATATAATTGATTCCCTGAAGCTCTCAGAACCTGATCTTACAGGCAGTGGACACAGTACTACAGATAGTGTTGGAAGCAAGACTCAGGATTATACAGTCTTTCATTAAGCTCTTTTCTTAGAGAATTTAACATAGAGCTAACAAGAAACGGTCAACAAGAACTTTAATTTTATGAAAATTTGTACAATCTGCAGGACAGAAAATTATTTTTATCAATCAAAATGCAAGGAGTGTGGATTCAGAATAACCATGGTTTGATCTCAAAAATTATTCATAATTAATTCTTATACTATAAATACAAAAAAATAGATATATTATTTCAATCGGTTTCATTATCGTGATCGATTCATCGTAGTATTGTATGATTATACTCGGATTAAGATTATAAGATGTCATACAAATATCATAAATCTTGTCTTTCATTCCAATTAGTTTAGAAAGTAGTTCCAATAGAATTATAAAAGTTCATAAGGTTTTAAGATAATGATCGCTTAAATAACTAACGAACTAAAGAAAAAAGATGACTTTAAAAACGTTTAATTTTAAATAAATATTATCTAATCCAAATTCTGATAAAAACTATATTTACCAATAAAATATTTTTTGAGTCTTTGAAATTGATGTATTGAGGAATTTTAGATAATTATTAAAGAACTCCTGACCAAACTAAGAAGCCTGGTGTTTGCGTTTCATCATGATATGCCACCATCTATGATCAATTTAATAGTAAAGAGATTATTTCCAATATTATAATGTATATATATATATTTCAGTGTTTAAGTAATTTAATTAAATTAATGAAGAAAAATTTAGTGATTGAGACTGATCAGTCCATTCCACTTCAATAAACTATATTTCGTAATGGTGTCTCTGCTCTGCCATTACTAGCTAAGAAGAATAGCATGGGTTTGGCATTAGAGAATATCCCAAGAACATAGACTTTTTCAAGATAGATGCAGCAATCATGTCATAATGATAGTGTATAATAATCTCGAACTCCAACAATGAAAAATGATTCCTTTTATGGTAATATATTTAGGAAACCAACTGTTATGAAAAAACCAACTTTTACTTTAACAAAACCTGAGAGTGACTTTAATTGGCCACTTTTCAAAATCAGGAATGATCCATTAATTAAGTAATTTTGGGATAGAAGAGCAAATAAAGACATGGAAAAGAATTGGGTATTTGATGAATACATTTTTGCAGGTAATATGTTAAGAATTGGAAAAAAAAAAAAGATTGTCAAGGGTTATTTTTATAGATTGACGAGTTGTGGTTTACTAATGTACTATAAGAAAGTATAAATTAATTACATAATAAGGAATCAGACACACTACCAAAAGGCTTCCTATAATTGAATATGAAGATCAGAATAGTTGTAAGTTTTCAAAAGACAAAAAGAAATCTATAATTACCAGTGTTGTATTTAGAAAGGAATTAAGGCATTGGAATTACTATTTTTGATCATTTAATTGATCAAACATTAAAATTAGGAGAATGCATTCAATAATTTTGTTTAATGAGAGGGTTTAATGTGTTGTATGAATAATTAGAATTACTAGGAAGTGGTGCTTTTGCATCAGTTTATAAGGTAAGTAGGAAAAGAGATGAAAAGTATTTTGCTGCAAAAACCTATTTCAAATAGTTTTATGACGATCATTCACACAAAGATAGATTGCTTGTAAAGATATTTATTTAAATATAGGTTAGTCAATGGTTTACAATGAAATTACAACTCTTAAAAATGTTGATCATTAAAATATTATGAAACTTTATGAGGTTATCTAAGAAAAAGATAGATTGATATTAATAATGGAATATTGTGCTGGAGGAACATTATACTCATATGTGAAATTAAAAGTTAAATTTAACGATAAGCACTATGCTTACATGTTAAAGTAATTATGTGATGCTCTATATGAGATGCATAGATTGAATTTTGTACATAGAGATCTCAAATTAGAAAATATTATGTTAGAATCAAAAGACTATTTATAAATTAAATTAGTTGATTTTGGCTTCTCTGAAGTTATTAATGAAAAATAATTGGTAAGTTAGGCAGGAACTCCTGGTTTTCTACCTCCAGAAATATTCAGATAAATCCCTTATACTGCTAAAAGTGATATCTTTAGTTTGGGTGTAATTATGTATTTGGTATCTATTAATTTAATAAATAAAGATTGTTGCTGGATATATGCCATTTAAAGCACCAACTGCCACATAAATCTTGGAGTTAAATAGAAAATGCCAAGTTAATTTTGAAAAGCCTCCTTGGTAAGATGTTAATCCAGATTTGAAATACTTAATAAAAAAGATGATTGAATATAAAATTGAGGATAGAATAAGCTGCTAAGATATTTTAGACAGTCCTTATATTCTACATCATTCACGTCAGACTTCAGAAACTAATTATAAATCAAACTAAATGTTAAGTGGACTTGAATTGGATAAGTGTCATAGACAATCAATGAAAAGTATTAAATAGTCTGAATAATCCAATGATAGAAGTAAAGAGTTTTAATTGGATTTTTCAATTCATACCAATGATATTAAATCTCTATATTAAAGAAATTCTTAAAAAACTAATAAATCTAACAGATCAATAAATTCTTTAGCTAAAAACTCATCATAAAAAAAAATATCCAGATCAGTGCCTAAAGAATGTCAGCACTCCAAATTTTAGAGTCAAAAAAAAATGGAGGACTTGGAATCGCATAAAAGTCAGAGCAAAAAATAGAGCTCTTTTGGAGATGTTATGATATGTATGTCATTTGATTATGATTAAAGTAGAGCAGGAGCAAAAGATTATAATGTTTGAAGACACAGACTCTTTGAAATTAGAGTAGATTCTATATTTAAAAAGGTCTGGAATAGTATTTAATAAAGTTAAAAAACCATTCATTTAACCATCCAACTAAGAAAACTGATTATTTTTTATTTTGTTCCATATAAGGAAGTTTATAAATACAATAGAATTCTATAATGTTAATTGAACTTTTTCATTTTTTGAGAGAGAATTGTGTTGTTAGAAATTGATCCCCAATACAAAATCATTAGATATTTGAAAATATATATAATTCTAATTTTTATAATTATAATCCAATTATTTCATCGATGATTACATATTAGATTATCTCAATAATGACTTGTTCATTGAATTGCTTTAAATCAAATATTAGTGCTTATAATGATTCATTTTAATTTATTATAATAAGTTATTGAATAGATTCTTCTAATCCATAAATTTAATAATGGCTGAATAAATTGATATACTAGATTTTAATGAAGCTCATAGGAACAGAAACTCGTAAAATTAAGATACTGATCGATTTTCAGTTCGTAAAATAAAACAATTACTAACACTCGAAGACGTAGATTCATGGGTGGAATAGATTAACATGCCTCAAACTAGAAATTTTGAATACCCATCTTCTATAGAAAAGGCTATAATACATTCTTAGAGTTTTTATATCCATCCGGATAAAAAATTTCTGAAAGAGAACCCCAAAGTAATTAATTGTGATTGTTGTGGATAAATGATTAGGAGGAAGAGATATAATATATTTACGTGTGATATGTATAGCATTTTTGCAGGAGAATTTGGAATAAGTATACCCTTGTATTTCTCTATTATTAAATTGCATTTTTTCATTCTCTTAGCAATAGGCTGCATTTTCGGAATTTATTATTGCTATTTATCAGATAAATATTGCGGATAACTTAATCTTAAGAATTTCACTGAAAATCAGCTTCATGAATAATATTGCACCTCCTTTTTGGCTGCTTAGCATTTCTTATTATATAATTTTAATCAGGAAGAGATTATCAACAAGAATTATGGGGAACAAACCACTTTCTACATCCTAGGATATGTAGCCTATCTTATTATGATGATGACACCTCTGATGCATGAAGTCTTACTGAGGTTGTAACAAATCAAATATTGGAATTATGATTCTTTGAATCACATTCGTATCCCAAAATTAACTCTGTACATCAAACATATCCCTAAAAAGTTCAATGAACAAGAATTATAATTATATATTCAGAATGCTATTGCCAGTAAATACAAGGATAAAATTGGAGGTAAATTTATAGAAGAGATTGTGTATATTTATGACATCCATCCAATAAAGGTTTTAAACGAAAAAAGAAAGGAGACTTACTTAAAAAGCTTATAAATAGTTAATGAACTTAAAGTGAATCCAAAATTAGAATTAAAAGGATAATTGATTGATTTAGTATTTTAGTTAATAAAATAAACAAGGGATATTTAAAAAACATTATAATATGGTTTACCCTTTACTTAAAAAGTGATTTTGAAATTCAATTCAGAATCAGTAACTAATTTGGTTTACAAGTTTTACGATAAATCATTTTTCAATAACATACTTTAAAGAATTGAAACTATTAAAGAATCTGCATAAAACTATTAAGAGTTCTAAAAGGATAAATTTGAATTACAGGCACAATTACTAGAGTAATCTCAAACTAACAGCTCAAAATCCTCTATGATATCTCAATAATCCGATCTCTAAGAAATGGTAAGAAGTTAATCGGAACTGTTCAACTAACCCTCAGAACTAAAGGCAAAGTTGAAATAGAGTATAATTGATCTTTTACATCTACCTGAAAATGATGAATAATAAGAAATGACTATGTAATAATCTACTATTGATGAGAAGAAAGGGTTACACTTGCAGAGAGGATTTCGATAAGATGATATCTTTTGGGAGCATATTGGTATGCATACATTGAAAAGATTCTTTTTACGACTTATAACCACATGCATAACATTGTTTGTTGGTATCATAATTATGGCACTTTTTGAAATGCTTTTTATCATGGAATAACACTTGAAAAGATAAGATGGCTGGGTTAGTAGCTTAATTGTGATAGTAATGACATTATTTACTGTATTCCTTTCTGTCTTTTCAACTGTATTAGTTATCTTTATGACTAAGAGATCATAAAGATCTACCTATTCCTTATAGGAAAAGAATATTATTACTTTTATGTCACCCATTCAATAAGTCTGTATTTTGGCTTTCCCATTCATTTTTGTGCTAAGTATCTTACAAAAACATTCTGCTTTGAATAGTATTGCTGTTGTGTTGGCTGTAAGCAAATTAGCTTAAGTGAGACTCATTTCTAAAGGGATAATTCACTTTTTTCATTTAAGAACTGTCAAATTCAACTCTCTCAAAAAGAAAATATAGAAGAATTTCAAACCAACTTAATATTTTCAAAAACAATTAAATGATTTACTCACTCCTCCTCTTTTTCCGATTAGAAGCAGATTATTTTATATTTTATTTATTTATAGCTCAGGGATGATGATGATATTTTTTAATCCCATTATGATTTTATGGTGCTTAATATTACAAGTCTTTTTCTTCTACTATGATAAATATAGTGTGTTGAATGAATACCATTATGACAAACTATTTACCTTTTAACTTTAAAAATATTTAATCCTAACTTATTAAGTAATTATGATTCCTATATATTGTTACATATACGTGGTTACCTTCACAAATACAACATAACATATAGGGTCAGATGGCTCAGTATTTAACAATAATTTATTCTTAGCTAATAAATCAATACTCGACTGTTTCCACTCTATGGACATTTTTAGGATATGGAACCTGTATTTTATCATTTACCAGTTTCTTGTTTTTCCGATAATAAATTGCCAATTTCTTTGTATTTGTAGTACTCAGATATTAAAAACCTTTGAGGGACTCAACAATATTTAATGAGAAATCATATTTCCAAAGCTACAATGAATATTTTCATGGTAAATAATATAAATATTTTTAGATTTAGGAGTACATGAACTAAATACTATTCTTGAGGATACATTCAAAAATATGTAATATAAATCTAAATGAATATATTAAATCATTAAATTAATTTAATTTTATTATTTTATTATCTCTGGAGGAGAGAAAAAAACTATAAATTTTAATAATTTAATGATTATATTTATGACTTTCCTCATGTTTTTAATAAAAGGTAAGCCTGATTATTGGGGATAACTAGATACTAATATAGAATACTAGATAAAATTGGATTACTCATCAAAAGCAAATAGTATAATAATAAAATTTTATGTGTCTTAATCAAAAGCAGTGTGTTTAGTATCATAATCAAGTTTAGGATAAGTAGCATTTACAGATATAACTGATTCTAAAAGTGAATCTTATGCTCATGATTATTAGGGTTATTAAGCTAATAGTGTTTATTAATTAGTAGAAATAGACTTTTAATAACTATTATATATAAGATGTTTACAATCAGAATAAAATAATACAAAAAGTTCATATGAATTATATATTGCAGAAAGACCATTTATACAATCTTGTATTAATGATTGTAATGGATATAATTACCCTGAAATTCAGAATTCTGTTTGTGTATCAAAGTAATGTAATTGTTTAGATTCATATTATGGATTATTTTGTCAATTTTAATCATCTAAAATATTTAGCAATGTTTATTATAAATTAACAATAGAATCTAATAAATGGATATATTTATATTATGAATTATCTACTACTAATATAGAATTATAAACACAGAATGAATAACAGGATGTATGTAAAGTATTTAATAATAATGTAGTTTATAGCTTAGTTTCTGAATAAACACCTTAAAAAACAATACCAAATTTACAAAATAGTTATAAATTATTATCTATAGTAAATGTATAAGAACAAATAATAATTATTGATGCTGACGTAATCTATATAGGAATCTATAATAATTAATCTGAATAAATTGAGTTTTAATTTAAAATAGTTACTTATTATGAAGATGATGAATCAGTATTTGAACGCAATAAAATAATTATTATACTAACTGCTTGTGTTATTGCAACTCTTTTATTATTTGCATTTGGAATTTCTGCATTAAAAACTAGAAAACATTAACAAATTCGTAAACAAGTATAAGAAACTATTCGGAGAAATCTAAATTAATAAGGAATTTCAGATTAATAATTATAATCTAATCGAGTATTTGATCCAGCAATCTATAAAGGTAAATTAATATAATTAATATGATAAGGTTTTTAAATTAGATTTATTAAAGATCATTTTAAAGCTCATTATTATGATAAATTTATATAAATATATCCTGGATTATCATAATTTGAAGAATGTGCTGTTTGTTTAGAATAAATGAAAAATGCTAATCATAAATTATAAAAGATTTGTAGTGTTACTCCTTGTTTTCATATATTTCATTATATATGTTTATAAGAATGGTTACTTAGATAAAAGAATTGTCCATTTTGTAGAACTCAATATAATAGAAAAAAGATAATATAGGAATTCCCTTGGATAGATATTGGAAATTTATAAATCAAAAATACTGATTCCAATTATCTAAGTAGAATAAAAAATTAATTAGAAAGTGTTAATGAAAGTCGTATAGAATTAAATCAAAATTAATAATTAGAATAAACTAATCAATTATAAGAAATTAAAGATTGATTATAATTCATACTATAAATAATTATGTCTCATAAATTCAATAGATTAGATGCTTTGGCCGAGTGGTTAAGGCGGCGGCCTGCTAAGCCGTTGGGATTTCCCGCGTGAGTTCGAGTCTCACAGGCATCGATTTTTTTATTTTTTTATTTATTTTTTTGTTTTTTAACTCTATTTCACATATAAATTACATAACCTAATTCATTTACAAATATTTATCAATCACATTTTCTTTCTAAAATATATGAAACAGCAAATTTTGCTTAAATAGATTTACTAACAGTGTTATTGTTATTTTAAGAAGAGTAATGAGGCTGAAATTTAAAACTTAATCAATTTCAATAATAAAGGTTGGTACTAACAATATTAATTTAATTTTTAGTACCATTATTTTCTAAATAGAGAAAATTTCAAATAAATATTAAAATTAGGTTCAATTCTAATTTTGTTGATACATTCTTATAAACCATTGTGGATGAATTTAAACAAGATTTATTAAGGAGAAAACGAAGGCATTTTATAATATTCTTAAATCCAATAGAAGATTTTAAACGATATTTTACCTGAAGAAGACAGCTAGAGAAAATCTTCAGGTTAAAGGTTTGATAAACCTGTTTAGTAATTGATTATTTGGTCGAGAAACTCAAACACTATGAATGAACTAATTGGAATAAAAATAGATAAAGAAAAATAAAGAATAAACAGAGAACAAAACTGTATAAACACTAATTAGTATTAATCTTTTTTTTCATTAAATCTCATAAAATAAGTAAATTGAAGTTCCTTTTTCTGTCTAATTAAACTGGAATTTCCAGTCTAAAATTTAATTTAAAAATAGTGGAGATAATATTCATTTTTCACTCGTCTGCTTATTCTTTCATAAGACTCAAAATATTTTGTTTTGAAAATTATTTAATTTTTGATTCCAATGGCTTAATTTAAGCCAAGTAGAATGTTAATAAAATTTGTAATTAATAAATGGTTAATTAAAAATTTTCCCTTTATATAATATTTATTGATATGAGGTAAAATAATATTTGTTAATAATTACCTTTTGCTTTAAGATTAGTGGCTTAAACTATTTTGCAAATCGACTGTATTAAATTCATAAAATCTTTTAAGAGTCATTTAAAATCTAGATTTAATTCTCAATAAATTGTAAAAATATGAAAAAATTGTTGATGACCTTTACAACAATAGGCAAGAATGATCAAAAAAAACTTTTTTTCTTTAAAGATTTAGAGCAGAAATTAAATGAAATTTTTCAATTTGATTTTACTATTAATATATATTGTTAATTGTGCCTTCAAAGAATTTTTTACTAACCTATTTTTCGAATTAGTAAACAATATTAAAAAAGGTTTTATGATTTAATTCTCCTCTTAGATTTTCTGCATTTAAGGGAAGAATTGAAGTTATGGATAAAGTAATGGCAATCTAAGTCTCTTTATAAATCGTATGGCATTAGAATTAGGATTATTCTGAGTTCTGTAATCTCTAATAAATTCAGAAATTATATACTTTATAAAATATAAATAATCCCTCATTCTTTATTATGGATATTAATCTTACTCTTTAATGCATGAATTGATTTAAGATATAGATTAAAATTAAAAAATATAGATTTTTAATTTTCTTCAAAGGCTATAAATAATAATATCAAAAGAGGATTTTTACACATCTTTATCAAATCAAGTCATTACTTATAAATTTGAAAAATGATAATAAATAGATAATAGATGCCAATGTTAAATCAGATCTATTGATAATTTGCATAAAATATTAGAGTATATAGGAAGCCTTAACATTATTTGAATAAAAATGGATGAAGGAGATGTTCATTGGAAATAATAAAAAGGAGATGAGGGATTATGAGAATAAATTTGACAATAAAAATTTCAAATTGGAACATGAAATGGAATGAATCTCTATACTAAAAGCTGAATCGGATGACTTTGCCAGTTAATTGTTATTATGATGGCTTATGCTCCTTGTATATTGAGTAAATATAATTTTACAAAGTTTTGATTTAAACACATTGTTTTGGGGCGGGTTTAGGAATATGGATTTGTTAAAGATAATTGAGTCTCAAGAATCCAAAAGTGGCAGAGAATAATCAAATATAGGTTTTGCTTTTGCAGTGTTGAATTGGTTTAAGAGGAATGATTAGAAATTAAAAAATGATTAGATATGTATTAGTGATGGATTTATCTTTATATTTGTGCTTTAATAATAATACTCATGATGTTTATGATAAAATCAAGGACACAATAAGCCCATACAATGCCAAAGCCTCTGCAAAAATCAAAATCAAAATCATTCCTACGAAAATTCTGTCTTATTAAGCATTAGCTCTGACTCCTGCATCACCAACTATTCCAATTGACAATCCTGCAGCCTAAAATCTGTAAAAAAAATATATCTTACTAGAGAGCTCAATCCACAACATAATCCGGCGGATAAATAAGCATATCCTTATTTTGATGCTGATTGTGCTGTTATTGATGAAACTATTTATTATATAAATTATCAATACCTTTTCCTTATAAAATAACACCAACAATCATCCCATAAATACCCAAAATACCAGCCATGACAACTGGAATAACTGACTTCATAATTAAATCTGGTTTTAAAACACCCATAGAGCAAATTCCGACTCCTGATTTTGTGGCACCATAAGATGAGCCCAAATCTACGATAATACATGAATATACTGGCAAAAACGACTGCAGATGCAACTCCAATGTATCCAAAGAAATAGGCAGATGGCTCAATTATATCAGAATCACCCATTTTTCTTATTTATTTTATTTAATGGAAATTAAAGATTTAATATATACATAAGAGTGCTAATTAATCACTTAAATAATTCCATATTATGTTCCAAAATAACGATTCGTATTTTCTTATCTTTTTAACTTAGAAGAAGCTCAAGCATTATAACATAGTTAACAAGTATATTTGACACTATATAAGAGATTTGAGAAGAATATAAGAGATATAAATAAGAGTTATTATATGAATAAATTGAAAATATCTTATATATAAGAAGAGATATCAGATTATTCTAAATAAATCCTGTAAATTAAATATAGAACTTGATTGAATGAAAATTAATGATTATTTTGTATTTTGAAAATACAGGATATATATATTTAAGACAATCAACCAATTTTATATTAAATTCAATAATTAATGATTATTTATCTTAACAAAAAGCAGGCATTGATGATTAGTGTGATGCAATAATAAATACTAGAAATGAATTTAAATATTCAAACTTTCAAATTATGCATAGGTACGTCAATAATTATTATTGAATAGTTTAATGTTACTGAAAGATAGACTTATCTCTCAGATTTATAGATTTTTTGTTTATACTTTAAGTTTACATTATTTAAAAATAAGAGCTATACAGATTATATAAATACATTAATATAATTATATTTTGTAATGAGTGTTAAAGTACAATTAATACATTAACAATGGGATGATATTAGGAAAGTTTTAAGAGCCACTTAAAGAAAAGTTAATAATAATAATAATCTTTCACTTATGAATTGTGTTCCTATAAATAACAGCTAAGATTAGGTGTAAAGGGAAGGAAATAATTCAGATAATGAATTAGAATTTTATAATAGCAACTCTAATGCGTTATTATTAATCAAGGATACTTGTCGAAGTGTATTGATTCAATTAATTTTTAGACACAAGGCGAAAATTTTATTTGAGCTAAAAGAGAAGAGAACTTTCTTCATAAAATGATTAAGAATTTTACAGTTAGTTGTAAAGTAGAAGAGAATAAGCAACAAAACAAAGAATCCTTTACAGTAATATTAAGAATTTTGAAAAAGCAATTAAATAAATAACCACTCCAAAATTAAGTATGACAAGACCTTCAACCAGAATTCGATAAAATAGCCAGGAAATCTAACTAAATATGATCAATCAAATTAAATTAAATTAATCTGATTCAAATAAAAGAAATAAAGCAGTACCAATTGAAACTCACTAAGGTTATTCAAGTAGTCATTAAAAACAAATAAAAAAGAACTCCAACAATTTTTGGCCTAGAATTAAAACTCCAGCTCTAGATAATAAGGATAATATCACTTAGATACTGAAAAAAAGATTTAAAAAATAAAACGATTTATCCTTGGACATCTGTTGCTTCAACTATGAATCGCTCTCACTATTAAATCAAACCAAGACACCTACTCTATATTATTAATGATTTTCTATAATATTTATAATTTTAATGAATTAAAAAAAATAACCTTAATTAGCATGTGATGCAGTATGTTTTAGAAAACGTGAAAACGAAATTAAATAGGTTATATTGATAACAAGAGGACACGAACCATTTTTAGGGAAATATGCCTTTCCAGGAGGACATTTAGATTATGGGGAAGATCCAACTTAATGTTGTTTAAGAGAACTTAAAGAAGAAACCGGAATCTTAGGGCTAGATGTTGATTTAATTGATGTTAAAGGGGCTCCTGACAGAGATCCAAGAGGACATTATGTTTCCATTGTTTATAAGGTTGAAATTCAACCTGATGCAGAACCTGTGGCAGCAGATGATGCTAAAACTGCATAATGGCTTAACGTTGAAGAACTACTTAACTGGGAAAGGAAGCCTTTGCATTTGATCATTATGAAATCTTAGAAAAAGCTCATAAAAAGTATCCATGAATCATTACAATATATGTTAAGTATAGGACATTTTATAATTAAAATATAATTACGTAGCTTATAACGCATTTTCTCAGGGGTAGAAGTAAGATACTAAAAAGTAACTTTCAACTCTTGAAATTTCTCTTTAAATACTAGATTATGTAACAGATTTTTCAAGATTCATTATATTCCTTCTTTCCTTGTTAAAGATTAGTTTGTTAATAATATTGAGGCAAAAGCGATTCATCTGAATTTAATTGCATCTTGAAGCTTAATGCTTGACTAGGAATTTAGTTTAACAGAGGATTACAAAAAAATATTTGGGATCAGACACATTTTATAATAAATTATCATTTATCCCTTTATTATTATTATATGATAGAAACCTTCAAATCTTTAAAAGAAAACATGAATTCAGTTATTTATAAGATTTATACTAACTAGAATCTAAATTTAAAATTAATATACTTGTCTTAAAGTTTAGTTTATAGAGTATATTATGTTATTAGTTATAATTTTAATTTTATGAATTTCAAGTGCGTAACTCCTTGATTTCCTCTAATTTAGATTAATACTTAAAGTAACTCATTCAAAGTAATCTGAAAGATAACAAGCCAATCAAAGGAAAGGTACGGTTTCAAAATATCTATGATAATATTACAAAAGCATAAATAATAACATAAAGAATAATTTTTTATTTATAATTAAACTTCTATTGTTAAAATAAATTGTATTTCAAGTCTTGGAATTTTTAATAAAATTATTTTCTTTTGAATGATTGAATTTACTGCAAATCATGATATATATCATAAAAATGTAGCATTCTTTTTGTAAAATATTTAGATATTCAGTTATAATAGTCTAAATTCATTTTTCTGTTTCAATTTCTTTATTTAGATGAAAATGTGAGATCAAATTATAGGATTACAAACTACTTTAACAGCTTTTCACTAAATATTTTAATTCTACTTTTATAATTATATAATTAATTGAATTATACTTTAGTATGATTTTTTTCCTATATTTTAAGAGAATTTAATTAATAACCAACTCTTTTTTTTTGGTACATTTAATGTAGCTTCCATAACTTAACTGTAATTTACCTATAGAGCACTATTTAGAGATGAGTAAAAACCTTAATCTTGAATGAGATTTTACATTATTAATTATAAAATTAACTCGATTCAATATAATAAATTCATATCTTAATAGGTACTCTCTGTAAATTGAGAATCTGACGCTAAGGATCTTTTAATGGAGATAAATTTGGGGACTTAACTCTCAAAGGCAATTATAAAGGAGATGCATATTAAACTTATTTGCTTTTTAATTCTTATTGATATATTTGTTATTGATATGGCGATGATTATAGGGAATTTGTTTATGATTCTGATTAATTACTTAGGCTTTCTAAAGATGTAGAGCTACTTGTTTGATTATTCACAACCATATGTCTTTTAAAGAAAGAACTTTATTTAACTTGATCAAGAGTAAATCTGTTATGAGGGTTTGAATCCAACATACCTCTTAAAAGATCAAGACATTCATTTGTAAAAGTGAATTAAGTTAAATCAATCTGACCATTCTAATTTGCTTTTACTATTGCATCTTAAGTATTAGAGTCAAAAGGTCCTTTTCCAACTAGAAGATAATAAAAGAGGACACCACAACTATACACATCAACTTTATGATCATAAATTTTATCCTATAATAATTCTGGTGCTATATAGCCTGGCGTTCCACATCTTGTAAACATATATTTGCAATCTTTTCTGTAATAATCTGCCAAACCAAAATCAGCTAGAACGACCTAATCAATTATTCCTTCTTCTCTTAAAATGATATTTTCAGGTTTAATGTCTCTATGAAGTATACCATGAGAATGCACATAATGTAACGCCTCAACTAGTTATTAAACTATGATAAATGCTCCTCTTTCTGAGAAAGTCTTGTTTTTCATTAGTTCCTTATGTAATTCTCCTCCTTTATACAGATCATGGACTATATAGATATATTAGTCGTTTTCAAATGCTTCTTAAATGTTGATAATATTCTTGTGGTTCATCACTCTTAAAAGTTCGATTTCTTTAAGAAGGGACGCTTAATCCTAAGATTGCATTAATGTTTTATCAAAAACTTTCACCGCAAATTCTTTCCTATCACTGATTCTTTGAATTTTAAAAACCTTTAATGTATATGTTTTAAGTACTTTAGCAAAACTTCCTTAGCCAATCAAGGCAATAATGCTATATGCTTTAGAAAAATGGGGCTATATACACCATTTTTTCATATATGCAAACCATTATTCAACAAGTCCATAAAACGTAAAGTTTTCTTCATTTTTAGTTAAAGATATCCCAAGGCCCAACTTAGGATGGCTAACTATCTCTAATAAAGCATTTGTTATGTTAAAATACTTTTTGGAAGCGCCCTTCATATTATTATTATATGATACCTTCTTGTCACAAATGATAAGACAATTCCTCTAAAGTACAAGGGTCTTCTACTTAAACTATTCATTTTTTGGAACAAAGAACCTCTCTTTTGGTGACTTTGGAAAAATCTCAATTTATCTAACCGATTCAAAGGGGGATGTAAAATTAAAATAGAACTTTTTATCTTAACTCATAAATTTAAATTTATTTTATTATTAAGATCTTATAATTTTGCATATCTGCTAAATAACAGTTATCACAATAAACGTAATGTATCTGTGAATATAAAGATAATATATCTCTAAGATTAAATATTCACATATTTGTTAGAATAATTATTCAATATATTTGTATTTATGTTGCAAATAAAGAAAATATGATTAATGCTTAATAAATTCATTCCTGAAATGATATTATTATCTCCAAGTTAAATATTGCATTATAACCAGTTTGCAATTAGATACATAAAATTCATAATTTGATAATCTAATGTTTATTAAAACAAAGATTATTGCAATTTAATAGATCTGGAAAATTTTAGAGAAGAAAATCCAATAATTAAGATTTTAATCATCCGCAAATCCAATAATATATAATTCAAAAATCCTTCAAAATATTTCTACGAAAAGATTTAATAAAATTTTCAGTAATTTTTGAGAAAAGTGAATTAGAAGTGCTCAGCCTCGATATTTTTTCATTGCTAGTTCTGATATAGGCCATCTGAGATATAGGGACAGTGTTATAATTTTATTTTAATTTTTATATTAATTATTTTTAGGATAAAAAAGAAGTAAAAAATACAATAAAATATCTTGATTAACTTATGCTTTATTTTATCTTTACAAAAATAAATTAAAGTTACTTGTCACTACTAAAATCTAATATTTGAAAATATTACTATTAAAAATTGGATATCAAAAACAAATTCCCAAAGGAAAGTGCAATAGTTATAGATACAGTGATTATTATAATTTAATGAATATAAAAAATCATTCCTTAATGTATAATTATACTTTTGATCTAAATACTTCAATTGCCTATAACATTATATCTTTAGCTTCATATTATCCTACACTTTCGATAGAGACTATACTTAAAATCTATGATGATTACAAATAAAGTGATTATCTATTTTATTTAATTCAACATCCTTCTCAAATCCATTTGCTTCTCTTACACATTCTCTACAAGTAGTGCAGTTTCTTGGATTCACAACTTTTATTTAGTTTCCTTTCACTCCAAATACTTTCATAGGACATAGAGATGCCAACTTCTCTTATCTTTAAGCATCTAATTAATTTTTTATAGTAATAGATGGCATTAATTTATAAAAGGCTGTGCATACAGGAGACCTAAAATGAATTTATGTGATACCATTTTGCATGTCTTTTACCTACTCCTTTTTCACAAATCAATCTTAAATTGAGTTCTTGATTTTCCCTCAATTTAGCAATAATAATATTTGAATGAACTGGTCGAATTGGATTAGCAGCAAACAATTTAGCTTATTGTCCTTTTGGTTACCAAATTAAACTGCTTGAATGCACTGTTGTATTAGTATATTGTTATTCAATAGGGTCATCATGCTTACTATTTGGTTTTTTTTCACACTTCGCAACTAATGTAAAATCTATTGAATTCAATTCATTATATTCTTCTTAGTCATCTTTCTCAATAAATTACAAAGGATCTGCTATGATTGGTATCAATCTTATATGGTTTCAATTTTCATTACCCCAATCTGTGAGCTAATACTTCATCTGGTATAACACTGGTGTTTTGGATTACTTGAACCTTATGAATTGCCATTGTTGGGATCTCTATTTACATAAGGAATTACTTCAGCAATCATAATTCTTCTTAAGGAATTAGCAATTGGAGCATCGATGTTTATTATCTCAAATACTATTTTCTCATCTGTTTTCGAGAGAATATTAATTTCTAAATCTCTTTAAAATTATTTAATATTAAATCTTTCCTATTTAAAAGGCTACATAGTATAGGATATTAATTTTACTTTCATTATTTGATCCTCCTTAAATTATAGTTTATGCTAATCCATTAATTTATTTTTAATTAAAAACTAAAATATTTTTATATATAAAACAACTTTCATGTTTCATTTGAGAAAGTCTGCTCTAAAAGCTTCGAATAATCAGGAATCAGATCTAATATCTCTTATAATCCTGGTCTTCCTACATCATTTAATTAAAATTGAGAAGTTCCTCCTCTTGGAACTGGAGACTTGTCTTAAGAGACATCCACATATTCAAACATAGGGTATTCAATCACAAAATTATATTGGTCAGACATTCTAATCATAGACAACATAAATACTAAATGTATGGCTAATACTTGGTCCAAATTAATGTATAGAGCTTAATTTAATCAAGGAAAGCATTCTTTAATTCCTAAGACACACCTACTTCATTAATGTTTATTTTGGATGGGGTTGCCATGCCATTCAAATCTTTCTAGCCTTGGACATGCTATAATCTTTAATATTATTTGATTTTACTCTCTTTCAAGAAGGTAATTCACACTGTTTTTATCCAAAGCAGTTTCGATTGAACTAAATTATTGAGCAGGGCTATCAAAATCAAAAATTAATACACTGAATCAAATTCGAAATTCTTTTAAAGTGGGCATTAAAATCCTTAACATAATTCATTGTATAATTGATCAATTGAATGTTTATTAACAGAGGACATTCTCTAAATATTGAATAGCAGTTTACCAAATTTTGATTATTAGCCTGATCGTTTACTTCCTTAACTTAAGTCTCATTATTTTCTTATTCTTGAATTACTTCACCTTCTTCAAATTCATCTTCATCATCATCATTATTTTAGATCTACTAAATTTCTTAATTATCATTTTAAATTTCAATCTCTTCTCCACTCACAAAATCATCTTCATCAATTTTTTATTGAACTTCCTCAACTAGTTTATCATCTTTATCTAATACTATAATTTCTTCTTCTGATTGTGTATCACTATTATGATTTAAATATTGTTATTATTAATCTTATTATTATTATTATTATTATTATTATTATTATTACTCTTATTATTGTTATTATTACTCTTATTATTGTTATTATTACTCTTATTATTGTTGTTGTTATTCATCTTGTTATTATTCTTATTCTTATCTTTGTTATTCTTATTGTTATTATTATTATTATTATTATAACTAATATTCTTATTATCCTTGCTCTTATTATTCTGATTCTATTTATTTATCTTCGATTTAATTATTTTACTCCTATATTTTCATAACATTTTCTTCTACATTTTCAATTTATATTTCTTCTCCTTCCTCAAAATCCTCGTCATTTTATTATGTATTTTCATCTTTATGTATACTTTATTATTAAATATTATTATTGTCTACTGCTACTTGTTATTATAATTCAGGATTTTTCATTTCCTCTTCTACATGGGTTTCTTATTATTATTCGATAATTTATTAATTTTCGATGCTTTTTTAACTCTGCTATTCTTGGCTCTAAGTTTGATCAAAGAATTGTACTTGAATTTCATTATCTTAGATTTGCTGTTCTATTTCTGTTGAATTTGGTTAATTATCTTCTGTAATTATTATTTATTCTTCTTCATCATCATCCATCTCATCAACTTTTTTAGATTGATTTTATTGCTCAGTGCTAATTTCTTCTTATTTGCTGGAATTTTTATTTTAGATTTCTTCTCCATCAACAAAATCATCATCATCAAATTGATCACTCATCAATAATTAAAATTTATGAATTAATAAATGTATATTATTTCATATATTTGATAATCAATTCGGTAAACAAATGGTTTTGGAATTATAATGTGCATATAATAATAGGTAGAGGTTAATCAATGTAGAAACATGAGAAAAATAAATGAAATAGTGTAAAATAATTTAAATACTTCATTTAAGACAGAACTTAAGCAAAACACTAGAATAAATAATATCTATATAATTAACATTTTTTTCAAATATTCTATTTCACCCTCTTTGAATACTTTTTATTCCTAATGGTTATCATATTTAATATATATATATATGTATGTATTTATGAATTTATAATATAGATAATAAAATTAGGAAAAACACTTAGTTTACATTTTAATTATATAATCATTAAAATCCTCCAGTTTAAGAGTTAATAAGTTTAATATTTTTAGAACTCAATGTTTTTTATAATTATGGATTAAATTAAATCTATTATTAGAATTATTATTAATTGTTTGTTTATTATTAAAATTACTATTATTATTGATTACAGGATTGGTATTATTAATTATCTGAATATTATTATTGACTATAAGGTGGAAATTATTATTAATTTGTCCATTATTATTGATTATTAGGTGTATTGATGTAACTATTTTGTTATGGCTAGGGAACATTATAATAATTACAATTTTAGTTATAGTTTTAGTTAAAGTTTTAGTTATAGTTTTAATTATAGTTTTAGTTAAAGTTTTAGTTAAAGTTTTAATTAAAATTTTAATTAATGTTTTAACTAAAGTTTTGTTATATTTATTAGTTAATTTATTAAGATTATGCAAAATTACTTTAATCCAAATTTTGAGAATTCAATTGTTATTAATAATAAGGTTATTTATTTTCTTAAACTTATGAAAAAGGAATGCAATTTTAAGCTGGAGGTATATAATTTTATTATTATTAATTAATTAATACCTAGCTCTAGACTGTTTCATTACTTAATATCCTAATTTTTTAACTTTTTGTAGGGCTTGGACTGGAATCATAATTATTATTTTAAGCAAGTCCAGCCAAATTGGGTGAGCTGCCCCCTGAAAATAAGTCTAATGTAGAACTTCGTTATAAAACTTTTTGGTATTGATTATTACTTTAATCTTATTTTTCAATATTAGTATTTGATTTAATTTTTATTTTATTTTCGGCTTTGAATATCGATAGCTAACTACAAACTTAGAATATATCAGGCCTTTTTTCTGGATCTTTGAGCAAGCATTAAGCAATAATATCTATGAATCTACTATCATAATTAAGAGATGACAATTATATTTGGATAGCCTATTTGCTATAAAATGAATAATGCTCATCATCTTTTAATAACCTTGGTGATTACTTTCCAATATATTTTCCTTTATTTGCAAGAATATATATAATCAAACCTAACTAGAAGATATCATATTTTGAGGTTAATTTTGTTTCAGGGGGATCATATTTAGCGGTGAAAGCGCAATCACCATTGGTACAAGTTATATCTAATTCATCATTAATTTACTTAGAGCAGTCAAAATCACCAACATAACTGAATGATTAAGACATATTCTCATTATCAAGGAAAATATTCTCAGGTTTCTAATCTCTATGAATTATATTTTTTTCATGCAAAATTTTTAATGCTAAAATAAAACAATCGTTATACAATCTGCAGTTCTTGATGCAATGACATAAACATCTTTTCTTATTGAATCGAGAGTTTATTCTTTTTTAGGCCAATTCTTAAATCTATCTGCTAATGTTCCAGTAAACTTCCTGTAAAGTAAAAATGCATGTTCTTTAATTCTTAAATATGTAAAACAGGAGGCTACGTTGTCCTTATTTGAGAATAACTCCATCAATTCGATATCTCTTTAAATTTACTTTATCAGTTATTTTTATGATTCTTCATTACCTTTAATTTCAGTTGATTTATAGACAATATCTTCAGTTAAATTAGGATAAATAGAGAAGAGTCCTTTTTTCTTAAATTATTTTACAATACAGTTTCCATTATATAATTTATGAAATCTATCAATATTCAATAGATATTGTAGAACTTTTTCATAAGGAGGACTATCTAACAAGGGGGTTTTGTGAAGATCTCCATTTTTTACAAACAAATATTAAAGTATATCATCAAAACTTTATGCGAATCTTAATTATGCAACATCATTAAACTTATAGCTCAAATGTTCATTAAAAAAGGACCAGAAACTTTATAAATAGTTAAACGGCTGATTAAAATTTTCAAATCCATATTCCAATAATGAAAAATAAATTATTCCTTAAATATAATATATTTGATTAATAGACTTAAGTTCCCAATAGATTTTCCTTCTCTCAAATTCAGCAAATGCTAATGTAAATATCAGAAAAACATACTTAGGACAAGTTAGAGTAGAAATTTTTATCCCTCATCATAAGTCAAGTTGGGCAATTTCTCTTTAGTAAAAAGATGCTCATAAAGGTTTTCATAGATAAGGCAGTGTTCATATTCAGTTTAAAAATACTACTCAGGTTGTAATATAGTTAAGAATTTTAGAGTTCTGTACTTTAATAGAACCTTCTCGTCAATATTATTCTTAGAAATTCTAATAGAAACTAAATTGGACTTTTATTTTTCTTATTGATAAGCTGGAGCAACAAGGCAAACATTATTTTTTATTCCGAACCTGTTTGCATATCCTAATTCCAATAATAAATATTAAGAAGATGGATCCTGGCTATCCATGAAATTCTATAAATAATTAATAAGTATTTTTTTTAATTGTTAAGATTTTAAAGTGAAAAAAGATTTACTCAATTTGAATATTTCTCGAAGTATATTATGATATTTTTATGAGATTATAAAAATAGATCTAAAACATGAAGATGATGAAGTATTATTTATGATTACCAAAATTTTAATGGTTTTTAATTTGTTCTACTTTTAATAATTTATAATGATATTGGAGTAATAATTTCAATAGAAAGAAATAGATATCAACTTGATCTTAATTGATGAGTTAATATAAATTATTTATGAATCTAAATATGTCTATCTTTTCTTAATTCATATCCCAAATTATACTATTAAAAACAAATTGTTTCATTTTTCTTACTAATTCATACCACCATAAATCAAATTTCTTTTACAAATAAATAATGAATGCAATAAATGAATGCAATAAATGAATGCAATACTTAATCAAAAATGGGTTATTGAATAGGAAATTAATTAAATAATTATTTAATGCAAAATAAATACATACCAATTACAAAAAATATACCTAAAACAATTTTGAATAGAAGGTTTAAAAAACTATAAGAATTGATTGAAAAGGAGGAATACTTTAGCGAGGAATAAATTAGAATGAGAGATGTACTATAATTTGCAATTTTAGATTATAGCCATTATTATATTTTATCTATGTCGGACAGTACATTCGTAATTAGAACAAAAGGCCAGATGGTAATATAGTTTTATCAGAAATATTGATCGATCAAATTTAGAAATAAGAATACGAAATTCATTTATAAGAAATGTATGATAAATTAGGTCCAAATCATGATTATCCAAGTATTTTTATTTGAAACGCATTAGATTTAATGATTGAGGCAAGAATAAAGGATGCAGACTTGGAGGATCAGGAAGACATATTAATACGATTGATGCATGATAGATTCATCAATGGATTAGACAAAGATTTCATAGATTACTAATAAATTGATTAAAATGAGTACATTTAAACCTAATTATAGAGATTATGATGATTAAAAATAGATGAATTTAGATATGGAGGAGGAATATTTTGAAAATCTAAAGGGGGATGTAAGAGAAGAAGAAGTGAAATAGTCAGAATATACAGGAATTCAGGATTATTGAAATTAATTAATAAAAAATATATAATCATTCATTCATTCATGAAATGTATCTTTCATACCTGTAGGTTGATTATTGATGTTATCAATAATGTGTTTTATTCTATCCTATATTTTTTCTAGAGAATCATTCATGACTTTCATTTTCATTTCTATTGCTTCCTAAATTTCATTCCCCTTTTGCTGATCATCCATGTCTTCCTCAGCAAATCTCGCTCTAATACTATAGAATATTACTCTTACCGCTTGATGGGCATCCAACTGATATCTTTCATATCAATTTTCTCCTTGATGTAAGACTCATTACCATTATAATCATTTTCGTCCTTGTGCTTCAGATATGCATAATAATAAATGTAATTCCACATATAATGTTCTTATTCGATATGTTCTTAAAACCCCACACCTCCTCCTTCATCGTTCTTTTCAAACTTTTCCCTTGTTATACCACAAATAAAACATTTCATAGTCTAATCCTTGATTCTCTCCTAAAGCTTTTCTCTCAGAGAACCAAAAGTATCGACTATGATACCTTGAATCATATTCAACATAATCATCACTAACACTATATTCACCGCATTATCAAATATAAATCGACTAACATAATTGGATGTAAATGAATGGTCCACTCCATCATACTCATTCTGTGCTTATTTAACTCTATCCCATGGATTGTTTATCATATCAAAATTTTGAGTCAGAGTAGTAATTGTATTATAGTCCATTATTCCTGAACCCAAAGCTCCTGTAAATTTAAAGGTTAAGTCGAAACTCATAAAAATACACTGCCACATTGTACTGCATCCTCTTTCACAATTTATATGGTCATTATCTGATAATATTTCACAACCTAACCCATCCACTATTGGGTAATCATTAAAGAATATCACAAATCCTAATATGCCCACATAATACTCAATAACTGCCAAAAGAAGTAATGCTAATCCAATTTCTTCTCGAGGTCCCCATATTGCATCTAAGACTGTCTTCAATTATTACAATTTTAAAAAGTCCATTAAATGAAAAGCAAAGAAAAAAGGATGAACTGTCAAACCCACTATCCCTGCAATTATGTAGATTGAATAGTATAATATATCAGGATCCTGCAACAAAATAAAAAAACTTTTAACACTTCTGATACTTACATCATATATAGTGCTTATTAACTTTTTTTACTTTTGATAATCTTCCCATATATGATCCACCTTTAGAGGAGCTCTTTTCACCAAAAAAAAGAATACAATTAATGAACTGAAAACAAGCATCGTTATTCCTAATCCTTAAATCATAATGGGAGTCCATGTTGATTATTTTATTCCAAATATTCTCGGATCTTGAAGTCTTTCATATATTAAGTCTCCTGAATTCCCTTAATCCCCACTATTATAAAAGTCTTATGAGTAACTCAATAACACAATGAAATTGATTACTAAAGTAGTCACAAAAGCCAAGTTCTCCCATAACTTACCTTAGGAAGCAAAAAAGGCAAATATGGGATTCTTTGCAAAGATTTAATTCAATTTTTCTTCGTAAATCATCACTTTTATTAAAAAGTTGGCTCTCTCCATTAAATATGTCAATTTAGTTTTACTACTAGTTCTATTGACTTGATCATGAAATTCTAGTCTTGCACTTTTTGGTAGATTGCATATTGGTAATTTTGGAAAGTAAATGGTATATAATTTCTGATCTCTTATCATATCAATAGAGCATGTATTCTATCTAAAAAACCTAATTGCATCTTTTGTTAATCTTTTTTACTCTATCTTCTCTTGTAGTAATTTTTCTTAGATTACTTTGTCTTATTTTTGTTCTTCTTCAGATTTTTAAGTTAAGGCAATCTATCCTATGAAGTTACCTCCCATTTTGGCTATATTTTCTAAACCTAAAAAAATGTGGGCTATTGCATTTTCTTCAACCTTATTTTTCTCAGAAAATTCATTCAAAACATCATTCATCTCAGTATCTTCATACAGTAATTATTTTGCTTTTTAATTGCCTAAAAATTATTGCATCAACAGTAATATAAAAAAGCCATTTTCAATTATAAACTCATAATATTCTGGGGGTTGCTCATTTGTAATTTTGGCTTCAGCCCTTGAAAATAATTCCTCATTGTAAGTTCCTCCAAAATTCTTGAATAACTTGTAAACTCGAGTTAAGTTGTTTGTCAATACATTTAAGGGTATTACTCTTACCAATCTGGCTATATCAGAATTCTAAGGTTCACAACACTCCAATAGAGATACTAAGCAATTTAAACATTTAAACTTTAGTCTTGCTAATTAGCCAGGATGAATTGATATGCGATACGATTTCTCTCCATCATATTTAAAATACTCATTTGATTACTCAAAGATCTTCTCATCCTCTGATATTATCAAAACTACATATTCCAATAAATTGCTTTTTAAGAGGGTTTATTGATTCTGTTTGCAAGGTCCTTATATTAGTTCTGTCAAGGTCTCGAAGCATTACAAAACACTTTCATAATTGGCCTTAGATATTTGAAATGTATAAAGCAATAAAATAATCTATGATACCAAGTCGTATGAATTTTTCTGATTAAATTGTGATCTCATATAATTTTGTAGATCTTAATTATGTCCCTCACAAAATAACTAAATAAGTTTAAGTGCCTTGCAGACTAATTTATTCTCTTAATAATTTAGTTTATGAGCTCTACTCATTGATAGTATTTGAATATCAAAAACATCCTTAAACTACTTGAAGAATTTTTCACATTAAGAATTTGACAAGAAATATTCATATGCTGTTCGTTACACATGTGAATTCCCATTTTTTAAGAGTAAAATCATAAAAGACATTAGTGTTCCCATATAAACAGGCTCAAGTTCTGATTCGCACAATAACACTATTAGTATCTAAGTGACATTCATTCTATTAAATAAAACTTATCTTTCAAATAATTCATTTTCAGTGTCTTTTAAGATGGCAGATAACACCTTCAAAATAAATATAATATTTTCTCTACTAGCTCCATTGGTTCTCCAAAATTCTAAGTAAGTCAGAATCTTCACTATAATATCAGAGTTTGTCAACAAGAGGTCTTTAACTTCTTTTGTTTTGTCATCCTTAAACATCTTTTAGATCGTCCAAATAGAATTCGACAACTTTAGGGATTCCTTTTTTACTAAATCCTTAACAAATTCTTATCCAAAATATTACTTTCTAAATTGACTGATTTACGAATTATCTTATTGAGATTGACTTTAGGTTTATAAGTCAGAAGTCCTTTCGTCTTAGACATTATTGTTGATTTCAGATTAAACGAATTTAATAGGTACTTAAATATTAAAACTTTAACCTAAATCTGAGATTGTTTATAATCGTTATTTGTTATTAGTCAATTCTGATGGCGCTAAGAAAAACATCCTATCAAGATTGCTTAGAAAGAAATTAACGAATTGGCTTATTTGAATCTAATCTTTTTCTGAAGACATCAAAGCATTTTATAGGAGCTCATTATATCTATTCACTACTGGCAATAAGGAATCGAATAGATAATTCAAATTTTATGGTACAAATTAATCTTTCTATATAATGGCTTAATGTTCAAATTCTAATATCTTGTTTAAAGTATCTGAATTAGATCTGAGCATTAGATCATCCAATGTTTCATGTTTATGAAAGATCATAAATTTTATTATGTTCCAGTAATCACTCTGTAATTGAGTATCTTCAAAATTAGGTTTCTCCTTTTATTTGATGCATTCCAATATTCTGTGCGTCACTTTCAAAGTATTTTCTAAAACATCTTGCAATTTTAAGAATTCGATTGCCTAGTTTATTAATGATGCCTTAATCTTCTTTGATAAACACTTAGATAATATATTAATGAATAGATAGCTATATTTAGTCTTATTGGGCAAATAATCAAAGAAACTTGAAACTCTGTTATTATCCTAAAAGGGATACAATGGATGAATGAAACCTGATTCAGTTGGCATCATTGGTTCAGTAAGTTTTTCAATAACAATTTCAAACATATCTACAGATTTTTTAGAATGTATTTCTGTCACTTCCAAAATCTCAAAATAAAATTGCAAAAACTCAGGGTATCTTCCATGTTGTTTTATCAAAATAATGAAATAATCATATTCCTGTTATCCAAGTTGGCCATACAAAGTTGGCTTTTTTTCAAATAAAGAACACAATAAACTAATTTATCCAATATTTTAATTGGTGTTCTCAATAACCTTTTTAACAACCTTTCTATAAACAGTTAATACATTCCGCTCGTTATCCTTTGCGAATAATCCCATAATATTCAAAGTATGCTTTAATAAAGCAATTAAATCCGGGTGAAAAGACTTTTAATCTATCACAACTAAAGATTTATAAATTAATTCTAATAAGACTTCATATCCACCTATGTGCTCAAAAATTTATTGTTTTAATTTTAATGAGACGCTCTCAGTCTATTGAAATATGCTATCAATTTTCCATAAGCATTAAAGAGTCTGTTCCATGATTCTATTCTTCTCTGTAATCCATGTTTAACTTCTTTGTACATTGTTCTTCAATGATGCTATCATTTTTACCCAAACCTTAAACAATTACTAGGATTCATTTGTATCTAATATCTGGATGTTATCAAAGTGTTATAAGAACTCCTTTTTTTATCTGGCAAATCTTTGGATCAATTCCACTATTTAGTTTTCTAATTACGGATTTCGTGCAAAATATAAGGAAATTAACAACACTTCAATAAAAGGTCTTTTGAGGACTTCATCAAAGCTTTTCAGAGTAGGACCAGATTGTCTAATAGGCTTCCTTTCCAATTCAGGCTTCTCTACCCACTGTTCTCCTGACATTAAGATTTCTTGAGGAAACAATTTAATTAAGTCTTCCTCATTGATTTCATCATTCATTTATTTATCCTGAATATGGGATTTATAAAACTCAATTGCACTGTCAATCCAATAATCTTATGAAACATCCATCAAATATGAAAATATTTAACAGATCTGTATTTTTATCAGGACTTAAAAGTCTTCCTCCTTATTTTCTCTCAAAGTGAAGGTTTTGTTATTATATCTATGGAGGACTTTTCTTAAATTTTTCATTTTTTTGAATAGTGAATCATTTATAACTTCAGTGTCTTATTATTTGACTTGCCTAAAATTTGAATTCTAGATTTCTTGTTCCTCCTTTTCTTTATCTTCTTTTTCGAAAACTTGACTGATACCTGAAATGTTAAATTTCATAAATCCTTGGTCCTTATCTTTATCAACTTAAAAATTCCTTTTAATTTTGGCATTATCAAGACATTTGAAATATTAATGATCATATTCAAGTATTTTAGAGAGAGCTGTAATTAATTAATAAATTTCTCTCAAACCACCCCCAGTCTCTTAAACCTTATTGAATACTGAAGTTCCTCTTTTCTGAGTAGATTTCTTTGAAGCAGGTACTTCACTTTCCTTCTTCCAAAATAATTCAAATTTCAACATAAGTTCTAAAATTTTAATGATTTCCAAAGTCTCCATATTGTAAACCTAGTTTTCATCTAAGTTCTTGTCCAATTTTTCTGATTGATTAGTTAAATATTTAAGCATCTTTGTTTTTAACTTTTAAATATCAAAATCCCCTTTCACTTGCTTTTTACTGGATGCTTCATCAAATAAAAATAGTTATTTCTAAGTAGTTTTATTTTCTAAAATTCTGACCAACTCAGGTTTAGGTGTAGTAGTATATGGTTCTCTGTCTATGTACAAAGTTCTGATCATTCTGAAGAAATACGCCCTTACCTATTCATCCACATAATATGAATCACCAGAGGATTAATTATTTTATTCAGCATATGATAACAAAAAGGAATAGGTGAATGTTTTTGAAATTAACTATCTGGCTGCTGTATTTCGATGAAAACAAATATTAGAATAGAATGCTAGAGATTCAATTAGATAATTGTATTGTAACACATAAATTGGGTCGAACTCTCGTTATTATCGATAATCAATTAGAAATTCATTCAGCATTTTAGTTACATATATTTTATTCGATGTTTTATAGGTAATATAAAACTCTACGTAATCTCCTTCTTAATCTTTTATTGGTTCCAGATTCATTAGTACTTTATCTTCCCCTTAATCATTCTTAACCTTTTAATGCAGAGATTAAATTTGATTCAATAAGAATTCTTAGTTTGAAAACACAGGTTCTCCATTAGCTTCGCAAGTTTCAGATATAAATCTAAGTAAATAAGGTTACAATTAATCACTCTTTTACAGACTATCTACTAATCTGGATAAAATGGTGCTTTGACTTTTTTGGACTTTCTACTCTAAACTCATATTTTATGTTTATTTCATATCATTTGGTAATTCTTATTTGTTCAATGAGCTCAAAATAGAATAGTTTTTTGTAATGCATAGGATGATAGTATTGCATACATAGTCAATTGAAATGTATTTTTCAAAATATTTGAAGAATTTCATTATAATTTCTTAATTCTACAAGTTGTTATGACAGGCTATTCTGATAGTTTCAAATAATTTTAGCTATAGAAGTCTCTTTCTTTTTCTGTGATTTTCCTCCAAGTGTTCCTTCAACTTTTGCACCTTCCTCTCATATTCAAGATCATTGGATTTATCTACTTTTTAATGAAGCATAGTTTAAACTCTAAGAATGAAAGAAGCCTCTCCGCATAAATCACTAGTGAGGGTCTATTCAGATCCTTCAGTCTTTTCATCTGGAGTGGGAAAAGTCTTACAAATTAGCCAAATTAATAAAGGCAAGATGTTTTCTTCTCTGATGACATCTTGCCTATTCTGCGAGACAAATGAAAAATCTTAAGTGGTTTGGATATTGCTGACTAATTTATTGTACATAAATTGATTCAAAATATCTAATAGAGAGCTAAGTTTATCAAATAAGTAGTAGAATTCTATTCTTTCTTATACCTCACTCTTCTTCATGTATACTATACTTGCAAGTGGCTGAACTCTCTCAAAAAATGAGATGGCCTCTTTCAACATTGGTACTAAAAACACTAAGAATCTTTTTTCCCAAACATCCTCATAATCAGCTTTTCTGAATTTCATAATATTAATCAAGTTTATATCAGTAGAAGTACTAACATCCTTCATGTGCAATTCCTGGTCATTCTTTAGAGAAATATAACTTCCTGTTTGGAAATGTTTAATTAGAAAGTAAGAATCCTTACTGACAAATTTAGAATTCTACTTAATGGGAACAAACTAAAATAAAGTACTCTTCGGAACTTAATCTGTAAGTCTGACTTACCGCATAATGTTGATGTCCAAATATTAGCCTGTTTGAAAATGCCTTATTCTGTAGCACTTCTCCCATTTGACTTCTCCTCCACTAAAATTATCAGATTCTATCCTCCAATAAGCACTAAATGGGATTCTAACTTTATCTGATTTGTTGCTATTAAAATCACTAAAATGGATTTTCAGTTCTGAGTACAAAGCCTAATCTATCTCCTTGACATTTTTGGAGGGTTAAATAATTTAAGATGATCGAGATTGCATGGATTTCTATCTTTCATAAAGGTTGCTATTGTTTTGAGAATCGGATTTATTATTCCTCTATTCATTTTTCCCCACCTCCTCGCTGACTTACCTTGAAATAGCACCTTAAGCGATTGGAAATAAGGTTTGCTATTTTGTTAATACAAATTTGTCCTGAATCAGATTGCTGATGTCATCCCCAGAATTCCGATCAAGGATTTCCTTTACCTTTTCCTATATATCTTATGTTTTCTTAGCATTAAAATACAACTAAGGATTTATTAAATTGTTACGTTCAACTCAGGCAAATTGAATATGGCCACATCGCCAACAAAGAGAGTCTCTTAATTCTCTTTCTAATTTTAAAATATCATTATTCTCCATTAAGTTGAGTCTTCAACAGAGGCAATCACCTTTGCTCTGTACACTTCATCTTCATATTTCTATGGTTCATCGTTTAATTCATAATAGTTTAATCCCCAATAATCACTAAACAAATTTGCAGTTCTATTGCACACTTGCTTATTCGCTGAAATGCAAACCACATCACCGCTGTAAACTACATTGGTTCTCAACTTCTAAAAATTTAGACAGGGATTAAACTTCAATAAAGTATTGTCGTTCGGAAAATCAATTAACTTAAATTGAATGGCCTCCAAATTGTTGTCATCCAAAGCCAGAAATTTCAAAGAGGAAACATGAACTAAATGAAAAATAGAAGAGCTAAACACCAATGGAGTTCCTGCTAACTTATTATTGAGAGATATGTTAGAAGACAATTCATTTTCTAAATTCAACAATGTTGTTTAAATTTTATGCTTTCTATCTTTCTATTCCAATTCTTCAAATTTGTTAAAACTAGAATCCTTGAATTATTCGATCAGATCATGATGAGCTCTGTAATTTAAAACTGGAAATATTCGAAAAACACAATTTTAGTAATCTTGATCTAAGTCTCCTTTTAATTAATGAAATGATCTCAAATTAAAATTCTATGAGCTGAATCCATTGGTGTAGAGTGATAAATTTGGAAATGCACTCATATTCAAGACTATCAAAGAAGAATATGTAATTGGTTCAGGATTCATTTAATTAATTATATTATAACTTCTCATTTTTACATTAACATTTTTGAGATTCCTTTGAAATCGTCTAAACTCGATTCTAGACCATTGTTAATAATAGTATAAATAAAATTTTAAATCTAGATCTCTTTATTTCCATCAAATATGCCTAAATATTCAAGAGTGAAAACATGAGGTGCATGAATTTAAATTAATCCTATTAAGATAAATACAGAAAATTTTATATATATATTATTTGCACTATAAATACCCTTAAGTAATAATGTAAATGAGTAATATTTCTTATTTGATCTACAAGAATTGAAATTATCTTTATTCTATCATTTGCTTTATTTCATCTTTCATTCATCAAAATTAGCATTTGTTATATAATAATTTATTTATTTTGATAATAATGAGTACATTAAAATGGATTGAATTTATTTCTAAAACATCTTGATTAAATTGAAAGAAAAAGAATTTAAATGAGTTATTTCATATTGTTCTGTTTTGAATATTAGAATTAAATTTATAAAGTATTAAATTAATTAGTGAAAAATATTAATGTTAAGCACAGGATAAATAGAATTCATTAAAGGAGGAATTGTAGTTAACATAAGGAGTGATGGACGTAAAAATAATGAAGTGAGAGAAACTAAATTGTTGAGATCTCATCTTATATGTACTAGTGGTTCATGCAAATATGAGGGAGAAATCACAATCTACACTGGAATTAAGTTGGAATTGGGCGATTAGTCATAAATTAAAATAAATGTAAGTTCAATGAAGAGAACAAATGATGAAAAATAAAAAGCTTAGTATCTTTAAGAGCTATTAGAATCTCTTTATAAAACTGATATGAGTGAGTTAAAGGTTGGTCAAAAAGGATGGGTGTTGGTTGTTGAAGTGTTTCTATTATGCTAAATAGATATTGCTTACTTAGAGGCTATTTGTACATCCATATATGAGGCAATGGCTGATTTAAAGATACCAACCATTAAAGTTACTAAGAATCTATTGACAGAAATTGAGGAGTATGAATTATAACCTAATGAACCAACCAAATCATTTAAATGTGATAAAATTTACGTTGTTGGTAAGGTTGGAACAGAATTAGTAAAGGATATGAGTTTAGAGGAGTTTTATTCAGTGGATCAGAAATTGATATTGGCTTAGGGAAGAAATGGGTATAACAAATTGAGAACATTTGATAGTTGTGGATTTGATGGTGATGATTTATTGAGAGTGTTAATGTTTATAAAATGATATATTAATTAATTACATATGTCTGTATACTTTTATATTCCAAATCTAATTGGATATGCAAGAGTGATATGTGCTCTTCTCTTTTGCTACACAGGAAGCTTTGATCCAATTGTCTCAGCTGTTGCTTACTCTGTGAGTTAATTGGGTGATCTTTTTGATGGAATGGCTGCCAGAAAATTCAATTAATGCAGTGTTTTTGGAAGTGTCTTAGACATGGTATTCCTTTCGATTAATATCTCTAGGTCACTGATAGATTCTCTAATGCTTGTTTGTTGGCAGTACTCTATAAATTATATCCCACTATTGGATTTTTGTTTTTATGGGCATTAGCCTTGGATTTATGTAGTCATTGGTATCAGATGTACTCAACTTTATATTGCAATGAAAAACATCACAAAACAGCAGTCTCTAAATACAAAATACTAGAGATTTACTACAAAGTACCATACATGCTATTTATCATGGTTTTATTAAGCGAAGTAATTATAATTCATATTTACATTAAAGACTGCAATGGTAACTTTGTATTTGAATGTATTTATTGATTGGTTTGTCATTTAAGCACTAATGTACATTTCAGTTCCATTCTTATGCTTAAAACATGTAAAATTTTTAATCATCATTAAATAGTATATCAATTTTATTCAATTGCTGAGTGCTTCAGATAAAATCATAGAAAAAGAATCAAACATTTATTGATTGTATAATAAAATAAATTATTCATTCAAATACAGAATCACCTAATAATATATAATTATTATTTCTAATTTTTAGAATATTTTGTGATAGATTTTAGAGAACTGCAACCAGAATTGAAGTAAAGACTTGTATATAATTTTCGATATTCAAATTACATAATTTTTTAAGTGTTTATTATTTTCAAATGTCTTAGGAAAACATATAATAAAAAAAATGCATCCCCTATATCTAAAAGTATCGTTAAATAAGTGAATAAAAAGTTCTCATTTCTCCAATGATTAGTGTTTTTCTCCATAAATTTGATAATTTTTGTTTAGAATTGCTTTAAGAACCTATATAATTTGCCTCTTCTCATCCAAGCAATCCATAATAATTGATTTAAATTTTAATCAAGCAATTTATATATATTTTAATTACTTAAGATCTTGATGCTCGCCATTTATGAACTTTTTAATTAACTATATTTATTATCTGTCTATTATTTCTTTAATGAAACATACAATTTAATTATTTAATAATGAAAACTTAAACATCCAAAAACTCACATAGACAGATGTTTATCGTTAGAAATGAATCAGCCGCCTTATCCAGAAAACCTCATTTATATTAATCATCCCCTTAACCGCCTATATAATTTATGATTCATGGCAAATCCCTTGCTCCAACTAAATTTAAGCCCTAAAGCAAACCAACTCCGAAAGAAATTAAACTAAAGTAAACTCTGAAATCTGTACATATTATATCCTTAATCCACATAGATCAAATTTAAGTTGCAATCTTTGAAAATTGAATAGTCATAAATTAAGAAATAAGTCATTTAACAATCATAAACTTTCAGATCTCATTTGCAACAAATATCTTCCGCTCAAGAATTAAATATTAACGCAATCCAATCATATTTTAAAGAACAAAATAAGTATCCATTTATTACTATTTTTTCTCCAGCTTCTTTCAACAAGATATTTCCAAACTCAAATAGTAAATCGAAGTAATAAACTATCAAGTTCAATTTTTACAATGAAATACATATTAATGTATGTTATCTTATGTAACTCTTATCCATTTTTCTTATTGCAATTTATTAGGGCCTTAGGGAATTTGATTATCTTCAATTTTAATGAATTTTGAAATTCTATTTTTGCTTAATTATGGTGCGATGCTTTAAAATATCTCTCTTCAATTAGAATGGAAAATATATAAAAATTATTCTAACTAAGTTAAGCATTTAAACGCCATATTCCATCGAAATTCTTATTTTTCCTATAGCTTTAGAGGTATTTAATTGAAAAAGTCCTCATAACATATTAAGTTTAAGATATATAGATAAATTAATTTTGTAAATTTTTTGGTTTCAGTAAAAATGGAAGGTTGATGATTTTAAAATTATAATATTTTCAATCTTAATTTAAATATCCTCGAAATTGATTATTCTGTCCTTATCCATTGAAAAACAAACAATATAGGCACAATCATAATATAATAAATTTAAAAAATGGAAAATCTATAAAAATTTTCATAATATTTTTAATGGAATTAGCTTAGATAATATTTTTTAGTTCTTTTTTTAAAAACTAACAAATTTTGATAATGAATTTTAAGAAAAATCAATTGATTATTAAAATTATAGTAATAATTTTCAGAGTACTAAACAATTTCAACTGATCCTTCATCATTATAGATAAACAAAATGGATAGTTTGGACGTTATAATTATCATATTAAAATGAAAATAACATCTATTTAATATCAATTTCCATTTTCAGATATTTTCATTAATTAGTTTTTATATTCTTGATAAATAATGTATATAAATAAATCTTGTTTAGGAATCTTCAAAATGCTATCAATACTCATAAAGAAGCCAACATTTTTAAATAGAATAAAAAATTAAACTATAATCTACATGTGAATCAATTTGCAATTATTTTGAATCATCTTTAAAATAAATAGGAAATTAAATATTAACATACATTATATTATATTAAAAACAATAACCAATGAATTATTTGGAGAATGAGGAAGGTCAAGAGAATTTAAAAAAGATCGATTCAAATAATGAAGATGAGCAATACTAATATACATCAAATGAAATCATACCTCCTTTTAAAGCATATATTTCAAAAGAATAAACCAAAATGCCTTAATAACGATTTTACACTCTAATAAACAAAGAAACCAATTCTAAAAATATTCCAAAAACATTTGGGAACAATTTTAAAAAGTTTATGGACAATGTTGCCATCATAAATAGAGGGTAAAAATCTCGACCACCATTCCCATAATAAATGGAAAGATTTTTAAATAAAAAAAATAAAGGAAAACAATCAACTTACATACTTAAAGATTTTCAAGCTTTATTTAGCAATGAAATATGTAGGAAATGGTTTTAATTTTACATGGAGAATTGTGCCTTTTTAGATCTGATATAATCCAATAGAATTGAAGATGTAGAGGAATTTATACTGGCTATTGAATAATATTTATTGGGTGCTTAAGATCCAGACAACTTTTTATTATAAAGAAAATAAAAACACAAAGAGGCAGCCAAATTGTAGAAGATTTAGATGAAATTGGATGAAGTAAAATAAGATTACGATTCTAATATCCAATTTATAAGCTACAATGAAGAATAATCTTCTAATTTTGACAATTGAAATGAAGAAAGCATTATGATTAAAAAAGAGTGAATTACTTCATTACTAAATAATTTATTTTGTTTTTTGTTCATTCTCCTTTAACTTTTTCATTTCTTTTTCATACTCTTCGCTACGCAATTTCCACAATATTCCATTTAGCTATGTTTAATACCTCCCTTTTTCTAAATAAGGAGGTTTCCTAATGTTGTAATCTTTTTGCAAACATTCTGCCAACATCTTCAAAAACTCTTCTGAATAATCTGTATGACTTAAAGTGTTTTTTATTGCTTCAAGGGAAAAATATTAATTGTATTCTTTGTCATCAAGAGCTCTGCCTCCAAATTTGTGTCCGGCAAAAACACCTTTATTAGCAATTGATAAGCAGATAAGACCAAATTACCAAACATCATAACTAAATGTTTGTTCAACTTCTGGTGGGTCATATTGTCCAGTATTTTCTGAATTTAATACAGTCATTTTTCCTTCTATTATTATTTGTGAATCATTTTAAACTGAATTTGACACAATATTTTCGTCTTCAATTTTTTCTTAGTCATATTATCTAATTTATTCTGACGATGTCTAATTCACCATTTAAATATCCTTTTTTTGTGGGTCATCTTATCCAGAATTTTCTGACCATAATATATTTCTGCTAAAACATCCAAATTATTTTGTTTGTTGATTGAGTTATTATTTTTTAAATTATCCTTTAGATTCAGAAGTATCATGCATTTTTGATCTATCAAAATCAGCAATAACAATGGACTATTTTAGCATAAAGTCAATATCATCCTCATCCCAATCATCTAAAAATATATTTTGAGGTTTCAAATCTCTATGAATAAAATTAGCCAATTTCAATCCAAATAATGCAGTTGAAAAGCTTTCGCACAAGTGATAGACTTTTAATTTCTAGTATTCAATATTCTTCTTCTCAATCCATTATTATAAAATATCACCAAGATGGTATTTGTAAAGTTTCATAAAAAGAAATGGTTTTCCTAAAATTCTAATATAAAATAAGCATGATGATAATTATTTATACTCCATATTTTTTTCTGATATTTCAATTTCTCTTTCTAAGTTTATTATTAGTTGTTCATAAAATTTATGGTTTTAGTGAACTCTTTTCTATTTAAAAACCATCTTTTCAGGCAAATTATGTATTGCTTTTTTAATCTATTAAGGAGTATCAAACTATTTAATGATGCAGTAGGGAGTGTAATATAATTATTTGAAATCTATTACATTTAACAGCCATTTTATTGCTTATTCAAAAGCAGCTTCAAGTCCAAATTATCCTGATTGAATTTATTCTTGATCCAATAAACACATCAACAAATTTCTAAATTAATCATCTTCATTGAAAATATCAATGTTGAGCGATTTTAAATGCTTAGAGAAATGTTTGTCGACTTAGAATATTAAAATAAATTACTTAATTGTTTGAATAGTTGTTCTCTTTCATATTTGTTTTCATTTTTCACATAATCGATAACTAGCGTTTAAAGAAATCCGTCAATATAATACAACTAACTCAAATCACTTATTTCCCAGTAAAAATTTCTGAGTTCAAACTCATTGAAAACTTTAATTTTAATGAAATTACATACTTAATATTAATTATACCAATATTCTATTATAATCTTATATTGTTAATGTCTCTAATTTTTCACCAGACAGTTTATACTCCAGGATATCATTAAACAATAGATATGTATTTTTTTTGTCATGCATATAACAAATCAAGGGTTATTGGATACCTATATATTTACATCTTCTAATGATTTTCTCTTCATTATATTATAAATTAAGTGTCTTAATATCAAAAGCAATGTATGTATTTTCAGTGCTATATTTCTTCTCTATATTTCTCAATCTCTCATCTATGCTCCTCTATTGATTTTCTATTTGCTTTGATTATTCCTATGTTCTTCAATTCATTTTCTACCTTCTTTAATTATTCTGGCAACCGTTCACTATCTTTTTATAACGTCTCTATTTCTTGGTTTTTCAACCTCTCCTTTACTTTATCTTTCAATTTCAATTTTAATATATTCTTATTATTCTTTTGGAGTTCTTTAACCTAGTCCTTATCCTAATCAGGAATTTTCTCATAGTAGTCGAACATATATTCAGTTGAGATAATGGTTGTTTTAAATTCCATCTATTTTTTTATAAATTATAAATAAAAGTAATTCTGGAAGTTTTATAGAATTAGAAATTAAAGTTGCTATTTAAAATAGTATCTTTAAATTGTTATAATTAGATACAATAATTCTATTTACATAATCAAGATGAACTGATGATTATAATTGGGATCAGCTAGAAATCAATTTCAGGAGAATGATGCCATACTTGATTCATTGATTATGAAAAGAAGCAGAACTAGCAGATATAAAATTAAGACAAATTATTTAAATTACAATCATAATGAACAGCAATATCAAATTGCTATGCTCAAAACTTAAACAATATAAATGAATTAATTTGTTATATATTTGATTCAGAAAATCTTGCAATCTGAATTTGCAGCACAACTTTGCTTGTTTTCGTTCAAGACTCGTCTATCATCTTGAACAACTTATGGTCTTGGATCAATAGTTTGTTTGACTTTCTTTTTTTCAAGTTCTTATATCAGATCTTATTTATGCTCAATTTCAATTTATAATTCTTTGTTTTATTCAACTAAATAGTCCAATTATTTTTATAATGACTCACTTTTCTAACGGAATGGTTCTACTTATTCTTTCTTTAGTTTTGCTGAAGTCTTATAATAGATAAGTTCCTCATTTAATTTACTTATCATCTATTTAATATTCCTAACAGCTATTTTTTTGGCAGGATCTGAATCTTGAATCAATAATTGAAGATCATCTGAAACATCATCTTCATTATCAACTTTAGAATTTCTTTGAGAGATCTCAACTAAAGTTTGAGATGAAGTCATAGATTAATCTGTTTTTTTCTATAATTACAATTCTTATATTTATTTTTTTAAATACAAGATTTCTTAATTTTTCTTTTCAAGTAGATTTTTACCATCCTCTAAGTCTTTAATAACACTACTAATTTAAGCAACTGAGGATGTTCTCTTAGATATTTTAGGTTCTTCAAGCTCCTCTATTTTTTTTTCTAATTCAGCTTTTTCTTGAGTTAATTTTGCAATTTACTCATTCTTTAATTTAACTAATTAAGTCATTTAGGTTGGATTAGTGTTTTAAAGCTTTAAGACTTCAATTTCTTATTTACATCTTAAGAGTTCATTCTCTAGATGGGTTGAATCACTTTTAGTGGATAATGTAAAAGATGATGATTCATTGGCCTTTTCTTATTTCATAAATTATAATTTCAGATTTTGATTGGATTCCAAAAGATTAGAGTTTTCTGTTTCAATTTTCTGATATTGTAGTTTTAAATTCTTGATTTCGTCCTAAAAACTTGATATTTAATCAGCCAGCTAATCGATCTCTATTTTTTGTTTAGAAATCTTAATCTTATCAACTGCCATTTCTTATTTTAAGGATGAATTTTCTTATTGAAGTAAACTGATTTATTATTTAAATTTGTTTTCTAATTATTATTGTTATTCTGATTGACTCATCGATCTCACACTGCTATTAGAGTCACTTCTTTGTTTTTTCGTTTCGTAATAGTATTTCTAAAACTATTGATCTTTGACATTCCAAAGGATAAATAATTTGTTCCTTTCTACAGACTCTTTGAATTGATGAACACTAAACGAACAAGCAAGCACCTTTATAAATTCATTAAATCCATCTTCTTAAAATAATTAAGAGAACATGAACAGAGATGTCTATATTTCAAAAGCATTTATTGTCAAAGACACGATGTATGGCCCCACTTCTTACAGAAAGGGCTTGATAGGTTCAGTTGGAATTTTCAAATTGTGGAATGATTTGATCATCACACCAAGCTCAGATTTAAAGTCGTAGCCGAGTCTTAAGTTACGAAAATGCAAGGCTTTAGGAATTATTTGTGTGTACATCACTTTGAGCAATCCATAAGATGTAACTTCAGAGCTTAAACACAGTAAAATCAAAGTAGTGAAAACCAAACTTGGGTGATAGCCAACTTCTGGATGATTTCTGAGGAAGGTTCCAAGGACATTCCTGATAGAGCCCAATACCGAACCTTTGTCTACCTACACTACCAAACTCAGAAAGTCTCTTATTGAATAATTCATTTTTCTATCTATCTCATCGTAAATGGAATCCAACTAATTCATAAACTAAGTGTATTCAAGCATATCCTTCTAATCTTAAATTTTGTATTATTCTTTTATCTATCGAATGTCCACACCAAGATTTTTAAGCCACTCCATTCCTAGTGAATCTTTATTAAACTGGATAATATTGGTTTTAACAAATTATTTAAGGATATCCGTCTCAGATTTACATATGTTACAAACCCTATGAGGATCTTTGCTTTTCGAATAACCCAATATAATCATTTTATTTTAAGCACATTTGTCACACACCGCTCGTTTACATCTTAAGTTTAATCAGACATTTCGTACCTTTTACATTGATGTTCTTTCGTCATCACACTAAAATCTTTGAAACAAATGAGGCAAGATTTGAATTATTGCCTTTAAGAGCTGATTTCTACGTGAAATATATTTCCCTTCATTAAATTAATATTGCATCATATAAAACAAATTCCAATAACTTTAATAGATAATTCGATAGCCAAAAAAAGAAAACGAATACTAATACTCTCAATCATCATTCGTGTATTGATACAATCTTTAAGTTAATTTTTAGCATATAATTAACAAAATTCTGTTTTAATTTTGAAAGTATTTTTATTGCTATTACTTAATGAGTCTACATCCCATATCATATTATTCATAATGAAGATCAAATTACTATTAAATAAAATGGTTTAATTTAATTAGATAGTGTATAAAAAGTTGATTCAGATAAGAATATAACTGGATATCATATTTTATATATTAATAATTATATATTAAATTGTACAGGCACATTGTTAATCATGGAATTTTCTTGTTTATTCTCCTATTAAGTGATTAAGTTTATTTAAATAACTAGAAGAAATTTATTTATTTATTAGTTGAATATAAAATATTATCATTTATAAACGAAAATAGTGGAAACTTTTTGAATTTTGGATTCAACAACAAATTGTAATATTCAAATGAACTAATGAAAAGATATGTTTGATCTCATGAATCGAGACTTTGATACTCCTAAATGCTCTTATTTTTCAGTTTATAACCTAGTTCTAACATTGATATAAAATATAATTGATAATTTATAGTTTAATAAATTATTTCTCATTAAATTTATAAGATACACCTGTGATTTATTTCAGAATTTTGCTAAAACGCAATAAAGCTTGTTAATCATGAAAGAGTTATTAAATCTAAAATAACAAGGTTAAATATTATTATATTTATTAATACAAAGCTCCCAGATAAATTGAAAATTTTATTATTTAATTTTCCAATATAAGGATATTTTATAAATCTCTCATTTTTTTCTCAAATTTCATGACAAATTCAATGATTTATTAAATCATGTTGATTAAGCTAAAACATTAAAGAAAAAGTCTTAAACTCAAATATACATGAAAAATGATAATATAATTAAGAACTTGTAGATTATAAATTTGATGATGTTTATTATTTAAATCAAATTCTTCTTTAACCAACTAATTGGTTGATAGTGAATGCATCATTTTCCTTAAGAATGGCTTCAACCTGCATGAATGACTCATTTGAATCACCTAATAATAATAAATATTGAGTATTACTATCATCATATTACAAACAGAAACAAACTCTTGATGGATTGATATCTAATTCTGGGACATGGCCAGAAGCTAATTAAGCTAAATACTCAGAAATAGCACATAAAATATCTGCAGCATTTTCTTTAGTGACATCAATTGTTGCTTCACATCTAAAAATACATAGGCAAATATTTAATACTCTTTGACAACTGGAACTTATGGTTCAGAAGGAGGAGCTGGTCCTGGAGCTGGTTTAGGTGAAGGAGCAGGAGCAGCTTCAGGTTCTGGTTATGGTTCAGGCTCAGGTAATGGTTCTGGTTAAATTTCATCAGGAATAACTGGAGGACTTACAGGTGGTGGGACGAATTCTTATTCTTCCTCTCCCCAATATGGTTGTTCTTCTTCAGGGGATGCAAATGTTTGAGCAGGAGGAACAAACTCTTCCTCTTCTTCTGGCCAATATGGTTGTTCTTCTTCAGGTAAAACATTTGGAACTGCATCTGGTGTAACAGGAACAAATTCTTATTCTTCTTCTCCCCAAATATGGTTGTTCTTCTTCAGGAGATGCAAAAGTTTCAATTTATGGAGCTGCACGACTTTCAGGAATTACAGGTTGAGGATTATATCCAAAAGGGATATCATCTGGTGTCAGTACAACATCACGAGCAGCGTCACCAATACAACGATTGACTCGCCAATTATAGAATTACCCATTGAAAGCAGGGTATAAACCATCATTACCAATATAAAGTCTCCTCCAAGGAACAAGATAATGGCGGGCATCATAAAATTAATTTGCTCCAATCAATTGTTCTTCCATTAAATAAAGTGTAAAATGAGCCATTCTTTAAAGTCTGTTGTATCCAAAGTAAATATGATGCCATTAACCCAATGTATTTGTATATTAAACATTATCCCATAAATTAGGATTACCAGATCCTGAATATGTGTAAGTAGAAAATGAAAATACACCTCCAACCAATCCACTACCAAGAAAGACAGCCAAATCTCTGTCTCCTAATTTAATCTCTTCCAAATCAGCATCTGCATTTTCAGATAATCTGAAGACAGTGTGC